TGTCTTCTTTACCGCCGACAGGGGCTGACCTCCAGGGCTTCGATCATCTTCACAACTTCCGCAAATTCCCCTCTCTGGCTACGCTTCCTTTCCTCAACAATCGGAAACCCAGGCTGGTTCCTACAAATTCACTGAAAGGGCACACGGATTGTATGTTGCATCCTGTATCTTGGTCCTTTTTTGTCGCTTTTCTTTGATCCCAATCCTCGAAACCTGCGCTCTCTTCTCGCTCACGAAGACCCTTTTTTTTTTTTTACTATTCTCCTGCCGTGTCTTATTTTCATCTCCTGGTTGAGGCATTGTCTTTTTACATCTCTTCGATTTTCATCGGTCCCGCGTGAAAGGAAAAAAAAACTCGGCTCTTCGCGACTTTGGTCGAGGGCGATTGTCTCCCACCACAAACGATCTGCTTCCCGGTTGTCTCACCATATCAACGAACCCTTGACTTGTTACACACGTGCCATAACCTACCTCGCTCGAATTTATCTATCACGAAATTTCTCCAGTCATTTCCAGAGCGGAAACTGAACGGATTATATTGTGTGGTGTGTGGGAGTGGACTCTTATCTCTTTTGCCGAGCCCCCGTACGGAAGGACCACAACGGTGTGGGAGTTGTGAATTGCTATATGGTCGCAAAAATCGATGGGAATGCAAAGTGTTCCCTTCACCGTGACGTCGCCTCGCTAGCGTCGGCGCAGCCCTCCACGATGGCATGGAGATCGCAATCCAATGTGCAACACTCTGACGTGCCCGAACCCGCCGCTCGGCCTCCGTTGACTTCGCACCAGTCGAATTCCCTTCCTTCTACCCCATACCAACATGCGCGCAACCTATCCTTCCATTCGCGGTCGCCGTCCCCCGCCCACGGAAACACCTCCCCTCGATCGACCCACTCCGAAGCCACACATCTACCCCCATTCTCCCGGAAACCGCTTGGAGGATGTAAATATGAGACCGCCATGGCATTCTTTCGACGACGGGTACCGTATAGTCTCGGAGCAGATATATTACCGGAGGAGAAGGGGGCATTGAAGGAGCAGCTCAGTCCGGACGAGGAGAAAAAATTGTCGACCGATATCATGGATCTGTATGATCGATTGTTACCGTCTGCCGAGAGTGATGATCGACGACGACAGCTTGTTCGGAAATTGGAGAAGCTTTTCAATGAGCAATGGCCGAATCATAATATTAAGGCGAACATTTTTGGCTCGTCGGGGAATAAGCTCTGTTCAAGTGACTCGGATGGTAGGTTCTTCTCTTTTTTTGGCCACAAGAGAAATAAAATGCGATAACTAACAACTTGCGCAGTGGACATTTGCATCACAACCAGCTACAAGGAATTGGAACATGTGTGCCTGTTGGCCGAGGTGTTGGCCAAACGTAAGGGATCGCGTTGTCACAACTTGACTGAATAATAGACTGACCTAAACAGACGGGATGGAACGGGTGGTGTGTGTGTCGCATGCAAAGGTCCCCATCGTGAAGATTTGGGACCCGGAGCTCCGGTTAGCCTGTGACATGAATGTCAATAATACATTGGCGCTAGAAAACACTCGGATGATTCGGACCTATGTCGAGGTGGATGAAAGAGTGCGGCCTTTGGCGATGACGATCAAGCACTGGACAAAGCAAAGAACCCTCAATGATGCAGCACTTGGTGGAACCCTTAGTTCTTATACCTGGATCTGTTTGATCATTAACTTTCTGCAGACAAGAAACCCCCCAGTTCTCCCAAGTTTGCAAGCACGTCCGCACAAGAAGAGGGTGACTCACGATGGATTGGTCTGCTCGTTCGATGACGACCTGAAGACCTTGTGTCAATTTGGTCGCAAGAACAAGCAATCGGTTGGCGAGTTGCTCTTTGGATTTTTCCGGTATTATGGCTATCAATTTGACTATGAGAAGAACGTCATCTCAGTACGGGACGGCACCCTGATCAACAAAGAGGCCAAGGGCTGGCACCTGATGTTGAACAACCGACTGTGCGTGGAGGAGCCGTTCAACACGTCAAGGAACCTAGGAAACACCGCCGATGACACGTCGTTCCGGGGATTGCATTTGGAGTTGCGAAGGGCCTTCGAATATATCGCAAACGGTGATCTAGAAGGATGTTGTCAGCAGTTTGAATTCCCAGCAGAAGAGGAGCGGACCTGGGAACGACCACCACCCCAACCGCGGCCAACTCTCACACCTTCCCTTCCATCGCGGGGTGGACGAGGAGGGAACCGCGGCGGCAGATATAATAATCAGTTCTCGCGCGGCGGGCTCACTGGCGGGCGACGACAGTCGAATACCGCAAACAAGTCGAACTTCCGGCAGTCGAATACTAGCAATGCAACCGATATCTCCCTGCACGCACAACAGCAAGCACAGTATCTTCTGCATGACCAGTTATATCAACAAATCCAACTTTTGCAGGCGCAGGAGCAAGAATTGCGGATGCAATTGCATAGCCAGGCATTGATTACTGGGAGACCACCGCCGGTCTTCATCCGTCAGCCATTTATCCAATTCCCAGTTCCTCAACCGCAAGAGTTTCCAGAGGAAAACTCATGCCCGAGGTCAGGAACAGGAACCGCGAGTCATGCTACTCTCAGCCCAACCCAACGACATCAAACGATTTATAACCCCACCTATGCTTCAGTTGGTGCATCTGGCTCGCAAGCGACTATCACCAACCCTCCCTCGCCGTCTGCTGTTAGTGCTATTCCTGATACTCGTCGTAATTCTCGGCGATTGTCAGCTGCGAACGGATCCCCAAAGTCTCTTCGTGCGCATTCACAACCTGCACGGCCTCAGGGCTCGCCCTCTCTTCCCAGCTATATCCCCCTTTATACCATGCCGCCACCCACGGATAACTGGTCAAAACAAAGGCCGGCCACCGAGTCGTCAGAAGGCGGAGAAGGGAGTGGTGATGAGAATGTAATGCGCTCAAACAGTCTGGCCAGCAATGGATCCCACTCAACCTCTGTGGACGATAACCGGCAGCCAGATGTGGTGGGTTATTATATAACCCCACAACAGCTTCAAGCCCTGCAGCAAGGTTCCATGCTGCCGCCATTATCCGCACAGATGGGTCTGGTCTCGAATGGATATTCGTTTATTCCCCTTCAGCCAGATTATCGACCGGGATCGTTCTCGTCGGACACTGCTCACTCGGAGCACATTCCAGTTCCCAAGCCCCCGTCGCAAGCTACCCAATCCGCTCCACGTCCAGTTGCACCAGGTCCGCTGATTGTGGATGGATCGGTGCGTCCCAGTGAGCCTCGCTCGGCGTATGGGTCTGACTTGATGGACCCTTACTCGGCAGTGAGCCATTATACCTCGTCAGATGATCACAACATAAACACGCCTGCAAGTTTCTCCGATTCCTTATCTCAAGACTATCAGGACTCCGGGTCCTTTGACTTGGAGCATTCGGCTGTCTTCACGCGGCCATCTACGGAAACGCAAAAGGTCAATGGTATGAACGGGGAAAACCAGTCAGACGTGAATGGCCAGTCTGAGCTTCTCGCTAGTCGGCTGCAGAACTACCACCTATCAAACTCCGAAAACCTGGTGCAGCAACCCGCGAAGACAAGTCCGGATAGATTAAGAAATGGTGCGGCACAAGGGCCAGGAAAGGAAACCGGCCAGCCTAAGCACTCGGGACAGATGGGCGAGAAACCTGCTGCATCCGGGTCGAATGAGAATCGGCATCAATCGACGAACTCGAAGCGTCGGACTAATGGCGACCATTCCGACAAGGCAAACGGCGTTAACGGCAAGAGCAAGCCCAAAGGCCAAGGCCGACACGACAGCTCTCACAACTCTGCTCCGGGCACCAAAGACCGACACACAGACTCGCCACGAAGATCAGGCGGACAGTCTAACGGCACGAACGAGATCGCTTATGGATGGCAGACGACCAAGAAGAAGAACCGCAAGAACACCAAGTCATCAATGGAGCCTCGAAATGGGATCAACGGCGGTAATGAGCTTATTGCAGCAGATGATTCTTTGCGAAAAGGCGGTTGACTAGGTGTGTGTCGTTGCGCCTCCGTAACCATCTCCAGCACGTCCACGAGGAATGAGCAGATACTCACGTCTCAAAAATGATTTTATTGCTTTTCAAATTTCCGTTCCGCGCAGTATCCCCCAAACGAACTTACGTTCCCCCGAAATACATTATTTTGCTCTTTTTTTTCCACCCCTTTCCCCGTCACCGAGGGATTAGGGCCCATATATGCATGCATTCGTTGCCATCGGGAAAGTTGGCCGGTTCATTTTCCAGGAAACGCCTCCCATGCATTGAGACGATTTCTTTCCAGTTGTTTGGAGTTCTTTGTGTTCAATGGTTAGACCCGGTTTGTGTCTGATGCTTTTCATTTTCTTATGCCAAAAATTTTTTTTTCTTTTTCGGTCCTGGTTCTGTACAAAAGAGAAAGATATTAACTTGTTGCCAATGAGAAACAAACCAAAATTTTCGAAAAAAGTCTTCGTTTTCCTGCCCAGGTCATGTATTTGATACTTCCTGGATTGCATTGTCTTCTCTTCCAATTTCTAACTCTTTTCCTTGTCCTTCTGGCTTGCTGTCAGTCAACAGTGTCTATAAATGGGAGACCGGGCTGTCAGTAACAAAGACCCAGAGAACAAAGGGAAGAAATGGAGGAAAGGCTCACCTCTTAGATTCACTTCTTAGATGCTCTCTCCCTCTCCCTCTCTTCGTCGTGCTCATCCTCATCCTCTCCTACCTACCTGAACCCACAAGAACACCCCGTGCAGAGCAACCCATCCGCTCTACAATCCACGATAAACCACAAACACCAAAAATCCGTATTTATACATACACACATACACATACACATACCTAAAGGACACATCCCAACCCAACATCAGTCCCACCCAAAAAAAAGGAAAGAAAAGAAAAGGAAAACAAAAAGATGTGGATGATATTCATATCACTAATGCTGTATTTATACTATTGCTTTTTCCTCGCCTACAGCCTAATCTGCGAGGTCTATTCCAGCATATCCTTCGTGCATAATTGCGCCATCCGCTCAGCTAGTGCCGTCATGTCCTTTCTTTCCTGGGATTGGAATTGGTCGGGTCTCCGGCTGCCTGGCGTTGGTGCGCTGCCTTGGTTTGGTCGTGTGGACCAGGCTCCTGTGCCTGTTGCGCCTAACTTCTTTGCGTTTTCATTTTCGTTTTGTTTTGGGGTTTTGGCGTATTCGCTTTGTGTGAAGTTGTTGTTGTGAGGGTTGGGTTTGGGTTTGATTTTGCTGTGTTCTTGGTGTTTGTGTCGTGTTTCTGGTGTATGGGTACCGGAAGTAAGGGAGGGAATGTGCATGTTTGTGGGCTATGGAGGATGTGAATCTTGTGAATTGGTTGGGGTTTTTTTCTTTGTATGTGTAGCATAGAAAGCGTTGATTATTAGAATGTTCGGGATATATTGACATCGTATCATTTATCATTGAAATAATGGTATGACATATAGTATAGTTATAGTACAGTAAATCTATAACACAAACCTGCAATGTATCAGATGCAGTGGGAAAATGCTGGACAAGATTAAATGACATAAGGCGTGGAAGAAAAGACACAGGGTGAAGATGGGATATTAAACAAAGACTTGGCGAGTAACATCGACAATATATTCCACAGGTTACGATGATACCCCCATTGTCGCTTTTGAGGAAAGTAGAACACCAATTGATGACAAGCCAGATCAGTACCAGACCTCGGTCCAGATGTATGGGAAAATCACGACAGAGGCTGTGTACAATATCATGAAGGCGTAGTAGGGGGCTAGGATTAGCTTGAGCGGAGGGGTATCACAGAGGAGAACCCAGATGGAGAGGAAGGCGACGGAGAAGAAGTGGCTGACGAGAACCAGAGGTTTCTTGATCAGACCGGCCAACAGCCCAACAGGGCCGCCTACTGGTCCAACCTGGAAGTAGCGGAAACAGCCACGCTGAAGAGCTCGGAGGTATTGATCTAGAGAAATAATTAGTTATCGGAATTAACCAAAGGGTCAGCATACATACTGTCTGCAGCGAAGAGCGCATAGAGAGCCTGCGCCAGGATATTGATGACTGAAGAAGAAGACTTTCGTCTCCAGTGGAATTCCGCGAGCTGTTCGAGGACAAGGCCTGTATTGGAGAGGGTGGGCACGCGCTCTGGGCTGAGCAATTCGCGGATGAGACAGACGTCGTTGAGCGCCACCGTCATGCCTCCACCCGTGAGAGGGTGCCGCATGTTGAGCGCATCTCCCAGAATCATCAAGCCGGGTGTCTTGTTGACCGCGGCAGGCAGGAAGGAGTTCGGCATTGACCGTAACTGGCCCTGCTCTAGCGCGTCGGAGAACGGCTTCTGGGCACCCTCTGGAAGCTGAGGCAGGATGTTGTTTCGCATGTAGCCCTTGACACCACCGTTCTGCAGCGAGGCCAGAGGAAAGTTATCGGGGATATCGATAAGGATTCGGGTCTCATGGGTGCCGATCTGGTACATGAGCACGGGTGGGTTATCGCTGAGGAGGACATGACCAGTGTTGGGCGCGGGGAGTTTCGCATCGATGAGCTCCAAGCCATAGAACTTTGATCGCCGCGTGGGTGTGTATTGGTGGTGTTGCTTGCGGAAATCCGAGTTGTAGCCGTCGGCGGCCACCGTGAGTTGGCCGAGGTAGCTATCTTTGACGTCCTTGGTCATACACTCAACTCCACGGACTTCCTCGGTATCTGGCGATATGATGAGGCCAGTCACCTTGGTTTCAACCACTGTGACATTGGGACAGGACAAAGCGGCTGCCCGTAGTTTCATCACGAACCGACCATGATGGAAAGCTCGTCCCAACGGTGTGGGTGAGGTTGGACTAGACTTGGGGTATTCGAGGAGCACCGGCTCGCCAAAGTATGAAACCCAGTATCCCTTCACATCAATGCCATCAATATCGTCCAGACAATCCCGTAGCCCTAGTTGCTCGAGCGCCTGAACACCTCCCGGCTGGAGTAGTTCACCGACAATGCGGTTGGGCTCCTCCAACGATTTTTCCAGCAGGATCACACTGCGCCCTTGCTTTCCCATTGCGACTGCAAGCGCACAGCCTAGGACTCCGGCACCGACGATGACAACATCAGCTTCGTGGTTGTCGATGCGGCGTTGAGCGGCCGTGGAGAGGGAAGCGTCGTCTTTGAGCACGGAGGCCATTTTGGGTTTGGAAGAGTAGATAATGTCAGAACGGAGTCGACTGAGGCAGGACCATTATCGGCCTAGGCAATTGATTTAAAGGAAAGTCGATTGGCCTGTGTTTATGGGCTGATGTTTGAGAAAGGGGTGGGTGGTGGCGTGACATGTGAAAGCCTCACTGGATGACCTCTCTCCGCCTTTCCAATTCTACGCTGAAGGAGACACCACGGTAGTGATCGCTCCGAGTGGACTGATTTGGATATACAACGGTAGACAGGCATATATTTATGAATCTATTGAAGATGCCTATTGTACATATACTATTTACACTATTATACATGTTCATTGGGACGCCCGGTGCCCCTGATAATCCTCATACTCTATATACTCATCGTATTCCCCTCCAAGTGAAAACTCCAGGTGATAGTCGGACGAGTACTTCTCCGGTACGTAATGCGCACCCCAATGCGCTGGATTGTTCCACGGGTACTCCGGATCTTCTGAAGGCACAGTGTTCGAGTTTGTGACATTGGACTCGGCCCACCACTTTGCATGATCAGGAGCGTCAAACTGCTTGCGCTTGAGCAACAGGTCCAACTCCCACTCTTCGTCAAAGTTCATGATGAGCTCCCCTAGGTCTGTGGTGGGCAGTAGATGTTGTTGCTCGGTGAGTTTGAATGGCTTGGAACGCTTCAACCTTTTCAACTCCGGGTGAACATTAATGGTTGACCAATGCGAATCACCTTCAAGTTTGGCCTCCAGTGCCCCCACGATTTGCCGGAGTACCAACACTTGCCCCGCAGCATCGTAGGAGCCATCGGATCTGATCGCATTTTCTAATGAGCCCAACTGAGAGGTGGCTTCCACGACGAAGTCTTGATTGAGAGGCTCATTCCGCGAGAGGACTGTCATTATGCACCACCAGACCCCCTTGAAGTTATGGACCTTGGCAAACCCACGCAGCAACATCTTCAATAGTACCTGGTCGAAGCCATGAGAGATCCGCCACCGAGATTGGTAGATTGTTGTGAGGAGATCGACGGCAAGGTCTGGCGTTCCACCCCCAATAAGATAACGGCTGGAAGACGTCGCGCAGAAGTGCTTCACCAAAAGACCCTTGGTGTTGGCACAAACATCATAATATTCAAAAATGGCCATCTTGATCAAGCCTCCATACCCAATGGCTTCTGGGTCTACCTCCATGACCCGTTGGAAGAAGATGGGAATCCACGAAGTAAAACGCTTGCTATGCCGGAGAGAAGGCATATTTTTCCAGTAATCCCATTCGGATGTAATTAGACGTCGCGCGTTCGCCAAGCCTGTCTTTTTGCAACTGAGAATCGCGGCGATCACAGCCAGCTTCAGATGAAGTGGCCTGACAACGAAACCGCCAGTGGATGCGTGATGGTAAATTGCCAGGGCATCGGTGTGTCTGCCCATGTTGATAAAGTGCTCCATCCGCTTGTGGAGCGGAACATATAGACTAGCATTTTTGGATGCCACCATCTCGCTGACCGTTTGAGGGAAAGTTTCCTCGGCGGGAATGTGAATCGGGGCAATTCTCTCCCCCCGTACTGCCCACGTGTCAGAACTAGTCCCAAGGATGCGCCGGGAAGAAGTTAAATAATCTTGTCGATTCTTGGCGGCTTGCTTCAGTCGCCAGATGCCCACAGGGTTGTCGGTCATTGCGAGTTTTCGGCTTTTCAGGAGTGACCTGATAAACCGTTCGTCAATACCAGTATTCCAATTCTGTTCCTCGGCCATTTCCATGATGAGTGCGATCATATCTTCGTTGCCCTTTTCAATGATCGCTTCGAGAATGTGTCGGTGGAGTACCTTGTCGGGTTGTATGTCAAAATCGTTGATACAAGAGATGACGAAGTCGAGAATCTGCTGGCCCGTGTGGGTGGGGTAGTATTCCAAGAAGACACGGTCGAAAATCATAGTGAAATCCTTCTTTGATTGGGTGTATCCATGCTCGTGCATAGCATGCATGCCATCCATGACCCTGTCCCATTCACAGTTAAGTGCTCTGTTGTAGATAATCAAGCCAATGGTCCGGCATCCAGGCTCAGTCCCGTAGTGTGTTGACATAGCCTTGACCATAGCTTCAGCTTCTTCAGCTCGGCCAGTTTCAACCATGGCCTTGACCATTGGGTTGAAAAGTTTCTCGGTTGGTCTTCGATCGAGTGATTCGAGGCGTTTGAGAATGAGGCCGAGTTGGGAAGACAGCAATTCCATGCTCCTGGTCTTCCGCCATAATCCATCAAGATAAGCACCACACAGGCCACAGTCACGGTCATCCTCGAAGCGCTGGAAGAAGAGGAACTTGGCCGAGTCCAACCGTTTGGACTCGATCAGACATCGCAGGATGACCTCCAACAGATGGTTTGGAACAGCGAAGCTAGTTTTGAATTTATCATATATAACGCCGACAGAGTCAATATGCCCCTCTTTCGCAAGGAGATGCATCAGTGTAGCCCACATCTCCGCCGAGACGACACTGACTTTGTCCAGGCGATTGAACAAAGTTCGAGCAACGAATAGGTTTCCTTTGATGCAGTTGGCGGTGAATATAACACATGCAAGCTCTCTGCGTTCCCAAGAGATGTTAGGTGTCTGCCGAGTGTGCGCTAAGAACAAATTCGCAGCAGTGATTTCCCGCTCCTCAGTTAACAACCTGCGGATTTCGGCGTCAAAGGGCAGCTTGCCAGATTCTCGTGCAAGTTCGCCCTGTTGTTTCTCCCGAGTCAGAATTTCAGCGTTCTGAGCTAAACCCGGAGAATCGATGTTTCCTGTGTAATTGGATTGTGCAATTGACTGGCTCCCAAAGAGCGAACGTTTTGAGCGAGCATGGTGTTTTTCCAAGCTGACCAGGGGCTTGGGCTTGGGCTTGGGCTCAAGGTCTTCTGTCTCGAACCCTGGCTCATCAGGTACGTTCCGATTCCTCGCCTTAAGGGATTCAATGCCCATGAATTCGCCCGCCTCTGCTGCCTCGACCATCACCTTTAGTCGTTTGGCGGCAGATGTTGCATCGTAATTCGGCGCACTGCTGTGTAGTGTTCGTTTATTCTCGATGATTTTCTCGGCCATGCGGACCCGGCGATGGGCTTCGTACGTGAGGGCTGCGACGGTGCAGAATCCGCCAACTGTTGAGCCGGCCAGAGCCAATTGGCGGAGCACTCGGAGGGCATTGGGAGAAGGTATTATCGAGCCGCCTTTTGCGGCGCGGGCAAGCATATTGCAGATGTTGAGCGCGGGTTGCGCGCGGGTTCACCAGTCGTACATGAGCGGCCTTGCACCGATGTTCCGAAACGAGCAGACGATTGAAACAAAGGAGATGTAAATAGTTTCAACCACCAGCTATGGTCCAAAATTAGGTGTACAGGCAATTGAAGCGGAGAGCGTAGGGTAAGGTCGGAGTAACATCTTTTTTCCCGATGCAAATCAACTTGCGCGTTAGGCCAGTGCCGGTTGCCGGAGACCGGAGGCCTGTCATACGACCCATGGATCTAACCGCATACAACTTCCATGACTTCATGTCGACCTATAAGATATAAAAATCAGGAGGAAAGGGATATATGATAAAGAAAGTTGGGCTGCATATTCTACGCCTACTCCAGGTCTATCGATATTTGTGTGTTTCTCCGATGGCTCTAGTCTGCCGAGCATGCATCGAGCATCTTCATTACGAAATAACCAACAGCTAGTTCCATAGTCATGTATCCATGAGAGTGGCAAAGTAGAATAAGAAAGACCGGTCTATTTCAATCAATCATATAGAACATCAAGAAAGACGCTACGAAGCAGACATATAACATATAGAAGGAAGCACAGCTTATTATATCAAAGAAAGAACCATCCATTACCGCAAAAGCCCGTCATGCTCGTCGGCATCTTCTTCCAATCTTAGATCAGTAGGGTACCAGCCTCCAGGGTAACTGTCACAGTAATTAGTATACTTCTTGTAGGAGATCAGGAAAATAAACATACCATGCGACCTGATCAGCAGACTCATGAGGAATGCTACACCAAAAACAGCCGCAAGGGCCACAAACACTACCTGAGGTAATGTTGCAACCGTCAGACTATAGATTAAGTTAAAGACAGTAGGTGCGACAACTCGAGCAAGAGCATGCAAGAGACCAGTGGCACCGAGCATCTGTCCAATGCGTTCATGCGGCACATGCTTGGTCAGAGATGACTGCAGAATTGCAGATCCCATGCCACCTAGCGAGGCGACGACACCAGAAATCACCATGATTGATGGTGTCTTGGACAGAGCATAGCCAATGTAGCCCAAAATATCGAATATTATAGATGTGCGGATTAGAACAATGTCCAGCATGTCCGAGCCGCGAATGTTTCCGTCTTCCACGCACGGGGTGCGGAAGAACATGGATATAAGCGGAAGCACCAGGAAAAGATTGATCACTCGCACCACATTAACGGTCGCTACAAACAGACTAGACTCCACGCTGCCCCAGTTGAACATGTATTCGGCGTAGATGATGATAACCTGTACGGTGCCCAGGGCGACTCCAAAGACAGCGGTATCGATAGCAGCCAGCAGAATGATATTCCGGCGTAGAGCCGGACTGGCACCGCGGCGGTTGGGGAACAAGGCACTTGGCTTTCCAACGGCGGGCATCAGAATTGCAAGCGGAGTGAACAGGTTCACTGGGTTCCAGACACGCCAAGAGTACCATTTAGGATAGTCAGCATCCACAATTTTCAAGCGATGCTTCTCGCGGGCCGCGAGCTGTCGTTCCTTGGACAAAGATTCAGGCACGATGAAGAAGACTGATAGACAGAAAGTTGCATGGAATGCAAGCGCAATGTAGAAGACGGGTAGCGTGCCTCCATGCTTGATCAAAAATGCGGCACCGCCTGGTCCAGCTGCAATTCCAAAGAACAAAGCACCGTGGAAGAGACCAAATGCCACACTTCGTTTTTCCGTGGGCGTGCAGTCAGATGCATAGGAATGGATCAAAGCCTGTGCGGTTGTAAATGATCCACCCAATCCATCCATGACTGCTCCAACTAGAAGCATATTGACCGAGACCCGCTCTGGCCATTTAGCCACAATGACAGTGATAACCTCATTGAGTACCGCGCCCATCGCGCCCAGCGCGATCATTTTGGTTCTCCCGTAGCGATCGGATAAGTGCCCGAACCGGGGACTTACTAAGGCTGATAATATACCCGCAACAAGATTGAGATAGAGCTGGAACTGAGCAACCAACGACTGAACTTGTGGTATCTGGCACTGGGGATTATGATCCCCAAATACAACAGGGAGATAGGTGAACCCGGGGTCTTGGGTGGTCTTCTCGGCGAGATAATCTCGGCAGATGAGCGACATGACCAAATTGATCTTGGGCACAGCCATTCCACCAAAACCCAGGGTAAAAAGGACACCAAATGGGAGCAGCCACCAAATCTGTCATGTTTGCAGATTAGACAGTTGTTTCCGGCACTTTGGTCGTAAATCAGTCACTCACACTCGCTCTCCTCCCTTTCGGCCGATTATTCGTAAGGTCAAAAGACCGTCGATGCAGCCCATCGGCTTCATCAATTAGAGGCGTGTTTTCAGTTACATGTTCAATCGGACGAGTCTCTCGAGCTGTGTGCAGCTCCGCAATATCGGGATCCCCCACAAAGAGTTCTTCGTTCTCCATGATGAAGTTGGGACATTGGCGGTGATTTCGGGATTTCGCAGGATTCCAACTTTGTAAGATTACCGCTAACTAGTTAATTGATTTGTAAGATTTAGAGCCACGACACATCATCACCCTCATACGAAAGAGGGGAATGTTAGTTGGATTCCTTGAATTCTTATCGGGATTTCATCATTGGCAGCTCTTAACTCCGGAATCTCCGCAATTGGGCTTGCACATGTGGTCATATTAAGGTGTCATTCTGACGGCCTTTGTATATCGTAAGATGCCCTGCAAGAATTGAAAATATATATCGTACAGTACATTATCCCCGAAATTTTATACTCTTACAACGCCTCGAACGCCTCGTAGTCCGTATACATACAAGGTTGGACTTCCCTAGTCCAAACAAAAACTCATGTAAGCTTAGTTGCTTCCAAGGTTAGACCACCATAGAAGCATGTTCCTGGCCGGCAAAGAATTTCTTCTGACCCAAGCACCGCTCGCTGGTGCAGCCCTGGCAACGCAGTGTCATCTGGGTAGAACACAATTCTCCCTTTTGCAGGTGGTCGCGGGCAATATCGGCAAGTGCCTGGATGAAAACCGGGTTTCCATTCAAGCTCTCTGCGCGCTTGACACCCGGGTTGTTGGCATCATGGATGACTTCCTGATCCAGCTCAAACAGTGTCTCAATGTGGTCACTTGTAAACGCAATGGGAATCAGGATCAAGTCCGTCTGTCCTCGTTTCACATACTCTTGAACGGTATCAGCTGTCTGAGCCCCGAGCCACGCACTAGGTCCCACCTGTGATTGCCAGCACAGGCGGTAGGGGTTCTTGAACTTGAGTCGTTGCATTACGGCATGAACTGTCGCTGCAACTTCGGCTGGGTAGGTATCACCTGTGTGAGAGATTAGTTAGTGTAATTCTAGGGAGTAATCGGGGGACATAGCCTACCTCGGTTGACAACGCTCATAGGCAAGCTATGGGCCGAGAACAGCAACACGACCTGGTCTCGCTTCTCCTCTGGGTATGTCTTGAGTTGAGCCTCGATATTTTGTGCGAAAGCCTCCACAAGACCAGAGTGAGAAGGCCAACGGTCAATGACACTCCACTGGATTGCGCCGGCTGGCTCGGACCCTCCATTAGGGCGCTTTCCCTCGAGACGATTACGCCACTTCCACAGTTCGTTAAGGGAACTGCCGGTCGTTGAGCAGGAGTACTGCGGGTATTGTGTAAACGCCACAGCACGTCCTCCCTTGCCATTGCCAAATCCATCGGCGAAAAGCTGCTTATACATGGTCTCGGTCAATGGGGCAGCGTATCGGAAGGCGACGTAAGGTTTATGCGGCGCGGTCTCCGGGGAGATCTTATCCAATAACTTGCACATTTCTGCGCATTGATACTCGGACCATTTCCGAATGGGCGATCCGCCGCCGATACTTGCGTACTGCTTTTGGATCTTCGAGGTTCTCCGACGTGCGATGAGGGGGCCGATATACGATTGGAGTCGTCCCAGGGGAATCAAATCACCGTCAGCCTGTAATTCATGTGTTAGCATATCAATTCAACGTGGCCAATGTAGCCATTTATGACTCGTACAAATAGTCTGCTCAAAAAGTCCTCCACCTCGTCCGTTGTAGAAGGTCCACCCATGTTCATAAAAACAATAGCTGTCGGGCCCTTGGAACCTGTCGCATTTTGTGTGATTGGCGGTACCACCGTTGCGAGACCTCGTTGATTGCATCTGAGCTGACTGCTAAATGCCGACCGACCTCCGAGAGATGTGGTCTCAGTCAATAACTGTCGGGGGATCGCGAAAAGGCTGCGGAATGCCATAGTTTTGGAGCGACGAATTATATTTTGGAATAGACAAAAGAAAGTAATCTCAAGGTATTAATTGAGGAGGAATTGACAATTCCAGCTTATGTTGGACCTCGGATTTGTTGAATCCGGTTTTGGTTATGTAGCTTTCGCCGCCCACCGGCTGTGGCCAATCACCGTCGGAGAATGTCAGCAGCTTCAGGCATCAGCGTCACCTGACTTTCGTGTTGCCCGCGTCAGAGAGCGCGTCTCGATGATATTTTAGACTTGATTAATTTACACCTTTTGATATTTCCAATCTGTCAAGGCTCTTCTTTGTAACAACCATGGCTGAAGATTACTACACGCGCGAGGAGGATAATTACGAGGACGAAGAGCTCGACCAGACCGTGAGTATCAAAAGCCGGAGATATAGTTACCGATGTTGACTGTTGCCTACATAGAGCTTCAAATCAGTCAAAGATGCGGTGCTGTTTGCCATAGACATCAGCAGCTCGATGCTCACGCCTCGTCCATCACCTGATCCTAAGAAACATGGCGACGAATCACCCGCGTCTGCAGCCTTGAAGTGTGCATACCATCTGATGCAACAGCGCATCATCTCCAACCCTCATGATATGATTGGCGTTCTGCTTTACGGAACGAAATTATCCAAGTTCTATGACGAAAATGAGGACGACCAAGAAGATCTGTCATATCCCCACTGTTATCTGTACACGGATCTTGATGTTCCATCAGCCCAGGAAGTCAAGCAGTTACGGTCCCTCGCATCTCCAGCAAATGGTGACGATGACGTACGGCAGATCTTGGAACCATCGAAGGAGCCAGTTTCAATGGCCAATATGCTGTTCTGCGCAAATCAGATCTTTACCTCGAAGGCTCCAAACTTTTCATCTCGACGACTGTTTGTCGTGACTGACAACGATAATCCCCACGCAGACAATAAGGCAATGCGGTCCGCCGCAACAGTTCGCGCAAGGGACTTGTACGATCTTGGTGTCAATATCGAGTTGTTTCCCATCTCTCAATCAGATCACGAATTCGACACCTCTAAATTCTACGATGTAGGTTATTAGCCTAATTGTATAGCGGTATACTCACAACCAGCAGGACATCATCTACAAAACATCGCCCAGTGATGGTGATGCCCCGGTATACCTACAGCCGGACACCAACGCATCGACTGGTAAAGGTGACGGACTCACATTGCTCAATTCTCTATTGTCTAGCATCAACTCGAGATCCGTACCCCGCCGATCGCTGTTCTCAAATGTGCCACTTGAGATCGGACCTGATTTCAAGATATCCGTCAATGGATATTTGCTGCTCAAAAAGCAAGAGCCTGCCAGGAGTTGCTTCATATGGCAGGGGGGCGAGACTGCTCAGATTGCTCAAGGTGTCACAACTCTAATGTCCGACGATACCGGACAGGATATCGATAAGTCTAGCGTTCGAAAGGCATACAAGTTCGGTGGTGAGCAGGTTTCATTCAGCATTGAAGAACAACAGGCGCTAAGGAACTTCGGTGACCCTGTGATCCGTATTATTGGGTTCAAGCCCTTGTCAGCCCTGCCGTTCTGGGCCAATGTCAAACACCCCTCATTCATCTATCCCTCCGAAGATGGTTACATTGGCTCCACACGGGTCTTTTCTGCATTGCACCAGAAACTCCTCGATTCCGAGAAACTGGCTTTGGTTTGGTTTATCCCCCGCAGAAATGCCTCACCGGTCTTAGCTGCTATGATTGCTGGAGCTGAAAAGATCGACGAGAATGGCGTGCAGAAAATTCCACCTGGGATGTGGATTATCGCTCTTCCTTTCGCAGATGATGTGCGCCAAAATCCAGATAGTAAGATTAACCGAGCAGGGGACGCATTGAATAATGCCATGCGGGATGTTATTCGCCAATTGCAGCTTCCCAAGGCTATATACGACCCTTCAAAATATCCGAATCCTTGTGAGCCTCATTACTGTGATTTGTTGGAAATGATACTGACCAAGTTGCAGCGCTTCAATGGCACTATCGTATCTTACAGGCTATCGCCTTGGACGAAGACTTCCCAGAATCACCAGATGACAAGACTGTGCCCAAGTACCGACAGGTTCATAAGGTTGCTGCTTCCATGCCCCTAGAAATTACGGAAATGCACTGACCGAATGTATGCTTCACCACAGCGCGCTGGCGACTATATTCTTAAATGGGCGGAGGAACTTAACTTGCAGGCCTCCGAGATGTTTGACGGCTCAGCAGCCACCTCCACGCTGGTAAAGCGAGGTGCGAAGACCGAGCCTGCTAGCGACCACCCACCAAAGCGAGTTAAGATTGAAGACAGCGCCTCTGGAGTGGAAGATGAAGTAAAAAAGTGCTTTGACAAAGGCACTGTTTCCAAGGTGAGGATTCGAAATCTCTCGGGTAATTGACCAAACTAATACCTTGTTCAGCTTACGATGGTCGTGCTGAAGGAGTTCTTGCATTCGCATGGCCGTGCTACAGCAGGGAAGAAAGCAGATATTGTAGAGCGAGTTGAGCAGTATTTTGAGCAAAAGCTTTAAACACTGATCGAATTTGCTTAGGATCATCTTGGTGGGATCCAGGGTTGCTGCGATTTGGGCCCGATTAATGAGTTATGATCTTACTTCCTGTTTACTTATGGCCAGAGCCATTTCGAAAGATCAATATTTTTATCCAAGGTGCTGCAAAATACTTCCAGTAATTAACTAATGGAAAGCATAGCCCTTCACCAAGAACCATAGATTTGATGCCCGAAATGGATGTGGGGTACGTACTGTGGGGAAATGGGGGAATTCCGGACTTGATGATCAACACCTACGGAGTACATACTACAGTAAAACATATTTAAAATGAATCAATTGAGACACGAGTAAATATTCGTTATATCCAGGTCTTCGTTAAATGACCAAAGATGTCATACATGCAACAAGACATTCTCCAAAAAAGAGCATCTCACTAGACACATACCTGGTCACCAAAGAAAGGCCGTTTATGTGCCCTGCCTATGGGAAAGTATATTCGCGGAGGTATGAAATATCCCGAATGGTATACCTATGTAACCTAAAGTTTCCATATCCGAACTGCCACCCTCTTCTACCGACGAATTCTTAAAATAAACTATCTACCAGCTTGACCCAATCAAAACAAGCGTAGTTATTGCGCAAATCGCGGATATAAAGATCCCCCACATGAACAGAATCGCGGGGCTACCCCGTAGGCTAAATCAAAAGCGATTTATAAGTATAACTACCTATTTTCTCTCCAGTTACTAATATTCTCAAATAATCTGCTTCTAGCACCCAAAAAGCAATGCCGGTCTTTACTGAGCATTCCTCCTCATCTCGGGACTTGAGAGTCCTACCATCATTTGCACCACCACTACCCCGACTAGCACCCCCATTCAAGCGCGATGATAAAGACGAAGAGAAATATGAAGTAGTCGTGGTTGGCGTATGTACTCTCCACTAAAATGTCCCGATATCAACACAGCATCCAACATCCAACATCCAAACAAAAACAAACCCCTAATATAGAAACACAGGCCGGACCAGCAGGCCTAATGCTAACACTCCTCCTCTCCCGCTACGGCCTAACCTCCACCTCCCTCCTCAGCATAGACACAAAACCAAGCACTCAAAAAACCGGCCAAGCAGACGGCCTACAGCCACGCACACTAGAAGTCCTCAAAACCCTCGGTCTCTCCACCGAAATCGAGAACGAAGCGTGCCAAATGTGGCAATTCGCATTCTGGAACCCGTCGTCAGATCCAGAGAAAGTGATCGAGCGCACATCCGTTGTGCCGGAGATTATCCCGCCAGCGTGGTTCCGCTACGAGGCTACCATCCACCAGGGACGTGTCGAGCGTATCATGGAGACGGATTTGCTTAGGTACTCTGAGCGTGGGATTTTAAGGAATACGGAGGTTGTGGATGTTGGGATTGATGAGGATGGGGATGGGGAGTTCCCTGTGCTGGTGACTATGGTTACGGATGGTGTTGAGAAGATAGTGCGCGCGAAGCATGTTGTTGGTGCGGATGGGGCGCATTCGGTTGTGCGGCGGTGTATGGGGCTGTCGCTGGAGGGGGAGTCGTTGGATCATATCTGGGGTGTGGTTGATGTGGTTGTTGAGACGGATTTCCCGGATATTCGACGTCGGTGTGCGATTCATTCTCCGGCTGGATCTGTTATGGTTATTCCTAGAGAGAGGATTTCGACCGGTGAATACCTCACAAGGCTCTATGTTCAGGTTCCGGGGGTTATGGAGGAGGGTGAGCAAATGCTGGATGGAGGAGAGGGTGGTATGTCTGGGGATGCTCGGCAGCGGAGAAGTAAGATTACCCTCGAGGGGATTCTGAAACAAGCTGCTGATGCGATCAAACCGTACTCTCTCTGTGCTAAGGAGGATGCTGTCGACTGGTGGGCTGCGTATCAAATTGGCCAGCGTGTTTCGCCTGAGTTTATCGTCAATGATTCAAAGGGGGTTGCAAGGGTTTTCATTGTTGGAGACGGTATGTTCGCTTTGAGAGAGTGCACGGAATCGAACTAACAGAAGCACATGTATAGCCTGCCATACACATAGTCCGAAAGTAAGTCTACCAGCAACTCTTCCTAGCACATCAACAGCACTAACTTCCATCCACCAGGCTGGCCAAGGCATGAACGTCTCAATGATGGACTCCTACAACCTAGCCTGGAAACTCATATACCACATTAACGGGCTCGCACCAGAACCGGCCGGTCCTAGCCCAGCCCCATTACTTGAGACATACCAGACAGAACGGCACGAAATAGCGCAACAGCTCATCGACTTCGACCGGAAGTTCTCCACCATGTTCTCAGGGCAAATGGGCGCAACCGAAGGTCTGACCCAAGAAGAGTTCCAGCAGGCTTTCAAACTCGGCAATGGCTTTACCAGCGGCTGTGGCGTGGAATACCCAGAGAACATGCTAGTTGTCCGCGATGAGCTAGACGATGGTGTCGAGAGAAGACGTCCAAACCCCATCAAGGGGACGGAGTATATATCTGGCATCCTGAGACCGGGCCGGAGATTGCTTAATGTCCGATTGCTGCGGCATGCTGATGGGTGGCAGCGGGATATTCATGATGGTATGTCAATGCGATGGGAGTTTGTGGTTGGAATATGATATCTAACTAGATAACACCACAGATATCCCCTCCACTGGCCGGTTCCGCATTCTATGTCTCACATCGACGGACCTTCTTGATCGAAGAAGTGTTTCTGTACAGACATTGGAAAAAGTCGCTCTGCTTGAAGCGCAGTTCCCGAAATCGACTGTTGAGCTGATTATCCTGCATCCCCGGCTGCATCGGTCTTTTGAGTGGAAGGACGTGCCGACTTGTGTGAAGCAGCAGGCTGAGATGCGTTTCTATAATGGGTCGGCTTTGGATAATGCGTATGGTATCTATGGTGTGGACCCGGCACAGGGTGCATTGGTGGTGGTTAGACCTGATGGTTATGTTGGTGTTGTTGCTTGTCTTGATGACGTGCAGAGGGTGGGTGGATATCTGAAGCAGTGTATTCGGACTGTCATGTAATTTGCAGAGCTATTAGAGCATGGAGTCACTTTTGGTAGTGGAGGTCATAAAGTCTGGATGGTATGAGATGTATGCAAGGAAATGAAAAAGACAATGGTAAGAATATATTTTATGTACTCTGATTTTCAAGTCCATCATTAAAAGTGATAGAGTATGTGAATAATGAACCTTGTCCTCCACGCTTGAACGCAATTAATATATAAGAAAAGCACCTCTGAAAACTCCAAGTTCTATGCGACAAAATGGGTGACCGAATTCAAGTGAGTGGGTGTTTGTACTGTCGTAAAAGGTATGTGGTAGGACGCCACGTGGTCCACGAGATGTAGATACCAGCCCGGGAGGTGTCACTGGATTTGAGAATGAACGCTCAACCTTGGAAGTCGAGACCGGAATCAACACTGTCCGTAAACTTGACAATAACATAATTTTTCATCGGGACAACTGTCAAGACGGTTAGTTCAACTTATAACAAATGTGACCGACCATAACTTACTATACCCCTTGCATGCCGAAAATGATATGCCACAAGAACTCCATAACCCGCCCCGACGAAGCGTCAGTAAGCTCCGTGTCGATAATCCATTGCCGGAACTTGATATAATCCTCAATCGGACGCCTCTGAACCTGGTTTCGCGAGACAGCGAATTGCGCGCAGCATGCGGCGCCGATCTTGGCCGGCTTGCGAAGATACATCTGGCCAGCGGACTCCTGCTGCGTGGATGAGGAAGTATTCAAAGGAGGCGTACTCGTGCCGTCGAAGACATCCAACCAGACCTGGTCGGTGACATGACTATTGAAGCGGTGGGCGTCCCTGCAGCCGGGATTCCAATTGCAGCGGAGGTTGACATAGCCGTTTTGCTGGACGAAATCGGACTGCAGACTGCGCATGGCGACGACGTTGTCGTGGAGTGGCGCATCGACGTGCCATGCCATGAGGAAGCCTGCGCGGTGAGCGTGGAGAAAGGCGATGGTCGAGGGGAGATTGTGGTAGTAGTCGATTATATACGTGAAGTAGGCCATGGCTTCGTGGCCTTTGTTGAATGGAGTTGTTAGAACATCAGGATTTAATCGTGTCTCGTGTGAGGGGTTGACAGTGTAGATTGCCCGTTGCCAGCTGTTTAGAAAGAAGGCCAATTAGTTGGGGTCTTCGAAGTGCGAAATCGAAGCACTCACTCAGGAAGCTCGTCTTCCACCCAATCGGTGTTCTCTTCTTCCAGCTTGGCCATCACAATCACCTTATCACCCGGTGTGATCTCGCCGTGTGGGCTTGCGGCAGTGCCATGGCGATCTAGCCAACGAATCACATATGCGCCAGCGCGATATTGATTGCAGATGTCTTGTAGATGTGCCTCGAGTAGATATACTGAGAATAGAATGAGGCAGGTAATGCAAAACCCCGCGATACGGAGTCCGCCTTTCATAATGAATGAAGATATTAAAAAGTCTGGGCCTCTGTGGAGTGGTAGTAAGTGTGACTCGAAGTAGATTCACTACTAAGCCATTGATATGTACCCGATGTATGCGAAATAGGAGTAGAAGGAGTAGAAGGAGTGAATATTCCAAAGTACCACCCCTGAAGGCAAAAAAGATCCAAAATGAAGGCGCGGAATAATAAAGGAAAGAGAGGGGGACTAGTCAAGGCAGATGAAATGGAAATGAAAGATTACCCCGTACAAATAGGAAAAGATTTAAAGTCAAATAGAACCGAAGAGGGAGCTTCTCCCTGGACTTGCCCCGTTTCGACCATGTCATGGCCATATATATCATTGGCCACCGGGGGGCGTTTGACTCCCCTGAGCCGCCTTTAGTCTGATGCCAAGGGGCGTTTGGGTTTTTGGTTTCGGTTTTTGGTCGTTTGAGGGGGAAAGAAAAAAGCTTGGCTTGGACCTACGCTTAACCCCTTTTTGACGAGTTTACGCTAGAGCCATGGACGGGACGAAAGGCTGAACAGTTGATCTTACGAATCGTACTACGGAGGTACACTCCCATCTCCATTCTCGGTATTATTGCACTCTCTGAATCCACCCTGATAATGCGTGTTTCTGTCCGTAAGGGCACGTGGCTTCGACAAGTTGAAAGGCTTTTTTCCAATTTAGGAATAGTCCATATACTAAGGAACTAAGGCGCCCAGACTATTATTAACTACTTACAGACTAAGACAGTGGGGCTCGGTTGCAGTCGATTTTAAATTGGCCAGAATAACCTTTAGTGGTCGGCTCCATTGGTCCTTTTTGTCGATGCACAGCCTACTTGGGGAACATGGAACCATAGTCGAATATAGTCGAATAATATTAATCTTAAATAATACGTACCGTCATATATTAATGGACCATGAAAGATTCAGGGCCCTAATATGCGGGTTCTTATTTCTGTGGCTGTGACGGCCCACATCTTGATCAAGTGGATTGCAATATGTCTTGTAAGACCTCTGAGATCGGGGATTGATACTCCGCAATGTAGCTAAATCATGTAAAATGGGAAGGAATATCCCGAGGGGCATCTGATGGAATGCAAAGTGATTGTACGGAGTATTGTATCGCACCATAACTAGACTGCACTTGGCACTGGCGACTCTTGATTAACTTAGCGGGGAACATGAGCCATTTAAAAGGCCCGGGCGCGGTTTTATTGCCGTGGAACTACGGAATATGTCCGCGTTAGGGTTGCGTCGCATGCCGCGTGGTCGGCATTATTCCTTGGTCTTGTTGACGAGCGTATTGTTGTATTGTCTATGGCTAATGAATGGTCAAGCCCTGGTACACACCTACAACGTACATGGTACAACATATATACCTTAATCCACTTTGCCACATTATATTACCAGGCCTAGAAATGATATACATGGACGGAGTATTCTCTTTGATTTGCGTTTATATGTTACGACGCATTATTACGATCAACTGATTTTCCAGTCGCGTTGTAATAGAATATGCAATGAGAAGTGTGGCAGTCCAGCTGCTTTTGTGTTTATATTATGCTATCCAGAGATCCGGCTAATCACTATCATCCTCTTCATCGCTAACCTCCTCCCCCTTTGCAATCGCCTCTTCTCGAATCCTGCGCGCACGTTCTCGCTTCTTGTTCAGAAGAGTATTCAACTTCTTCGCAACGTTGAAGACACCCCCAGTTCCCTCGCCACAAGCAGCACACGACGGAGTCTTCCGGTACCGCTGCAGGGCACAGGCTTCACAGAAATAGTGCCCACATTTGGTGATGATAGGTTCTTGATAGGGCTTCACACAGATTAGGCAGGCAAATGGGATGCTCTCTAGCAATTCATCTTCATCATCTTCATCGTCTTCTGCGTCGACTTTGCCCGCACCTTTTCGCTGGGAAATCACTCGCCCGGTTAATTGCTTGCCCTTGGTGTTGACTTCCCAGTCCCGATCCAGCTCCCATCCTGCCTTGTATGCCTCGCGAGAATGGAGATATTTACAACTGTCTCCAAAGCCACACTGATTTTAAATAGTTAGTCTCGATCCAAAGACAGATGCAGGCGAGGGTAACTCACGTAGCCAGTTTGTTTCCAATCCTTGCACACATCAGGGGCATAATCCGTGACTGTAATAGTCCTAACATTGGTCGCTGCTTTGACAGGACCGAATTTCCCCGGTGCGTCGGGGTTCTTCTGGATGAAAGATTGATAGTTGGCAGCGCCCTTGTAGCTTCCGTCTAGCTGTGAGGTAGAAGGGGCTGGTTTCGCCCGGGTTGTGCCCAATAAGTTCTTCTCGCTCAAGTTCTCATCGTACCAGTCGGAAGCTTTGGTGGCATCGTTGCTCGAGGTTAATGGAGCAGGAACTGCTGCTGTAGGTCCGTCTGTGTGCTGTTTCCTTGTCGCATTTGTCGATGAAGCGGTGACAGCTGCATTCTTGCGTCGCCTCTTGATTCGCCGCCCTTCTTCGTCATCGGATGATATAAAGTCGGAGTCGGAGTCGGAAGCTGGAGGTGGCGTCGCGGGCTTCTTGCGAAAGTTGGCTTTGCCCTTGGAGCGTTTCTTGAAAGCGACTTGGGGGACAGCGTCTGCGACTTCGTTTTCTTCGCCCATTGTGTTTTGTATGTTGGTGAAGATCAGTCGAATAGATCAAGCAATTGTGTCAGATGCAAAGGTTGTAAAGATGCGGCGCATTTCCAAAGTCGAGGCCATGAAAATGACTAAGCATGTCGATGCAAACAAGACAAACACCCCCTTACTTTGGGACGCGTTTGATAGCAAAATGGCAGCCAAACACACGCAGGAACCTGTCGAATCAGCGTTTCATATGTTTTTACAGTTTCATAGTGAATTCCAAAGGTCCCTTCAGGGAAAACAAGATAGCCTAGTATCGTAGATTGATCTCTCCGTATGGGATGATCATCGATCGTGAATCTCAAACGCCGGCGCCAATAATTGGCAAATAACAATACCACGTTCACTCTACTCCGTACCTCTCTTCCCTTTTCTCCCCCGCCGAGTCATCCAAACTCGACCTGTCAAATCACTCCCTACGCTCCCTTTCCTTCTTTTCCGTTCATTTTTTAGATAGCTATCCTTCTGTTTTCCCTTTGTCTTTTAGTCTTTCGTTTATTCAGACTGGGGCCCATTCCAAAGGTCCTGCAGATCCCGAGCACTTTGTTGTGGTTAGTTGCATCTCTGCGCGCGTGTATCTGGCCAATCTCACTGGGAGCTCACTGATTCGTCCGAAGGTCGGTGTTTGTTATTTTTAATCGTGTGGGCTTCCCCCTCTTCCCTTCCACATCTTTCAACAGCGTACCGTTTGACGCCTATCGCATCAACATCAGCGTGTTAATCCCGAATCCCTGAACAACCTTTGGTCGCTGGTCGGCTCGGCAGAGACCTCCACGGAAAGCGTCTTGTGACACCTTTGACCGAGTGCGGCGATTCGGATAATGCCCGCGGCCTAGAATCATAACAACGATCAAGCCGCGAGTCCCTGATATCTCAACGGCAACTGTGTCCTCGGCATTAAGAGGATTCAGATGCCGTTCGAGGCCCCTGATTCCCACATAATGACCACATCCAACGCTGAGGCCACCGGGCCATTTGCGTCCATGGACGACCCCTTCGTTGCGAATTCCGGAAGGCCAACTGCTCGTCGCGACTCCAATCGATACTCGCCCTTTGATAGTCAGTTATACAGCCTGAATGCGTCTTCACCAGCACAAGCTAAACGGGCCCTCGAGGCCCACTTGGCGGAGACGGAGCGCCGTCTGGAGGAGGCCTCAAGGCTAGGAACGGCCCTTATCGATCAGCAACGGCAGCTCTCGGAGCAGTTGAAGGAGGTTGAGCAGGAGCAGAATGAGGGAGAGATGGGCCCGGAACTGCGACGCAAACTGGCAGATTTGGAAAAGGAGTACAATGAGATCGGCTTGGAGTCAGCACGAGCGTTTTTAGGACCCAAACGTCTTGCCGGAGGCCCGGAGGATGCTCAACTTGGAACGCTATCTTTCGATCAAAAGGTACTGCCTGGGTTTACATCTAACTCTAACCGAACTAACATCGAGCTCTGATAGTCACCCTTAAATTCCGCTTTGTTCGCCAGTCAAGCCACAAACTCCCCTAGCAAAGTCAGCGTTCCATCCCGCAAGCAGCGCAATCAACCGTCGAACCGTGTCCACGATATCGAATTTGCGACTGAGATCTCCACTTCACTTTTGGCCCAGGTCCGCCAACTGCAAGCTCTTCTCGCAGAACGAGATGAGACACTCAAGTTTGTTAATTTGGAAAAATCTAGACTTGAGTTGGAGGCAGAGGGTTATGAACAAAGGATCCGGGCACTCGACGACAGTGAGCAACGCTACAAGGACGAGAACTGGGCGCTGGAGACTCAAGCACATGAATTTATGGCAGCTGCAAGGGAGGCCGCGGAACGTGAACAACGGCTCAACACTACCATCACGTTGTCGACTTCGGAAAAGAACGCCGCGGAACGAGAGCTGGAGGAGCTAAGGCAGACCAATGCGAGGCTGCTTGAGGATCAGATCCTCACGCAGAAGGCAAATGATGCGGAAATCCACCTCTTGCGGAGGAACCTGACTGCTGGCGATGCGGAAAAGGCCGCGCTCCAAAAGAAGCTGATAGAGATGACTTCTCAAAATCAAGAACTCGCCAAGGCCGTTGCCATGAGGCTCCGGGACTATGAAAACCAAAACTCGAGGGATATTGCATATGACGACGAGGACAATGAGCCCGAGCAGATCACACCTGAAAGCTCTCCGCCACCGTCCCCCAACAAGTTCACTCCCCGCCATGGCCATCTCGAATCGGAAACATTGAAGAGCTCGCTCGGCCATGCTCATCGCATGATCCAGAGTCTTAAGAGCACAATTCATCGCGAGAAGACCGAAAAGATTGAGCTCAAGCGCATGCTGCAAGAGGCTCGGGATGAAGTTGAGCAACGCCGCCGTGAGAGCACTACGGTAAACGCAACCAGCAAACGCCAGAAGACGAAGACGGAGCCGTCCCGAAAGCCTCCCCGCCCAGATCTTTTGGGCGCAGGCCGCAAAGAGATATCAGTTGTTGAGCTTAACGACACCGATTGGGAAGACAATGCGGGCCAAATCAGTCCTACCGAGACCCACACCAAGGCGTTATCCACTAGAGGCCGCTCTCGCTCGCCGTCTCCCGATGAACCTAGCGACGTCTACCATACAGCCACCGAGGCGGAAGATGGATTTGAAACAGCGAATGAGATGGCAACCGCAACTGAGAGCGAAGCATTCCAGACTGGTGTCGAAAGCATGGCGGATGACAGCAGCGATTCTGCAGATCTTACCGAGACAGAAAACGTACAGACAACTCCTCGCCGCCGAGTGCCTTCTCCCCTGCTCCTGGCCAAAGCTCGCAATCGCAACTCATATAACAGCACTGCTTCCGCATCTTCCGATGAGGAAGAATATGATAAAGTGTTCGACTCTCCGAGCCAAAGGAATGCCTCCAGACCCCGTGTTAAGTCTAAACGTAGCGTGAGACGCATTCGTCCATCTGGAGAGGCCACATTCGCATCAACCAGTCGACCTTCGAGTTCACGCGAATCCGCAGCACCCAGCTTTGCGCCAGTGCCAATAGCTCAAGAGGGCCAGAGCCTCTTTGCCGAACTTGGAGAGCTCGAGAATATTGAGGATGACGAAGTAAACTCCCAGGCTTCGACACCCCGCATGGAGCCTGCATCGGGCTCACGCAGACCCTCGGATGCAATGCTGGATGCACTACCTAAGCCCGCAATGGTGGATTCTGGTGTTATGACTGAACCTTGGGAGCCCACGTCTATCAGTACTGGCATTGTTGCTGGAGCTGTCGGTCTTGCTGCAGGAGCTGCTCTGCCGCATGCTCTTGCACCTGACGCAACTCAAACAGACCGGGAGATCGGCGAGGAAACAAAGGCGACTCCACTCAAGCCCTCATCTGATGACCCATCGAATGTTTCTTCCCCGCAAAACATGCTTGTGGGCGATCGTTCGGTTCAAGACCAGCAGGACGATGTCAACGCTCAACCAGATCTACCCGAAATGGGCATAGCGCACGTTTCTTCCCAAGAAACCACGCCTTCCGCACCTAAGCGTCCTGATCTGAGTGTCTCATTCATTACCGGGGGCACCACCACACCAGTGAAGCATGTCCTGCCCGCACCGGAAGTGCCGGAGATGACGATATCTTCAATTTCATCACAAACATCTCATCCTATTCAACCAACGGTTTTCGTGCCTGAGCCAATCATCAAGCATGTCGAGGTTATCAAATACGTGGAACGCGAGCCGGAGGTGCCCGAGCTGACATTCTCCTCCATCACCACTCAATCAACCTCCCCTGTCCAAGCAACAGTTGCTGTGCCAGAGCCTATCGTCAAGTACGTCGATGTGATTAAAGAGGTTGAACGCGAGCGTGAAGTTCCAGAACTGAGCTTGTCGTCTGTCGCCGCTCAGTCGACAGTACCTATCCAGGCAACTATTGCGGAACCAGAACCCGTCATCAAATACGTCGAGCGCGAGCGCGAGATCCCCGAGTTGACATTATCTTCCATTAATAATCATTCTACTGCGCCTGTTCAGGCAACACTTGCTGTGCCGGAGCCTGTCGTCAAGTACGTTGATGTGATCAAGCACGTTGAACGCGAGCGTGAAGTACCAGAGTTGAGCTTCTCTTCTGTCGCCGCTCAGTCGACGATACCTGTCCAGGCAATCCAGGCAACTGTTCCCGAGCCGGAACCCATCATAAAATACGTCGACGTAATCAAACACGTCGAACGCGAGCGCGAGATCCCCGAGTTGAGCTTCTCTTCCATCAATAATCAAACGACTGTCCCTGTCCAGGCAACTCTTGCTGTGCCGGAGCCTATCGTCACGTACGTCGAACGTCAGCCTGAGGTGCCTGAATTGACCTTCTCCTCTATCACTGCTCAAACCACCGAGCCAGTCCAAGCAACTGTTCCCGAACCGCAGCCGCCTGTCATTCAATACGTTGATGTCATTAAGCACGTTGAACGTGAGCGCGAAGTGCCAGAGGCAAGCTTCTCTTCTATCACCACCCAATCCACTGCGCCTGTACACGCAATACTTGCCAAGGCGGAGCCGATTATTGAATACGTCGACGTTATAAAGCACGTTGAGCGCGAGCGCGAAGTGCCTGAGTTGACGTTCTCTTCGATCACCACTCAATCTACTACGCCAGTCGATGCAACTGTTCCTGAACCCGAGCCACCTGTCATCCAATACGTCGATGTTATCAAGCATGTTGAACGTGAGCGCGAAGTACCGAACTTGACGATCTCTTGCCTCGATCCCGCATATACGGAGCCTATTGTTCCAAAGCCCCGCCTTGTCCCTACGCCGGAATTGTCATTCTCCTCCGTGCGCTCTGTGGAAACTCATCCAGCGAAGTCTATGCCATTTGTCATCCCTGCGGTGGCAGACTTATCTACTCAAATCGAGCCGACAGAGTCAAAGGCTGGGGCCGCTGTGATGGTCCCCGGAGAGCAGCCTGTTGGCGCTACTCGTAGCCGCCCTAGCACAGCTAATAGTGATCAGCTCGCTGGTGCTGGACTGGCCTTGAACGATATCTCTGGCAACGCCCTACCTCGTTCTGTTAGACAGCAACCTAGTTCAGTGAGCATGGACCAAGGATCCCAGACTATCCTGTCCTCTAAACAGATAGATCAAATCCTCATGGATCGTGTGTCCGCACGCCCGCTGTCTTCCGACAGTCAGGTGACGGACAGCTCACGGGAGATTGCCTCAGTCACTGCAAGTATCACAACTCCTCATGTACCACCCAAGGCTCCGACGCGACCTCGCCTTTCGCAAATTCAGGCTGCGAAGCCAACAACGCCAAGTCACCGCCGGCCCCACAGTTCAGCCAGTCAGACATCTGGTGCCAGCCATCCTCCACTACCCTTCGATCACCGGGAAGCTATCACAGCAGCCGAGAAGAAGTCCATCGACGTGGCTCCGCCATCCCCTACGTCTGTCATGGGGCCTCCTTTGGCACCTGCCTCTGCCTACCGCATGAACTCCCAGCGCCCACTTACGCCAAGCGAACACGCTGCGCGGGCAAGCTCTTCAAGAACCGGTTCATCTCAGGCCAGAATGAGGAGAGGAAGTCAAAGCCAGATGTCTCGACGATCCTCAGTCTCGTCTTTTGCGTCTGAGCTCGAGGAGCGTTTCAATATGGCCCCTCAAGTTGGCCCCATGCCTCAGGGCTATGGACCTAATACTGATCCGCGCATGATCCAGGCGATTACTCAGACCATGATTGGTGAATTCCTTTGGAAGTACACTCGAAAGACCGGCTCGTCGGATATGTCCACAACACGGCACCGACGATACTTCTGGGTTCACCCGTATACCCGTACTCTGTATTGGAGTACGCAGGACCCGCAAACTGCCGGAAAGACTGAGCTCCGTACCAAGAGTGTGCCTATCGAGGCTGTTCGAGTGGTTGCCGACGACAATCCGTATCCTCCGGGTCTTCACTGCAGGAGCTTGGAGGTTGTCAGTCCTGGCCGACGAGTTCGCTTTACGGCTACGACGAGCCAGAGGCATGAGACGTGGTTCAACGCGTTGTCTTACCTCCTTCTGAGGGAGACCAACGAGAGCTGCGAGGACAATAACAGCGTATCCCTTGACGACATCAACGAGTTCAACCCCCCAAGCTTCCGGTCTAGCTCTCGTCAGAACGCACGACTGTCGTTCTCATCTTACAATAGCCGCACCGCTCGTCATGCATCCAAGCAACAGCGGCGAGCGGCCTCGGCGATGTCCATGCGATCCTCCGGGACTCTCGGTGGCCGTGCGTCACCGGCGCTCAGCTCACCTGTACCAAACTCGTCGTTGCAAGTTCCTGATGATCGCCAACGTTCTTCGTCAAGACTCAGCACCATCTCAAGTTCGATTCGGGGATCCATCGCAAGTCTGAAGGTACGGCACGGTCAATCTCCCAGTATCAACGATGAAGTTCTTCATGGCCAAGAAAGTGCCGATGATCTGAGACAAGTGATCGAAACCCAGGAGCAAGACCGACTTGAAAATGTCCGTGCCTGTTGCGACGGAAAACACGATGTTGGCTCCCTTGCTCGCACCAGTCGGTACAGCCCGAGGGTCAATCGCATGCACTCACCCCACCATCGCTGAACATCCAATGAGATTGGCATTTGTTCGTAGGGTTTGTGGGCAGGTCCTCAACCCAGACTCGAGTCACTTATAAAGATAATGACGACGAGTCTCCTCTTATTCTGTATCTTGTCCAACCAGCAACCCTTCTAATAGTGTTTTTAACCTAACTTCTTTCACACGAGCGTGGAATCCCTCATACCTCAAACCGAGACTCATGTACTCTTTGGTGATTCTGGACTCTTGGCTCCGACCCCCTGAATAGGTTCACCTAACTTCCTCCGCCTTCTCTCACCTACGATCTTTTTCTTTCTTTGCTCTCTACAGATCTCAATTCTCCTGCGTCTGTTCTGTCTCTGTCCTTCGTTCAATCATTCCGTTCTGGAACGTTTCTCCCAATCTGAGTCTGCTATTTCCTTATAATCTCCTTTTATGTGATAATCCTTGTGACCACTACATGCCGTCGTCTTTGTACTGATAGGCACCGCTCTTTCTTCCGGAGCATCTGTTGAGTATTTGTGCAATTTGCACCAACCCAGGATGCTAGATACTAGTCTATGTTCAATTTTGTTGGATTAAGCCTGATTACTTTTCATCTCGTAAGATGTATGATCGTGAGATTATAATTAGCTATCGGAATAATCACGCCATTGCCATTCATTCATTGGTCATCTTCAGACCACAGCCCTAGTCAGCTAAGTATGTGACTTGTTTATCGCCGACCCCACAAAGCTCCCCGGTCACGTGGTGCATTTCCGCTAACTATATCAACCTTTTCTTGTAATCTCTCCTCTTACATCCATTGGAGTTGGTGAAATCGGATTTTGACCATCTCTGACTATAATGTCAACCGAAAGCCCCCGCCGTTCGTCGAGCGAATGCTCGCAATGTTCGAGCCAGCACATATCCTGACTTGGGCGATGTCGCGTAAGTACAGTGGTCGAACAGATGCCGAATGGCTTCGATATCAATTATGGAATTGGACGCCGGCGGGTGTGCTCTCAATCTGCATTCTGCTTGTATTTACCCTATGCTGTATTTATTTTTTGTATCGTCTTTTTTTCTTTTGGGAATCTCTCTGTATTCTGTTTGATATATTGGACATTCTCCGCACATCAGCACCAATTTCTCATTTGATATAAACTAGCACATTACTAACTGCAATACAGACTACATCCGAGTCTGCGCCGAAGCAGTCTTCAAAAATGGCCAGCTCTTTGCCCTAATTACCCAGACCCGGAGACTTCGCGATGAAGCATTCGGAAGATTCTGGATTGAGTTCACCAGTGAGTCCCAGCCACACATCAACAAACCAAGAGCGGAGCTTCTTGCTCTTAGCAATCTCTACAAATGAACGAGAAAAACCGCAAGAAGCAACGCCCTATAAAAAACATATAAAAAATATAAAACACAACTCCTAACCAAACCACCCTCCAGCCTCCCGCCAAATGAGCACCGACCCCAACAACCAAGAAATCCCCGAGCCAGTCGGCTCCTCAGCCCTAATCCCCCCAATCCTCCGCACAGCCTCAGGAATAGTGCTCGACATCGGCCCAGGCACCGGCACGCAGATGCCCCTACTAACCTCACCCTCAATAACAGCGCTCTACGGCGCCGAGCCCTGCAAAAGCCTGCACTCCTCGATCCGCGCAAAAGCGACAGCAGAGAACATCTCCGCCAAATACCACATCGTACCGACAGGCGTAGCAGCGCGCGAACTGATCCCCGCCCTGCGAGCGACGGACACAGGCGTCGTGGACGCGTACGATGCCGACGCGCGCGCAGGAATCTTCGACACGATCCTGTGCGTGCGTGTGCTGTGCTCCGTGCCGGAGATGGAGCGGACTGTGCGGGAGCTGTATGGATTGCTTCGGCCTGGTGGGCGGCTGCTTGTTACGGAGCATGTTGTTAACCCGTGGCGCCGGGCGAAGGGGTCGGTTGTTGGGCGGGTTGTGCAGGGTTTGTATGGGGTTCTTGGGTGGAGTTGGTTTGTTGGGGATTGTTGTTTGGATAGGGATACGGAGGCGGTTTTGAGGGCTGCGGCTGATGGGGATGGGGGGTGGGAGAGGGTGGAGTTGGAGATGAGTTTTGAGTGGTCGGCTATGCCTTATATTTCTGGGATTTTGGTTAAGAAGGGGGTTTATGTTGGATGAGTTGGTGTGAGTTGGGTATAGATGTATTTTTCATCAATGTTAAATGGGTATCTTTGTTCTATCATATTTCCCTTGTTTCAATAAGAGCATCGGGGTCATTCTGGGTCTCGAGAGCTTGTTTCGGATAAACAGATAACATAAGCCTCATGAGGAGAAGCATTTTAAATCATAAGCCCTGACGGATTGGGGAGAGAGGCGGGGAGGGGAGTCTGTGGATATGAATGCATGGGTTTCCACGACACGAATTGCAAGCGCTATTTCCACAAGTGTGCACTTGTGAATGGCATCTTGAAATGTAGTTGCCCTCGCGTGACACTACAGAAAGCTGCTCACTGGATTTTTGAGAACAACGGTTTTCGGCGACTTGCTGGTTGCTTCTCATAAGACGGTAGACCTTGTTGGGTACAAGAACCTTGGAAGGCTCTTGTCTTTGTGTTGTCAAGTTGGTTTGAACCCTACTCATTGTTGTTTAGAACCTCATGCACGGCTCTCAGGCCGAGCCACAGTACGTAATTCATTCGTTTGGTTTTGGTCGTCCAGCAGGCCAGAAGTCAAACAAATCCAAGGCCTCGGATGTCCAGGGGCCTTGCTCTCTAGGCTCGTTTTCCTTGTTAGCCGCGTGGAATGGTCCTCCTGCTCGGACCTGGCGGGTAGTCGATTCAATCGGGTTGGACATTGACTTGCGCAAGGGTGAATTGAGAGATTTTCCCGCGTTTAGACTTTTGATCGTGGAGGGCGATTTGAACCCTGATCCATTTATCAACTCGTCGAAGATAAATTGTGTCGAGCTTGAGGGCATAAACTCTTCGTTTGATATTGAGGAATCACCTGGAACGGCGGCCAGCCTGCACAGAATCAGTATCACAATTTTGGTTAATGGGTGGGTACCGTACTAACTGTTGCTCTGGGGTATTTGTGGCGGGCTCACTTGCACTACCAGGAGATGTATCTGAGGTCGCTGGCGATGGAGTTCGTGAAGCGCCCGGCAATAGAGCACTGTACATCAGTTTCCTGCGTGGCTTCCCGACTCCCATGCGTAGGGCGGATGTAGGTGCCCCAGAGCGTAGTGTCGATGATGGACGTGATGGAGGCGGCATGCTCGTTGAAGATGAGATGTTGACTGGAGATGGTACGTTGACTGTGGGTAAAACATTGGCTGGAGGTGGAATGTTGGCTGTAGGTGGAACATTGGCTGGAGGTGGAATGTTGACTGATGCTGGAACGTTGATTGAAGCTTGATTACCCACAGGTTCGATAGGGTTCACATAATTGCTGACTGCACGCACCGGCGTCTGTGGTGTAGATCTAGCAGACGACGGTTTGGGTGCGCTTGTGAGGGAGCTCCTCGAAGCCGCCGGAGGGTCAGACCTCTGTGGTGGGATGGGACGTGACAGAGCTCTTGATCGATTTTCGCGGCTGATTGATGGCCGCTCCACGCGCAAGGTCTCCCGTGGCCTCGGTATTTCAGTTTCTGGGGTTACAGTGGGAAGGGAACTTGTCGAGGGGCCTCGGGGCCTTGGCGGTTGAATAGGTGGCGGGTCATCTTTCGATTTATTGCCTAGTGACCTTGCAGGTTGGAAACCCTTGACGGGTGTACGGAATAATTCCTCGGGTGTTGGTAGACTGGAGATCGGTTCAGATGCAGTTGAAGCGGAGGCGCTTGAGAACGAAGGAGGATTGGGTCTCTGTGGCCGAGTTGGTTTCGACCTCTGCTCACGATTTACCGGGAGTGCTGCATCAGCCGTAGAATCACCCCCAGCTCTATGTGGTTTTTTCGGTTGTTTCGGCCTTTCCCTCTCAGAGAGTCCCTGAATTGAATCGGTTGAATCGGTTAAATCGATCACCTCACCCACACGCGAGCGTTGCTCGCCTCGATTCACCACCGAGGATGTCTTTTGTCGCTTCGGTGCTCTTTCGGGTTCCTGAATGCTGGAGGCTGGTTGCGGGGGATTCCTTTCCTCGTGCGGGCAGATCAAATGCCCAATAGGAGTCTTTTTAATGCCCAGCAAATCGTAAAGTGAGCGAAATGACTGGGAACCGCGAAGAGGTACGGAGGCAGAAGGTGCGTAGGTAGAGGGGGAGCGCGGGTCTCTGGTCGGCGGCGAGCCCTGGCTTGATTTCTTTTTTTCGTACAGTGTTGTGATATCCGTCTCAGTCGTGCCCATGTTCTCGGTCACCTCAATCAGGACTCCCTTGTCCAGCTCCATTTCGTCGCCATCTTGTACTTCATCGGTGGATCGCCAGTGGTGGTCGCCGATAAAATTACCCTGGTCATCGTATACCATAACACGTTTGTTGTGTTTATGATATCGTAAGTGTCCGTCGTGCCATCGTTTGGACTTGCGGCGTAGGTCGTGAGTGTACAGGCAGCGAAACTTCACGACCGAGGCAGTGACCTGCGGGGAGGTAGGAGGAAGACGCGTGGAGGAAGACGGTGTGGACATCATTGTGGCATTGTGAAACAGCTAATTTATTTGACCATGGCCGCATCGCATGGAGTCGCGAAATGTAGTTTCAGTCGCGTCCACGCGGGTTGTTTCGCGTTGAAAGTGGAAACGATAAGCTGATAAGGCAGACTTTGAGGCCTCAGGCACCAATATTGGAAAATATATGTTGTAGGTATTAAGACAGGTATTCGACAGTTATTTGTGATTGCCTAAAAGAAGATTTGAATTAGACCTGCATTATTGATTACTGGTCGTTTTCAATTGAATCTCAGCTGAACTTTCAGCCAGCCTCACTATGTTGCAGGCTATGCGGGGTAGATTGTCTGTTTTCCACCATCGCCTCACAACGCTGACAACACCTATACCAATATACATTCCCAACAGGACTATCAACTCGATCAATCCGGCAAATAAGTTATCTATTGCTAGAATATCCATGGCTACTCCCATCACCGCTCCGTTCGGCCAATGGAAGAGCCCAATCAGCTCTACTTTGCTTGGTGCTAGCGGTGTTCAGTTTGAATCCATCGCGGTATGTTCAATGAATTTCAACATCGCTCATACTTAAGATTTTAACGACCTCTTTAGTCATCAAATGGAAAGGTTTATGTCATTGAGGGTCGACCCGGAGAGCAGGGACGAGGCTGCGTCGTTGAATACTCTGGCCTTGAAGGACGCGATATCTTACCGGCCAAGTACATACTAGATCTAGCCATGTATGAACCCAGGTCTAATGACAATCCACTAGATATGACGCTCGCACCAAAGTTCATGAATATGGCGGCGCATCGATGATCGCCTTCAACGGGCAGGTCGTCTTTTCTGATCGGGAGACACAGGATTTGCACAAAGTCGACCCCTCCACCGGTCTTGTTGAACAGATCACCACGACAGGCACTGATCTCCGCTATGCATGCACCTCTGCTATAGGCTCTTTGTCAGATAGTCAGGCGGACTCGGGATGGCTCTTAGCGATCGAAGAGGACCACTCCAAGCCCTTGCCGGCGGAAGTTCGGAACCGACTCGTCGCGGTACACGTACAGTCCAAAAAAATAGTCAATGTCGCCTCCGGCGACGACTTCTACAGCGCTGCTCAGTTTTCCCCCGATGGCAGCAAGATATGCTGGACCCAGTGGTCTCATCCAGATATGCCTTGGACAGGAGCCCGCCTGTATGTTGCTAATTGGAACAATGGTGAGGTCACAGACGTTCACCATGTGCATGGTGTGCCTAAGAAAGAAAGTGTCAGCCAGCCACGATGGGGCCTTGATAACACATTGTACTTCACGAGCGATGTTTCGGGGTATTGGCAGTTCTATCGGTTCAACTTTGACACTTTGGAAAGCCAGCGTGTGGCCCTGCATGGTCTGGAAGAGGTGGAATTTTCGCAGCCAGACTGGCGTCTAGGAAAGTACGTTTAGTCCTGACCCCAGGAGGCAGCTGGTTTGATGACTGACCTACATTTTGACAGCTGCACATACGTGTCTTTGACTCCTACTCTAATGATCGCGTCGTACAACAAGAATGCTCGATGGAGCTTCATCCTGATAGATCTGTCGAATGACACCTGGCAAGACCTGAATGTGCCAGTGACAGACACGGTTATATTGGCAGATAATCCCCTCTCAGACACAAAAATAGCCCTTCTTGGTTCCAGTGAAACAAGCTTCAGCACTGTTTTCACGTTGGACATCGCCGATGCCATCAAGCTCACTCCACTCAGGGTAGCTTCCGAGCTCCCCATGCCAAGTTCTCTTGTTTCCAAGCCAGAGCATATATCTTTTCCAAGAGTCCACGGTAAGAGCTTGGAAGGAGTGGCACATGCCATCTTCTACCCACCTCAGAACCCAGATTATCAAGCACCTTCTGGAGCGCTGCCGCCTTTGATCGTCTGCGTCCATGGCGGACCAACATCGCAAACCGGAACTGGCCTAAATATCACGGACCAATACTGGACTTCCCGAGGCTATGCTGTTGTCTGGGTAAATTACGGAGGTAGCTCCGGATATGGCAGAGCATACCGGGATATCCTGAATGGACAATGGGGTGAGAATTCACACTTCTCATGGCAGATTCATTCAATCCCTCCAATGCTGACCAAAGTGATTAGGAATTCTTGATACAGCAGATGCTGCTAGCTGTGTGTCATACCTGGCATCGTCTGGCCGAATTGACCCCAACGGAGTCGGTGTTCGCGGCCAAAGCGCAGGCGGATATATCGTACTCCAAGCTCTTTGTGACTACCCCAATCTCTTTGCCGGTGGCAATTCTCTATACGGAATCGGCAATGTCAAGGCTCTCTGTGAGGATACTCATAAGTTCGAGAGCCATTACGCATTCGCCTTGTTGTTTGATCCTGATGCGGATGAAGCCGAGAAAAACCGCATTTTCCGCGAACGCAGTCCCTGTTATAAAGCGGATAAGATTACTGCGCCACTGTTGTTGCTTCAAGGAGACCAGGATACGGTCGTTCCTATGAACCAAGCAGAGGAAATGGTCGAAATGATGAAAAAGGCTGGTCGTCATCCTAAGTTGGTGATTTTCCATGGAGAGGGACATGGATTCCGGCAGGCAAAGAGTCGGATAGCGGCCGTGGAAGAGGAGGAGAAGTGGTGGCAGAAAGGTTTGTTGAAGATGGATGAAGCGGAACTTTGAGAGCATCACGACAAGACGTTTTTATATGCCCAGAATTCAGTCGTCCTAGAACTCGTACTGTAATTCTGTTGTTATACTCTTTTTTGAATCTGTAGATATAAAGTCTAAGTCTACATAGTATATGTTTTGGTGGGATTGTTGTAAATTGAATAGTATGTATAAAACTTGATATTGCAAACCCCTGGAAACTGAGCCTATATCCGTATACTTCGTACTCGCTTTCCATTTCAATAGTTAAATAAACTGTTTCTCTCGGGCGAAAGGAAATAAGTGATCTATGCAGTCATGCTGAGTGCAAAAATGGGCGCAGAAAAAGCAAAGTTGTATCGAAAGTACTAAGCCTAAATGCCGGTAGTTCGTGTTGATAGAATCCACAACAATTTACATGCTACGCCATTTAGGGCAGGAGCTCAGGGATGTTCCAGACTTCTGATTCGTAACGATAACACTAGCCAGCGCATCCGCCTCAATTACAATTAGACAGGGCTGGGCCTATGGAAAGCGGGAGTCATCATCATTGGTTCATGATTCAGCTGTGCCTGGCCCTGCTTTTCCCCTCTGCTCACCTCCCCTTGAATCACAGGAAACACTTGCTTCTGTCCTGCTCTCCAAACATTCAAATTACACATTATATTTTCGTCATGGATATCAAAGACCAATTCCCTAGTGTCCACTGGATCTGGAAAGGAGGCATCTCTTTCGTTTACGAGGTCGACCCTCGCATTGCGGTCAAGGTCCCGCAGTCAGGAGAAGAGGAAAGGGAACAATTCGGCAAAGAAGTCGAGATATACCGCATATTCTCACAAAATCCGCCTTGCCCCTTTATCGTGCAATGTTTTCATATTTCAGGCAAAGGCATCTTCCTCGAGTATATGAGAGGTGTGACCCCCTATTACTAGCAAATAGGACTATCTACTAAACACTTATAATAGACGGGTCACTTTTTTCTAGAATAGAGGACAACCATACTCGGAACCGACAAAATATGGTGGTTACTAAAGTGGAAAAGTTGGAACCGCTATCCCTACGAAAGGGATGGATGAACGATCTCGCTCAAGCCGTCGCTTTCCTGGAATCTCTCAACCTCGCCCATGGTGATCTACGACCTGAAAATATTCTACTTGATCGTGACCGACTCAAATTATCCGACTTTGATTGCACAGCGAAAATCGGAGCGGGTCACGAAGCTTGTATAGGTCCATATGGCAGATTTCTTAATAGCAACGAACCGGATGAAGGCATTTGTGGAAGTTCCGGCTCCCTTGGCTCGCGGACAGAGCAGTTCGCCCTCGGTTCTTTATACTATTATATCAACTACGGATTTGAGGTTTACGGAGATCGATGTCTTACCGAGGACCCCTACGACCATGGTCCTAAGACCGTGGATTTGCTACAGAACATGGAGTTTCCGGAATTGAATGACAATCCACGGATTGACGATATCATCGAAAAATGTTGGCATAACAAATATGGCAAAGTCTCTGATCTAGCTTTGGACACGAATCGTTTCTTGAATGAAGGAACTGAAGCGGAAGGAAGTAGCGGAGTGGGAAACAGGGAGGAAGGGAATAGAAAGGAATTTCTGTTGAAAAAGGAACTCTGCCAAGACCTGGAGAAACGCGGACTTCTTGACTTGCTTTCTTCGGGTGAGCCTAAGAAGATTGGTTTCGAGTGCCAATTGTATAGGTACCGTATGAAGGCTTGAACAATGCGTGATTAATGTGGTTTTCCTTGGAGTTTGATCCTCATTGGATGAATAGGAAAAACTCTCACTTGTGGAAATTAATTGTTTGGTGTGGATTACTTTTGCTATACAACCTTGTATTCCTTAGATTGGAATAGGTGATATTTTCCTTATTGGAAACCAGACTTGGACGTTATACGATGCCACAACGAGATAAGGTATTCTCGACTGGATTCACCTTGCACGTTAAACAACCCCAATTCTATGTAGTAAAGGTGGAATTTCATTCTCTCGGTCCGTTAAAGGTACCCCGTAGGGCGAGCGGGCTAGCCGTGCCAAGTGCGTGTTGGGCGCTTGGCACGGCTAGCTGTTAAAACGGGCGTGAGGCTAAGACCAAACGGGGATGAGAGTGAGGGCGCCATACCCGGAATAGAAAGAGCTATTGATCGTTGCCTAATATCGAGGATACTATTCCGTATTTTAGATTGGATTATGACCGAAGAGAACACGGATATGACATTGTTACAGACAACTATAAATGAAGATCTGGATCACGTGAAAGATATAGAGTTCTGAGCTCAGCAGGTTAAGTTTGTCCGTCCACGGATGGATTCGTCGATTTCCAGAGTTCAATGTTTACATCTGCGTCTCTGTACGGGGTATATGTATGGTATACTGTATTTTATGAGCAGGTAGTAAGTACTACAATGCCTCACAGTACTCCGTACTCTGTAGGGCATATACTAGTATTCCATATCGATGAGATAAGATGGATAACCGGATTTAATATGATCTATCTAGAGTGGAGAAGGGTTCAGGGGATTGACATTGTCTCCTTCCCGAAAGGTCAAATACATTGGAGGGGTCGTGGCACGAGCCGCATGAAAGGCTGAAACACATTGGGGCTGAGTTATGTGTCATGAGGGGATGGGACGTTCCCCTTCCTTCCTTTCAATGTTTCTTCCCCCATCACTTACATTTTGCATTTGCATTGGATGACTTGGATGAATTGAATACATTGATTAATATTGACTTGAATTAAAGTTCACTCTTGTTTCAAACACGCTTCTGTCATCCCCTCTCTTCCCGTTCCGCGTTCCCCAGCTTCTGAGAGCTCATCGCCCAACATGCAGAACATGACGAGACGCTTTGGTCGCATGACGACTAAGTCGTCTGCAGATGACAGTCAAATTGCTGTGCTTTTAAAAGACTTCGACGATGCAGATATGCTCCTAGGCAAGGTAGACAATGTTACCCCGATGACGCGCGTTCTGTCGCATTTCCTGATACGTGTTATTTGATCAGATCGTGGAATCTACCCAATCCTGGCGTGATGCTTGGATCTCTATCGCAACTTACCAGAGTCGCCTTATTGATGAATTCGACGGCCTCTACGGTCCTATCATTGGCTCCTCAGAAACCCCGTCCAACCACAACGCCGTCGATACAGACCCCGTCAGATTAGCTCGGACAAACCGACTGCGCAAGGAATATGATGAACTACGTAACGACCTCATAGAGGAACTCGGTGCTGTCGATACTCGCATGACCAAGCCGGCTTCGCAGGCAAAGGAATCCCTTGCGCCGATGAAAAAGACGATCAAAAAGCGAAACGACAAGAAGGTACACAATAAATACCGACGTTCTTGGTGGATTAGTTCTAATATCCCAATTCTAGACCGACTTTGAAATCTCCCAAGGACGTGTTGATAGCCTCATGAAAAAGCCAAAGCGCACCGACCGCGACAATGCGAACCTGGCCAAAGCGGAGGCAGAACTTGCCGATACGAAAGAGGTACAATCTCAATGCCCAATACTATTCATAGAATAAGAAACACTAATCGCCGTCCAGGCTTACCAAGCTGCCGACGAGGACCTACGACAGCGACTCCCAACATTAATCGCCCTCATATTCTCCCTGACGCCATACTTCCTCGAAGCACAGGTCGAGATCCAAAACCGCATGCTTGCGAACTATTACACTGTACTTCACACTTATTGTACAGAAGAGGGATTCCCCTCCCCGCCACCAGACATGGAACAAGTTGTCCAAGACTGGGAGTTTGCCTTCAAACCTGTGCAAACTGAAATAGAAAACTTCGGTTCCCTGACCATCGGCAAGGCCATGCGTCGAGCCGCAGCCGAGCACGACAACAAGAAACGCCCTTCAATTGGAAGCCGCGCTCCTAGCAATGCCTCATCGACCTCGCTCCCATCTTACCGCCGAGGCTCACAAACACCAGGATCGTCGGCCCAGACACCCTGTGTACCAGAATACCCTCCCTCTCCGCCCCTGTCAACACTTAGCCACAAGAGCAGCGCAATTCCCGTTGGAAACGCCGCAGGATCTAAGCCCCTCGCAACGGGCGGTGACTACTTCGAGCCCCCTCGTCCTACATTCATGCCAACCCCACAAGCCACTCCCATTTCATCAGGAGTGGTCAGATCACCCGCCGGCCCCAATGTAGACTCTTTCCAGGCCAAGGTATCACCCATGGCTGCCGCCATAGGAAAGAAAAGACCTCCGCCACCACCACCGTCATCCCGTCCAGTGTTTGTCACGGCGCTGTATGACTTTGACGGCCAGGGGAATGGTGATCTGAGTTTCCGGGAAGGGGACCGCATCCGCGTCGTGCGGAAGACGGATAGCACGGACGACTGGTGGGAAGGCGAGCTGAGAGGGCAGAAGGGACCTTTCCCTGCCAACTACGTTGAGTAGTGGTATTGGAAACTCTGGACCTCGGGACCTCGGCAGAGGTTTCGGCTTATTAACATGCATTAAAATGACGCATCGAAGTTTATTTGGATCAATCCCTACGCGGCATCCAGGTACACGATTAATGAACTCTGTTCATGCTGGTTATGTTCCTTTGTATTTGTGGCTAGCCCTTTGGCATCTGTTCTCTCTTTTCTTGTTGGGCAACGTGGAAAACGATGTCCAATCGACAAATCTCTTCATTGTAAGAATAGTCGGCCGCGTTCGATTTTTGAGAACGACGGGATTAGTCTGTTAGATTCTTTTTTTTTCTTTTGATATATTCTTCCCTCTTCCTAGGTTTGATAGACGGCAAGTAAAAAGCATAAATTTGACGACTTTCTATGTATAACCTTTTAAACTGCGTGATCTTGTCGAGTTCCAGATGGCTGCATGCTGATACTTTCAGCCGGTAAGATGAGACGTTGCATCGAGTCTTAAGAATCATAAAATTTTCAATTTCAACGATAGAAGAATGGATTATTTACTAGGTTTGATCTCAAGATGCTATCTAAGTCTAGTTTGAACTGATCGATACCATCAGAGAAATCTCATTGTTCTCTGATTAGAAGAACTGAATATCAGACCAACGAATGTCAAGTTCCTTAAGGGAAAGCGCTGACCGACATTGTTCTTAAATCCTTGATTTCGAATCATAAGCAGTGAAAGGCTTCGAGGCTTTGTTCGCTTTACTTTGTACCTACCTAACTAGTCAGAGACCAACAAAGCCATTGTAAACAACCTCACATGAAAGACTTTGTTCTCTTCCCAACTGTCTCAAAGACAGTCTCTCGATAGAACTGCCCACTGTCTCACTACATCGCATTTAAATAACCTCGGACTGCCCCTTCAAGTCTATACACCATCATCAGACGGAAAGCAGTTCCCATCGTTCACGTCCACGGCGACGGTCCATCAAAACCAAACCAAGCCCCAACTCCACCCCACCACAATCAAAATGTTCAGATCAAAACTACCCCAACCCTGGAACCCCATAGGCCCAAGACGCCGAGCAGCCCTAAAGCAGACACGCACAATCTTCCTCTCAAACGGGCATCCCCACCACGAAGACCTCAGCCCAATGACGGACCTGTGGTGGGTATCCGTCAAGCTATCCATCACAGACTACCTCTATTCCGACGAAGAGTTGATGGACGTCGTGGTTGACCGGTGCCGCGCCGGTGACTGCGAGATCACCCATTACGAGGCCATGCACCACCGGCGCGAGCTTTATGTCTCGTTTCCCGTCATGAACTGCGATAAGGACCTTGGGCAGCGCGGCTGGGTTTTTATTGTTATTGGGCTTGTCGAGCATTATCAGAGGGAGATTGGGGCTGGGCGGCTTGCTGTTGATCGGGATTATGTTTTCGGGACTAGAGGATAGATAGCCTGGGGACTGGGGTCTGGGGTCTGGTGAGTGTGAGTTTGGGATGGTATAGTTGGTTCTTCTTATATTGCTTTGGGCTTTTTTCTGATGCGTGTTATAATAGTCTTGTGTCTGTTTCCTGGCCCATCTATTCTGCTATAAGACAAAGCATAAACAGGTAAATTGCTGGAATTCCAGTGCCAGGGGGAAAAGTTAAACCGAGAGATGATAAAATGAAATCTAATCAAGATGCGAAACAGACCGATGATTCACATGCAGACCCTTCTAGTTGAACTCTTTGGCAACTCTCACATTAATCAGATTGAGCCCAGGAACCGTCTGTCCATTAAAACAATCCCGAACAATGCGAATATTCTTCTCATCGGTTTCATGAAGCTCCAATTGGAACTTGCGGACAACGGTCCCTATCACTGCGTATAGCCACGAGTAGGTCATGCTAGTATATATCAGTGTCACTGGTCTGGAACTGGCTAAGAGACTGGAAGGTACTTACCTCTGACCCATGCAACTTGAATTGCCTTTTGCAAACGGAACGAGATACCTATCCAGTACGTGGACTTCCTCGGGAGGGCCCATCCAGCGTTCTGGGATGAATTTCATCGGCTCGGTGTAGACTTCGGGACTTCGTAGAATTGAGTGGGTGGTCATGCTGATGGGTGTCTATAGCAATATATTAGCGAAGAACAAGATTGGTGGACTGAGTATAAGATACCCCAGGTGGAATGGTCCATTTTCCGTATTGCAAAGCCTCATCTGGTGCACTACGCGGAAGTCTTGATGTCACAACGGCAGAAAGTCGTAGACCCTCTTTCAACACAGCAGACTGGCACGTTGTTAGTAAATTCCATGAAAAAATACAGATTGATGCTGCTCACCAGATAAGGAAGATGTTTCAACTTAGTCCAGTCCGCATCGGACAGAACAGGAATAGCCTGGTCTAACTCGTCTTTGAGTTTTTGGCATATTTCTGGATTCCAAAGGAGATGGAACATAGTGAGTGCCATCACTTGGGAAGGCGCATCAGTCCCGGCAATGATCAGAAACTTCAGTTCCTGCTCTAGGCGTTCGAGTTCTTTTTCCTCGTCGGGTAGTTTCTTATTGGAGAGAATAGTCGATAACATCGACTTCTTGTCTGGTTTTTCGTAGGCAGCTCTCACAGTTCTATCTATTTTCTAATTTTCTATCAGTATTTTGCATTCCAGATGATCACCACACATACCGTTTCGCATCGTTGGGCCCAAAAGAAGGTAGGAAAGAAGAAAGTGGCAATCTTAGGAAATGCGCGTGCCGGGTTGACCATAAATGGAAGATGTCTGAGAAGAATCAAGCCCTCGAAGATGCTGGTGACATATTGCTTCCATTCGTCTGTGATCTCTGTGTTCTTCAAGTAGTTATAGCAATTCGCAGGGCCGAGCACATACGTAGACGTCACGTCTACGGCGAAAGAAGCAAAGATAGAGTGCAAGTCCAGGAACTCTCCCGTGCCGACCCTTCTCGACAGGTGACTGCAGATCAGATCTACCTTTTCCTGAATGACAGGCTGCAGAGCTGTCACCGATTGCGTTGAAAGGAAAGGACTCAATAACTTCCTCCGCTCGCGATGGAGATTATGTGGCGCAGCCTCGAAGGTTGCCCGGGGCATCCCAGAGTGAATAAACGCAGGCACTCTGTCTCTTTTATTTAGCGGCCCGCCGTAGACAGTATCGTAAAAGCTGGGGTCTTTGATGTGGATCTCATAGGGATTGATGCGGAGGACAGGACCGTATTTGTCATGTAAACGGTCAAGCTCAAACATGAACTGGCCTCCTCTCACAACGTCGAAATAAAACTCATAGAGACTGGTTGCTGCTGCCAAGCGTGGACCCGGGAATCCGGCCAGTGGAGAGAAATATAGACGATAGATTATCTTGATGCCTGTGTAGGCAAGTACGACGTGCACCAGCAAGAGCAGCTGCTCGGATATGTTGGATGTGAGAGACACCATCTTCCGCGTAAATCAATCTGAATTTAGCTGCGAACATGATGATTCCCAAGAAGATGCCTCGACTTTATATTATTCCAATCCTATGTTGTACAGCATTAGCCCTGGAGGGGGCGCATATGAAGCACATTCTGTAGCCCATAGACTAATCGAATTTGGGTATGTCTGTAGACCCCACGATCTGATTTTCATAGATTGTTGAGATATTTGTGGATTCTCGCAATATATATCATGCCTTGCATGCAATCGGTTATGCACCTCGCCGTTCTAGGAAGCGGTTTTCGCCTTATGACTGTCCACAAGCACGATCCTATAGGCTGGTCAAGAATTCTGTGTAACTACATAGAGCTTTTCATGCGCCATGCTTTCGAAAGTTGCACTCCGCGCTAGCCGCGAAGGGTGTTTTGATCCGAGTACGGAGTACCCCGTGCGATTTGGGGGGTTTGGTCTTTTACCCCAGGCTCAAGTACCGGCAGTAAGGCAGCAATTGGCCCAGTGAACTGTGTCTAGGCCTTGTATTGTTCCATGGTAATATCTTTTGTGAATGATTTTTCAAGTGCACAAAAAACGTAGTATTGTGTGTGGTCTTAAAATTAAGCGAGAGGTAACCTCGTCTTTGAAATGTTAGAAGGTCAAGTAAGGGGCATCTAGTATTATACAAGATACATGAACGAAGAAGATCTGGTTATGTGGGGTATAGTTGTCGTGAATCGGAGATTGGGTATCCAGATCTATTTTGTGTATAAATTAGGAAGGCGGAGAGTCAGGCGAAAGGCAATATCAGCCAATGGTAAATAAGCCATTCACGCCTGTTGTCAGCCTCACCAAACCACCTGGCCAAATCCCTCCAAACCCGGCACAATACGGGATACCCTCGGGCCCCAGTTTACCGAAATGCGTTTCTGAGATCAGGTCGTCGGAACCGCCGACTTAAGCCCGCAAACCGAACAATGGGGGAACTTCGGATATCCGAGTTTGCTCATAGGTCAATGCCTAGGGCAAAGTAATGGGATGGAGGCAACTGGAGTAATGGCAGGGCTAAGTAATCGTGGCAAACCCACACACAAAGGAGAGTACAATTTGGTCGGTGAAAATTTGCCCAAAATTCGCTATCCGGTGGTGCCCCCAACTCCGGTGGGCCTGGGTTGGTGGGCTTGCCACGATTATCCTCTTTACCATCCTCCGTATAGGCTCCAGCGTGGCATAAGACATTTCCTCACGCTATATGACGATCGGCCCAGGCTAGATCAAATAGGCGCTAGCGCATTTCCGAACAGGCCACGAGAGTATCACCCAGATTGTTCGAATTAAGTGAACAGAACTGTGCTCCACTCTGAATTGGGGGCGTTCGAAGACAGCTATCATATGGATCCGCATGGTCCAATCAATGCTTTATCGCCTTCGGCTATATATAGCAAGACTCGATATATTTAAGCTACTCTTATCGGTACGTTCGTATCGGGTCAGCAAGTATCGCCTGGGTGTATATAGGTAGAAGTTAGAACGTTGCGTTCGCTTGGTATTACCAAGTAGATAAAATAAGCTTCAAACTCCCATTGTCAGTACGACCAAGAAAGCGTCGCAGCCATGCATCTAGAACCACGTCTGGGCCGCGCAAGTCATCCACGGATGATAACGCTGCTTACGTATATTTACGTACCTGAGGGCGGCAAAAGCAAATATCATGATTCTATACGATGCCCACGCCCCGTCACTGCATTAGTGGCATAGACTCCCCGGGATAAGATTTTTCTCCGGGGTCTTAACGAGGGGTGACGAATTGTTAGGTACATATGGGAGGGTGGGTTTGCTCGGTTCTATCTAAGACACGGGATACGAGATTATTAATCGGAGCATGGGAAGACATCTGAAGCAGGCTGGGAGGACCCAAGAGCAGGAAGACATATATTAAACGGCCAGGAATTCCAAGTTCTTAGAGTGGGTTATTTCCTGATTCACATTGGCGACGTTCTGGCGATAGTGGTCGAAAAAGCCTGTAAGCCAAGATGTGACGTCGAAGGCGGGCGGATCCGAATGGAAACAAACCCACCGTCAACCAATATACCACCCTGTAACCGAACGCCTGGGTTAAACAGGATGTCTCTCAGACATTTGGATTGTGGTGTATTTTTCATTAATTTTTTGGGGGGTGTTAGAGCCAGGTTGATCAAGTGATAGCCTCGTTTATATCTAATCGTCCCGTGTCTATGGAGTATTATAGGGAGTAGAATCGAATAGCTTGGATTAAACCCTTTTAATTAATTACAAAGATAAGCTTCGATGATTACCAGTTGCTTGCATGATAGATACACTTCAATATGAAAAGAACAAAAGAATACGAAGTACTGTGCTTGGACCTAGGTACATAAAAAGCCTTTTGCCATACAGTGATGCGATGATGCGGTGTGCTGATGCAGCTGTATGGCTAAGAATTGCACTTTGCATAAGCCCATCTTCGGGTCATGAATCTCCTCCTGAGTTGTACAAGACATAGATATAGACATAATATACACATACTATAGACATAGCATAGATATAGTCAAGTTAAAGTCCTTGGTTGGGCGCACTTAGACCACAACAACCCAAGGTCGCCTGCTCATAATGACTCAAATCCTCTGGATCTATCTGAGACATGGACCCGAAAAGCAGCCAAGCAGCGGCGAAAAGCCAGTGGATAGATAAAATCTCGCCTGGTGGGTCGTAGTGGACGGGACTATGTATAGTCCAAGCCACCCATCCGTTCGGCCCGATAAGGATGTGTTCTCCATAGTAAAAATATGTATTCACCATACAACATTAGTAAAAATTGTATTCTGTAAAACCTTTCAAATCACTATGCTGGAAGCTTGTTTCAGTTGATTCCTCGTTCCTTCACTCATCTTACTCTCGCTATTTGTCGAAAATCCATCCATTCGTTTTTGAGTCGCGCATCTTTCCGGCAGCAGGTTCCTGCTGATAACAGTGTAATATACGGACATGCAGCGCTCAGCTTTCCTCATACTGTCGTTTTTGAGCGTCTTTGCCTTTGCCTGGCCCTACGATAAACCACTCGCTAAATACAATCTCAACGAAAACAAATCCGCCGAAAGCCCCATCGATTATTGGGGAGCATGGCCGGACCATGATTATCACCCGTCGCCAGATAACTGGCGCATGCCTACATATACAATCTTTTTGGACCGTATAGCCAACGGCGACCCGACCAATGACGATATCAACGGGACCGCCTTTGAGCATGTGGTCAACTCCAATCAGATGCGCCATGGAGGTGATTTGGAGGGGTTGATAGATACGTTGGACTACATCCAGGGAATGGGATTCAAGGTTAGTGGACCCGGCCTCCTAATGCTTCCATCTCTAACACCGACAAGGTCATCTACTTCGCCGGAACGTACTTGATGAACTTGCCCTGGGCCTACGATGGGTACTCGCCGGTCGATACCACCCTCCTTGACATGCATTATGGAACACTGGATGACTGGAGGCGGGCCGTGGAGGAGATTCACAAACGGGAGATGTATGTCTTGGTGGATAACACACTGGCAACGTAAGTCATGCTCTGATCTTCGCGTATTTTCGGATGTTCATGAGCTGATCAAAACACAGAATGAGCAACCTCATCGGATTCAAAGGCCATCTGAACGATTCCGCCGATTTCAAAGCATCTGAATATGAAGTCCAATGGGTAACCGACCGAGAATATGCCGATTTCAAATTCGGTAACGACTATAACGAATCTTGCAGCTATCCCAAGTTCTGGGATGAGACTGGATATCCATTAACCACCTCGGGCGTCCAAAATTTGAAGGGTTGCTATAACAGCGATTTCGATCAATACGGAGAGCTTGAGGCATTCGGTAATTTCCCCGACTGGCAGCGTCAACTTACCAAGTTCGCCTCTGTGCAGGATCGTCTACGTGAATGGCACAAGCCGGTCCGCGATGTGATCACTCAACATTCCTGCCTCCAAATCGCGAGTCTAGATATCGACGGTTTCCGCTTCGATAAGTCTGTGCAATCGACCCTCGAGCCCCTGAGTGAGATGATGGCCGTCTACCGTGAATGCGCGCAGGCACTCGGCAAGAAAAATTTCTTCCTCCCCGGCGAGATCACTTCCGGCGACAGCTTTGGCAGTCTCTACCTCGGCCGCGGCCGCCAACCAAATCAGCGCACGGCCAATGCAGGCGCGGGCATCAAGATCACGAACAGCTCCGACGGGGCTTTCCTGAGAGACGACGGGCTGCAAGCTTTGGATGCCTCCGCATTTCACTATACCATTTACCGTTCGATGACCCGTTTCCTAGGCATGGACGGTAACCTGGTTGCTGGCTTTGATTTGCCTACCGATTTCATCGAAGCCTGGAATGAGATGCTTATCACTAACGATTTCCTCAACGCATTCACAGGAGAAGTGGATCCGAGGCATATGTATGGTGTCTCGAACCAGGATAATTTCCGCTGGCCAGCTCTCCAAAATGGCACAGATAAGTACCTCCTGGGTTTGTACATCATCACATTGGAGCTGCCTGGAATCCCTCTCATCTTGTGGGGAGAAGAGCAGGAGATGTACGTGTTTGACGCTACCGCAGCGAACTATATGTTCGGTCGGCAACCCATGACGTACCAAACCGCGTGGTGGACACAAGGCTGCTTCAACTTGAACACCTCAAAGTTCTACGATTTCCCCATCGAAAAGGGTCGCGATGGCTGCAATGATATCACTGTCACGTACGACCAGCGGAATCCCGCCCATCCACTGCGTAACATCATGAAGCGCATGTTCGAGATCCGTGCGCATTACCCGGTCGCCATGGATGGCTTGTACCTCGAAACACTCTCCGAACTGACAGAAGACATCTACCTTCCTGGTTCTTCTACCACCCCCACGGTCACTGGCCTTTGGTCTGTCCTGCGAAGCTATTTCCCTGCGGTACAAACAGACGCGATCCTGGCCAACGAAACTCTATGGCTTGTGTATCAGAATGGAAACTCAACCGTCACATACGGGGGCAACTGCAGCGATAAGAATACGTCCTTATTGGCTCCATTCGACTCAGGGACAAAATTGAAGAACCTCTTTTATCCTTACGATGAGCTCACCTTGCAGGATGGCCCCGCCAAGGCAGACAACGTCAACCTCTATGGATGCGTCAGGAAAATGGAGCTGCTTCCATGGGAATACCGGGCCTATGTCAAGAGCTCCAACTTCGTCGAACCCGGCCCTACCGTCACCGATTTCTATCCCGGACATGATACTCGGTTGCTATCTTCAGAAGACACGGGCGAAACCCTGCCCATTCAGCTTGGATATTCCAAGGCAATGGACTGTAGCAGCATCACAGAAGCCATTTATCTAAATTCTACAACAGAGAAAAACATCACCGCCGTGCTTGATACGGATAGTGTCAAGTGCGCCAATATCTCTGCCAGGACCACCAGCCATAACTTCACCGGCGAAATCCCGACTGTTTGGACATGGTCTGCAAACCTGAAGAACGTCCACCACGGAATCCACCAACTGACTGTCCAAAATGTTTCCACTTCCGGAGTTTACACCAATGCGACCGACAAATTCTTGATCCGCCTCGGCGCTTCTGACAATCCCCTGATTTCTCCGCTTGCCAATTACTCTACCAGCCTAGTGCAAAAGTCCAACGATGACCTTTACATCCAGCACAGAGCTGCCGGTGCGGACATGTTCCGATATACGGCTGATTTCGGCCTGAGCTGGACCGATTGGACGACTTATTCAGGTGGCAACACGACTATTACCATCCCAGCCTTCACAGGTACGGACGCCCAGAAGTGGGAGGGAACTCATATCCGGGTGCAGTACTTTTCGAGGCTCACTGGAAGCAGCGATTACCTCCAGGAAGGTGATTATGCGAGCACCACAGTCCGAAGATTCCCGCACATTTGGTTCAACGGCCCATATAACCAATATGGCTATGATGCAGGAATGGACAGCAAGATGAAGTTCGATTCCAAAACGTCTCGTTGGATCTACGACTTCGTCTACGAATGGCCAGCTGTGGGTCAGCTGAACGTTTGGGGCCAGGACAAGGAGGGCACTCCTGATAATACCGAGGTCTACGGTGACGTCGGCAACTCGTCTTCAGTTCAAAAGCTTCCACCGTCCTACCTCGCATCCAACGTCATCAACATCACCATTCTGCCACCGTTCCCGCATCTTGGCTGGACCATCTCCCTCAACGATGGCAACCTAAGGTACGAACTGATTCCCGTTGGATCTGGATGGGCCCAGTTGGTCCTCTTTATTCTTTTCTGGGTTATTCCGCTTGTTATGGGCTGCGCCGGTGTTTTCATCTTCATCGGAAACTTCTACCGGGTCAAACTCAACCTGAATGGCAATGCCATCAAGACCGAGAAGTTCCCGGTGGTGCTTTGGCGCAGAATGAAGGGAACGTTTTCCAAAGATAATGTCGAGGAGATCAATATGGCAGAAAAGGCCCCGCCAACAATCATGGGAATGGCAGGCGCGAGCGATCAACGACGCACTGTATTGATTGCCACTATGGAGTATGACATTCAAGACTGGAAGATCAAAGTCAAGATTGGTGGCCTGGGAGTGATGGCGCAGCTCATGTCCCAAAATCTAAAGCACCAGAATCTCATCTGGGTGGTCCCGTGTGTCGGCGATATTGACTACCCTGAGGATACGCCTGTTGAACCTTTCGTGGTGACGATCCTAGATCATCCCTACTCAGTCAAGGTCCAGTATCACGTTGTCGATAACATCACCTATGTCCTACTCGATGCTCCGGTTTTCCGCCAGCAGACCAAGGCCGAGCCATACCCTCCACGTATGGATGACCTTGACAGTGCAATTTACTATTCGGCCTGGAATCAATGTATTGCAGAGGTAATGCGGCGAACACCCTCGATTGATCTCTATCACATCAACGACTTCCACGGCTGCGTGGCACCGCTTTACCTGCTCCCGTCGCGAACTATTCCAGTCTGTTTGTCTCTGCACAATGCCGAGTTCCAAGGTCTTTGGGCTCTGAGGACCGCACAAGAGAAGAAAGAAGTCTGTGCTGTGTTCAATCTCCCAGTAGAAGTGGCCACAAAATACTGTCAGTTTGGCAGCGTTTTCAACCTGCTTCACACCGGTGCTAGCTATTTGCGATTCCATCAACGCGGCTTTGGCGCAGTCGGTGTGTCCGAGAAATACGGAAAGCGCTCATGGGCCCGTTACCCAATCTTCTGGAGTCTCGGCAAGATTGGCAGTCTTCCCAATCCAGATCCCTCCGACACAGCCGCCCTGAAGAAAGACCCCGATGTGCAAGTTACGGTTCAGTCTGCTGACGAGCACGCCAATGACAAAACCCAGGCACAGAAGTGGGCTGGTCTGGACGAGGATCCCAGCGCTGACTTGCTAGTATTCGTCGGAAGATGGTCTAAGCAGAAGGGAGTCGACTTGATTGCGGATGTTATGCCAGCTGTCCTGTCTGCTAGACCTAATGTCCAGCTGATCTGCATTGGTCCTATTATTGATCTTTATGGTAAGCTGGCCGCTATCAAGCTCGAGCGCATCGTGGAAATGTTCCCAGGCCGTGTCTGCTCGAAGCCACAGTTCACAGTCCTCCCCCCTTCGTGTTCTCTGGTGCCGACTTCGCCCTGATCCCGTCTCGCGACGAGCCCTTCGGATTGATTGCCGTTGAGTTTGGTCGTAAGGGTGCACTTGGAATTGGTTCTCGCATTGGTGGTTTAGGCCAGATGCCTGGTTGGTGGTACACTGTGGAATCCGACTCAGCCCGCCATCTCTTGCACCAGTTGAGGACCGCCATCAAGTCCGCTTTGGACTCAACACCGGAGACCCGAAAAGAGATGCGCGAAAACTCTGCCAAGCAGCGATTCCCCGTTCTCGAGTGGGTTCAGAAGCTCGAGGTCTTACAGCGGACATCTATTCAGATCCATCACCAAAAGAATCAACTCACTGTTGCAGGCACGGCACGAGACACTCAGATCTTCTGGGAGACGCCAGCGTTGCGAGACTCTGCACTGGTCACCCGCCCTTCATCATTCCAGTCAGCGACGGCTTTGGATACGCCACCACTTGGCAGAGCACCACAGCCTTTCCAGCCTTCCCTTCTGCAGCTCCAGGCTGTTGAAGCTCAAGAAATGCAAGTGGCTGAAAGCAACAGAGGTAGCATGCTGGGTCGAAACCTGTCCCTTGGTCGACGATCTGGACCAGGACATGGCAGAAAGCGTCTCTTCAGGAAGTCGCAGCGTGGGAGTCAGTTCACCGAGCCCGCCGACGGTGATACCACGGACGCCGACGATGATGGTACTGCCACACCACAGGAGAAACTCATTTCTCAAGAAGAGGCCATGGCAGCAGTTAATTCACCTATGGAGTTCGGCGCGCACCCCAGACACAGCAATCAGTCTGGCGAGTCAATCTCGTCGACCTCAGAGTCAATGCGTTTCATGTCGAGGGACCCCTCTCCAGTGAGACTGACTAGGGATCTTTCTGATTCGGCTGTACCCTTCGCTCACGCTCCGAATATGTCTGTCCTCTCCTTGCCTTCTGTTGTTAATGACCATGATCAACCCAATTTCCATCTGCAAAAGGTCGACCCGACCTTTACGGACAGCATGGGCTACTTCACGCGGCACTTTGAACAGCAGCTCACCAACCTCAACAAGAAAAACTCAATTTCAGATTATTGTATTGAGCTTTATCTCATGAAGAGTGAGCGGAAGTTCTTCTACATGTACAGCGATGCGCAGTTGAAGAAGCAGCCCAAAGAGCGACCCGTGACTGGAAGTGGCTCGGACAAGACTGACGAGCCTGCCCCGCCGTACAGCCTCGTCACAGAGGGTCACGAAGAGTCGAATGAGAACAATACAGATGAAATTGATCTGTGGCTCTCTCGTCTGGGATACAAGAGACCCATTGCCATCCAGCGCTTCATGAGATGGCGTGTCGGAAACTGGCCTGTCTATGCTCTATTCTTGGGTCTCGGACAGATTATCGCCACGAACTCTGCGCAGATCACCCTGTTGGCTGGCCAGATTGGTGAGACGGCAGTCAAGCTCTACGTGATCGCGGCAATCTACTGTGTCTCTTCCATTGCCTGGTGGTTCCTCTTCTACCGCTTCCCGTCTGTGATAGTCCTCTCTCTCCCCTGGTTCATCTACTGCATGGCATTCATCACCATTGGCGTTTCTCCGTTCGCTCTCTCGGACCTCGGTCAAGCGTGGGCTCAGAATGTCGCCGCAGGTACTTATGCCGCAGCATCTTCCAGTGGTTCCTTGTTCTTTGCTCTCAACTTTGGTGACCAAGGTGCCGTCCCTGTGAAGGATTGGATGTTCCGCGCCAGTATGATCCAAGGAATCTCACAGCTCTACACTGTTGCCCTGTGGTACTGGAGTTCCAGAGTCACTTCAGCGGAAGTTGGAGGTGTTTCCACGGTTGCCTTGAATTCCTGGAGACTCTCGGCTGTGGTGATGCCCATTGCCGCGGTTTGTTTCATCATCGGTATGCTCCTTGCCCTTGGCTTGCCCAAGTACTATCGCCAAGCACCCGGAAAGATCCTCTTCTTCTACACCTCCCTCTTCCGCCGCCGAATCGTCCTCTGGTTCTTCTTCATGGTCATCGTCCAGAACTGGTTCCTTTCCGCCGCGTTCGGTCGAAACTGGTCATTCCTCTGGTCCTCTCAGCACACCAAACCATGGTACATTGTCCTCCTGGTCCTGTTTTTCTTTATCATCCTCTGGATCGCTGTGATGCTCCTCTTCCGCTTCTTATCCAAGGAGCACAGTTGGATCTTACCCGTCTTCGGCCTGAGTATCGGTGCACCACGATGGGCGCAAACATGGTGGGGAACATCCAACATCGGCCACTACCTTCCATGGGCTGGAGGTTTAACTTCCGGCGCCATCGCATCCCGGTGTGTTTGGCTCTGGCTCGGCGTTCTCGACGAGATCCAACAAGTCGGATTGGGAATGATTCTCCTGCAGACTCTGACACGAGTACACGTCGTTTTCGTCCTATTGGCCGCGCAATCTCTTGGATCCATCGCCACAATTTGTGCTCGTGGATTCGCGCCAAACAAGGTCGGCCCAGCAAGCATCTCCCCCGCTGTTGGATCGTCGCTGGACACAGTTGCCAATGCGTGGTTCTGGATTGCCCTTTTCTTCCAGCTTCTTGCTAGGTTAGTGATCCCCCCCCTTTTCCCTTACTTATATTATGGCGTTGTACTGACTGTGATTTTAGCTTTGGTTTCCTTCTCTTTTACCGCCGTGAACAGCTCAATCGGCCATAGGTCAAGCACCATTCGTGTTTTGGCAATAATGCTGTGAATTTTGTATATATGGGAAGGAGTCAATTGGTTTTTTGTTTGGGTAATAAGGCACTCTTTAGTCTTTTGGTATATACGTGCATGGACTATCGGGTACAGCAGAATTTGTACTACATCTAGTTATAGTTGATAAGAATAATCCGCCGCTTATGCGGTTTTGTTATGTCTCTTTTACTGATATTTCCCCTTTAAGATATGTGAACCAACTGTAAGGAGGACTTTTCTGTGTACAACTCGGGCCTTCTAAGCATTCTATTTCCTAGATTTATGACCGACCCCTACATAAACATAACATTCTTTTCTAAATGCAAGATCTTTGAGATATTACTAGGTAACTTCTAGTTCACTGTTGAGCTCACAGCCCTCCGAGGTGTTACAAGTGACCGCCCACGTGATCCTGGCAGTACCGATTACATCATCATTCCTTCCCTCCTATCAGTGTGGCACGAAGCATCTCTATGAACAGAGGCTGTGTAGTTGATCGTATGGTAAAATGCAATTGAATTTTACGGTTTCTTAAATAACCTGTAATGGGTAACTAAAGAGTAGATTATTAGAATGAAAACTCTGTATAAAATTACCCCCTGCCCCTGTTTCATCCCAAACCCTATAGTTTTGACTTCCTATTTTCACCAAAAAACGAGTTAAATCGGAAGTAATTGATCTCTACTCAATATATCTTAACGTTTAATTAATACTACTTGGATGGTGTCATTCAGAAAGAATTATTTACAAAGAAAGGTCCTGCAAATATGTAGAGCCTCAGGTCGCCAACAATTTTCCGATAGCGAGTCTCCCAACGCTCTAAACGATGAAACCCCTATGTATGAAGATACAGTGGCGTTGCATGAGTATTTGCACCCCAGTACTTCCATTGTTGACCGCCCTGGCTATACCGCCTTTCGATTACTACTGGTATAGACCCCACTCGCATAGCAGGATTAGATGTGAGTGGATGCAAAATTCTTCCGGCAGAAAATAGAAGTACCCGGGTGCAAATACTCATGAAATATGACTGTACCTTAATCAAATCACAAACTGGTCCCCACAACAGAAACCTGGCCCTTTTTTGCTCCCTCGGTTGCAGAAATCGCAATTGTGCCTGTCGACTCGTCCTCGGACACATTTTCATCGTTCGCATATGGTATATTCTTCTCACTGCATTCCATTAGCAACCAGTCACCCATGTGAAAAAGAGGTAAGAGATCTTACCCGTTCGGGCCGTAAGTATAACGCATAACGAACGTCATAGCGACCAAGCAAGCAGCCATGACTGCAGAAAAAGGGTATCCTTTGCTAAAACGAGGTCCTTCCACAGTCGGGTACGTGAAGAGTGGGATCCAACATGTCCACATTGTGGAAATTGCAGTGGCCAGAACTAGCACGATTGCGCGCTCCTCGAGGTTGTCACGGTAAAGGACATTCATCCACCCATATAGTACAGACGATACCGCGACGGACGAGTATTGCACACTGTAAGCAAACCATTTGGCTCCTTCGGGCACATTCCAGATAGCCAGAATGACCAGTCCCGTAAAATTGAAGCTTGAAGCCAGGGTAATAGCCCAGGCGCGATCAAGCCACAAGTCCGTGCTGATATTGACGAAGAGAATGAAAAATATTCCAAGTGCCGGGCTGATTGAGTTGAGTTGGTTCATTTCCTCAGAGCTATAGCGGTGGAGGCTCTTCAACCACAAGAGAAAGGATGCCGTGTTGGCGCTAGAGTTGAAAAAGAATCCATCCCACATGAGAACCAGCCAGAACCGCTTCGACAAAAAGAGCTTTTTGCCGAGTGCCCATGAGAAAGAGGCGCTTTTGACTTGGGTTCCCTGTCTTTGTAGTCGCCTGCGAGCTATCTCTAGATCGTGTTCTGAAATAACAAGGCGGTTGGGCTTATCGACTGTCCCAGGATAGATGAAGTAGCCAACAAGCGCCATTGGTAGGGTCATGATAGCATTGATGATGAAAAGCCACCGCCACCCTGGTAGTCCGTTAACCCCATCTAGGTACTCGAGTGTGGCACCCTGCAGAAGACTAGCGGTCAGGTAGCCTAGGGTGAGGCCGACGTAGAAAGCTCCTCCTCGTCTTCCTATCTCGTTGCTTTTATACCAGGATCCGAGAACGAAGTGCACACCGGGGAAGTAGGATGCCTATCAGTGTGAGTGGGATAAATGGATTCCATTCGGTCAGTTGGGAAGTCATACCTCGAAGACTGAGACTAAAAACCTGTAAGCCATGATTTCTGCATAGCTTGTGGCTCTATACTGCAGCAGAGTAAAGATTCCCCACATGAGATCGAGAGTTGGGACGAGCCAGTGCATCGGCACCCGCGGAAAGAGGTACATGAAAGGCAGAAGCGCAACGACATTGCCAACTGTGAAAATAGTCTGGAAATGGACTAATTCGTTACCAGTGAAGTTGAGCTCTTCAGCCATCCCTGATAGATATGCATTGTCTGAATGGTGCAATTAGTACTAGTTCTGATGGCTTTTCCTGATTGACTTACTGATATTTCCCTGGTCAATGTACTTGAGCCAATAGACAATGAATGCATATGGGACGATCAGCAGATCTAGCTTTAGCACTAACTTTCTCTCTTCTGGCGTATCATCCGGAGAATACCAATGGTACCATCTTCGCGTGGGCGCAGTGGCCGGACTCATTGCGGTCATGGGAATGTGAGATCTCAAGTGCAGCCGTCTAATAACAGAAGTATGAAATTTTCGTTAAATCGTCGTAAAAATACTTCTTTTCCTACTAGAGATAAGCCTCTCTATAAGAACGATTTATCTAATTAGCTTGTTGATAGGGCGCGGTGTGAAGAATGTTGCAATTTGGGGGGTCGCTAACACCATCGTAGTCTTTTTAGACTAAAATGATACCATCGGACGCTCAATCAACACAGCAGAGGAAAACTTAAGCTAGGGAACTTTTATCCGTTCTTTCTTCTCCGGCTTAAATTGCTTTAAGGCGAGGACACAAATGAATTTTTCTGGGTGCGCCTATCACGCGCTAAAGTAATTGGTCATAACCAAACACAATGGATTCCCACAATCACTGGCGAATATTCAGCTGCGATTGCGTGTTTATTGTAAGATAGACTAGAGATCCGCGTGCGCCGATTTGGTTGTCAAGCGATGCGTGGGGGTAACTCTTCAAGCCCTAGGGCTGTTAGCGCCTCTGATTCTAAAGAGGAAATAGTAAGTGGGAAAATGTGTATGGAGTATAGAAGTCAGATTTATATTTTGATACTTGCAGTTCTCAGGAACTATATGATATGGCCATGTTATCCCAGTCAGGAACCCGTAGCAGATCAAAAAAGTCCGCTTGGCCCACTCCATGGCCCTCGTAATACGCGTCCGGAAGAAACATATTAGGAACAAACATCTCAGGAAATGTATCCAAGTCCTCGAATATGTTTCCAGTTGCCTGCGAAGTGGCCTGTGCTTGCTGGTTTGGGGTGTTTATACCATCACGTACCTGTCGCGGAGTGTTTGCGGCTGGTGTATCAGTTCCGTGCGAGCCCGGCCCTAAATTAGGACCTGTGTCCAAGAGACCCGGCCTGGATCCAGGGATAGTAGGTGATTTTGACGTGGACTTCAATCGCTCCATGATATAAACGAAAAGACGTAAAATCCACCCACTAACGGGCCAAGATTCTTGTAGAGACGTTAGGCCCAGCATACAGGTACGTGCTCGGTTTTCGGCGAGTTCTCTTCCAATAGCGCGCGAGGTACATATCGTGAAAACATGTATAGCAAGGGAGTTGAAGAGTGCCGGGATTCTGTTTCCGAGGGTCAGTCGAGTCTCATGCTGCAATTGGATAGACGATCATACGTGTGAATTTGACAGACCCTTCCCATTGAGAGTGAGAGTATATCTTCTATCACTCGGGTGACTTCATTTGCGGCCGATGAGGCTTTGAAAGGGTTGCCCCACGATTGAGACATGTCCAGGCCATTGCTATGGGGAGGCCGACAAAGGAGAATGACTCCAAAGCTGTCCAAGTCTCAGTATGATGTGCATGAAATCACGAAGAGGGAAGAACTAACTTGTACGCCATTAGTAGCATTGCTGACCATAGACATATCTTGCCTTCCGCGTCAATTCCAGTATATCTCAAAATTGTTGGCATTTGCGAGCGAAATTCATCCAGTTCTTTCTCGAGCTGAATCTTCATCTGTGAAGGATGATCGGGTTTCACCGCCGCATACCGTGAAGAAATGATGTTCCCGACTGTCCATTTGTCAATTAGCCTAACCGACATGAACCCAAGATCGGAATACTCACATATCGTGGAAAGACGGGCCATCTGACAAACGTAGTGAATTTCTGTCTCATTTTGAAACTCGCCCTCCAGGTCATGCGACGAGAGCATTTCCACATCGCAATCATATACTGAAAAGTGCTGTGGGCGGCCAATCGAGCTACTGACCAAGACATCTCTTATCTGAGTTTTACTAGGTCAGCAAGAGAGCACGACAAGATCAAGGGGATACTTACTCGTAAACACCACCATATTCGCCTCCATATTCGTACTCGGTGGCTAGACATATGAGACTTCGCTGTCCTGAGCAAAAAAATAAATTGTCAGTATACAAACACAATGAGCCAAGCAAAATATACATACGAACGATGCATGCCAAGGTTCTGGGCTGAGCTTATTGCAATCCCCAGCCAGTGCCACGAGTCTTTTTGATCATTGGGGCCGCCCCACCAGAAACTAATCAAGAAGGAAGCCACCACGTTGTTAATTTTATCAGGGTCGGAGTCAGTCTCATATAATGCGCGGGCTTGTTTGTAAAAAAGCTGGCGTGCCTTATAGCGATCTTGAAGCCCAAGAAGTGCCAAGTCTGCCTCATCACAGACCGTAACGGCAATCATGAGCACACCATTGAGTAGAAGTAACGATAACTGGTTTCCATTATATTTTTGTAGAAAAGTGGATTTTTCGAGAATGGGGAACGCTGGATGAAACCACTTGAAGTATATGGCAAGAAGCTGTTCTAAGGCTCGTTGGTCTGGATGGAACCATAGATCTCTGCTATGGAGCAGCTTTGTCTGCGCTTCAACCATATTTTGCTGACCTCTCATAGATGGATCGAATCCTTCATCGACAGGGAAATGGAGGCGTCTGCGGTAGTTGGGCGCACACTCTGTGCTGAGAAGGGGAGCTAGAACGTCGTGAACGACGTATGTCAGGCTAAAGGATTCGCCAAGAAAGAGAGTGCCTTTTTGACTTGAGATAGGCTGGGGTGTTGAGCTGACACCCTGGTCCGCGATATGCAAGTAGAACCTGCAATCACTGTCTTGATCAGATGCATCGAGTGTTCTTTGGAAGGAGCTAGTTGTCCGATCCTCGGGAGGCAAGGGTATTTCCGACTCGGCAAGATTGTCAACACCACTAGTAGGGGAAGTTGACGAGCGGGCTATTGGTGGTATCTCTTTATCGTTCTGAGAGACGTGCGATTTTCTGGCATTTCTTGCCCTGGGACCTTTGCGAATGTACCTAGACGCCGAATATTAGTAAAATTGCCCGGTTATGTTTTGGTAAAGATGCCTCTTGACACTGGCACATACCGCCCTCGCTGTGACTCTATGGGCACGCAGTCTGTATTGGTTGACACGCATCCTTTACAGGGAACTTCCTCTTGTGAGTTGCACTTGATCTTTTTTGAATTACATCGGCGACACGCCACGCGTGTGCGTCTCTGCTTCAGGCCCTCGGCTTCCCTGTTTGCGATATCCATTACCGTTGTTGGAAGAGAAGTCCCCGAGCAGCGGACCCCGGGATCACTTACAGGTCAGTCAAAATCTGGGGTGCATGCGGGGAAGATGAAGCCGAAGAGTTGATGACTAATCACGCGGCGATGATTGGAAGAAGCCGACGGCAACACATTCACGTCCTACGGTACGGAGTACATCCCCACATCCCACTTGACCTAAACGGTTATTGATTTATTTGGACCTCAAGTGATTGGTCAAATTAAGCGTCGGAAATGAGGCCATGGAACTTTCTCCGGGACTGATCGGCCCAACCCGCTGAGGCGGAGGCCTCCGTTCAATACCTCATTCTCAGCTCACTGGTGATTACCTTTGAGTATATTGCATATGTCCCAGTCGTCTCAAAGCTTCCACTTACCTTTATTTCTCGGGAATTCATGCTATTGGAATAGATATCTAGGTAGTCTCTCACCGCGGCAGACAGCCCCTTTCAGGCTTTTCAAGCTCATCATGGGCTATCATCTGTGGTATAAGAGAGGCCCCCAGGTCCAAAAAAAAGAAAGCGCTACCTTGTCATTATGCCTAATCGCCCATGCTAGTGATCGCGATTTACAGATGGGTTGAACTTGACGTGTAGGTAGGTACTTGATTATGTTCAATTCAATTCAGCTATTTCGAAATGTTGAGGATGACCTTTCTCGCTTTTCTTTGCTCAAAGATCTCATAACCCTTGGCAGCATCATCAAGAGGTAACTCATGCGTAATGTAGCTTTGCATTTTCTCCTGGTTTTCCGTCAAGCACTGCAACGCATCCTCGAACACGGTACGGACAGGTACGCGTCCAAAGTTAACACTAGGGCATGAAGTTAGACCGGGTAACCTAATCGAGGGTGGGAAGAAACTAACGTGATGTTTTTCTGATAGCATTCAAGGCCTGTGAAGGGTAGCTCGCCTTGATGGAAGCCCACTGATGACAAAACACCACATGGGCGTAGTAGATCAAATGCAGAGCGAAGTGCGGGTTTATTTCCGACAACCTCAACAACGGCATCTGCTCCTCTATTGTCAGTTGCCTCCAGCACTCGAGCATTAATATCGTCCTCTCCGAGCATGAGCGGGATCGCGCCGAACTGCTCAGCCTCATCCAAGCGGTCTTTAACGCTATCAATCGCAAACACGGTCTTGATTCCTTCTGAGCGAGCTGCAGCAATGGCACAGATTCCTACCGGCCCACAACCAAGAATAACAATGGTCGACTCATGGAGCTTTTCACTTGCTGTTTTCAAATTGAAAGACGTGAGTCTGGAATTATACTGTGTGCGAAGACCCTCGATAGCTCGCTGCGCGCCGTAGTATCCTGTTGGAAAGATGTCGGACATCATGATAAGCAGTCGGCGATCTAGTTTTGCTGGAACATGCTGAAGGGTGCCATCAGCGAAAGGGACGCGGGCGTATTCGGCTTGACCGCCGTTGAGCAAGTTGGTGCCAAACGCCACGCCATTGACGCAACGATTTGTTAAACCCTGAAGACAGAACCAGCATTTCAAACTTTTGATCATCAGCAGCTGGAAGTAAACGATACCTAAGCCTTTAAACTTACCAGACTGGAGAAAAGATAGATACAATCTCATCACCGGGGTGAAACAGGGCGACGGCCTTTCCTGTTTCCTCAACGATTCCGACGAACTCATGACCCTTCATTGACATTGCATATTAGCCTTTGTCATAGTACTTAATTATGCAAGTTGCGATACGACCTACCATGATGTGCCCGGTGGCCGTTTGCTGATGGCCGCGATACATGTGAAGTTCACTATGCTAATTAGCCAATTGCAAATCTTCAAACATGGTACACTCCATACCTTCCGCATATTCCTGCCAATGTGACTCGAATAATGGCATCCGTATCATCATGAATCTGCGGTCTTGGCTTCTGCTCGACGCGGATGTCGAAGGGGCCTCGGAAAACAACAGCTTTCATGGACATGATTGGGAATGTGAACTAGATGATCCTTTCCTTTTTTTTTGTAGGACTTCATTTCATAGATTTCTATCCCAATTTATTAGTTCATCGGTGGCGTCCGGTCTCTTTACTCGGAGCGAAAGTGCCGCGCCGAGAAGCCGAGAGGAAAAGGGCCAAACCTTCCCCGGACCCCGGACTATCGTAGGGACCATGGCTCGACTCTTCACCGAATATCATCTTTTTTTTCATTCTCGGATAAAGATTCTGGAGAAGCCGAATATAATCCACCCGGCGTTTCGTCATCTCATATTCTTCCGTCATATAAGAAGAAGCCTACAGAGATTATCTAGTAAAGTTAAAATTGAAGCCTCCCATCAACCTCACGACAAAATGTCTCTCCTCAATTCTTCAATTCCAATTATATTCAATCAGTTGTATCTGAATGGAGCGTATAGCGCCTCTCATTCATCCGAGTCCATTTCCATCCTAAACCCGAAGGACAACACACTTGTCGCAGATGGAATTCCCATTGCGGACGATGTCGATGTCGACAACGCCGTAAGGTTCGCTGAAGCAGCATTCAATGGTCCTTGGTCGAAGTTTAGTGCTACTGAGCGCTCGGCCTGTTTTCATCGATTGATCAATCTGCTCGAAGAGAAGTTGCCTGGAATTCTGCGTCTTGACTCTTTGACGACGGGGAACCCGGTCTCACTCATTCCGACCCGAGAGAGCAACTACATTCGGAACTGTCTTTTATACTATGGTAGGGTGACCGCGGGAGTTGATTGAAATGTTTAAAGGCACTAAACGCTAATATTGGTTTGTAGCGGGTTGGACAGACAAGCAACGCGGGGATTACTTCCCTGACGACGACGGGTTCGTAAAGCTTGTCAGGCATGAGCCTATTGGGTACGCCGCTCCGCATAACGTATTTTAATTTCTGGACAAAATTAATACTGACAAATCTAACAGTGTATGTGTTGCCATCAATCCTTACAATTCACCAGTGGCATCCCTTTTCATCAAAGCTGCACCATGTCTGGCAACCGGAAATGTACTCATTGTGAAGCCATCGGAAAAGAGCCCGTTAGGTTCCTTGGCAGTTGCAGCACTTTTTGAGCAAGCGGGATTTCCACCTGGTGTCGTTCAGGTCTTGACAGGCGATGGCAGTACAGGGGCGCGGCTTGCCAGCCATATGAGAGTAAGAAAGGTAAGAACAAATATTTAATATCCGCGAAACTCCATTCAAAAATCTTTGCTAAACCACGCATAGATCAGCTTCACTGGAAGCGTTGCGACCGGAAAGAAAATCCAAGTTGCTGCAGCTCAAAGCAATTTAAAGCGGGTCACATTAGAGCTTGGTAGGTCGAGATGATGCAATCTCGAGGAAGTAAGCCTACTGACTGAAAATTTAGGTGGCAAAAGCCCGGCAGTGATATTCGAGGATGCCAACCTGGAAAATGCAGTTACATGGTATGAGTTCAAAGCCTTTAAGGTTGAGAGCAGTATAATGACGATATGCAGGACAATCAACGGAATCTTAGCGCGAACAGGACAAGTTTGTGTCGCGGCATCTCGTGTCTACGTCCAGCGTTCAATCGCTTCCAAATTCATCGACCTATATTGTGCGCGGATGAAGGATGCAGTAAAAGATATCGGTGACCCCCAGGAAGTCGAGACCAAGTTTGGACCACTAGCAGATGCCGCGGCCTTTAAAAAAGTCCAGGCGATGATTGCACGGGCTAAGAATGAATGCGAGCTGGCCGTGGGCGGAAACCGCATTGGCGATCAGGGGTGTTTCCTCGAACCAACTGTCTTCCTGAACCCGAAGCCAGACGCTGAAATTTACAAAAATGAAGTCTTTGGACCGGTCTCGGTTATCAAGACCTTTGATACAGAAGCTGAAGTCATTGAATTGGCCAATGATACCGAATATGGACTGATGGCAGGAGTGTTCACGCGAGACATCAATCGTGCCATGAGGGTTTCTTCAAAGATAGAATCTGGTGTAGTAGGTGTTAATTGCGTCAGTGTGGTATGTCATTTCCATGGTGGGCATGTGTTGTCGTTGGCTAAAACAGGACAGATGAACATCCAAGTACCTTTCGGTGGTAAGAAAGCCTCTGGAATTGGAAGAGAATTTGGCGAATATGTGAGCATTCGATCATCGAACTTTGAGAGTTTGCTATTTACTGACTTTCCCAGGCTTTACGAGCATTTACCGAACCAAAGACTATTTTGATCAAGTAAGACTCTTTGAAACCCGGCTATGAAAATACTCTAACATTTTCTAGTATGAATTCATAGTGCCTCCACCACGTTATGGGGTATCACATTGTTAGCCTTGCTGTCGAATTGCGGCGAAAGGAAAGGGATTTGTATTGCTCATATCTACTGCCTAGTACATGACATGGCTACCGTGTACTGTGAAATTGTCAGGTATTCAAAGATTCTTGCCCTATTTCAGACCTTTCACTGTCAGATCTCTCTTTTGAAACTGTATAATCTAGATAGGGAAAGCTTGACTTATGTTTATTCCAAGGTTCAGTGTAGGATGACTAAGCGGCCATGTGATTGATATGATTGATATAAAAGTACGGAGTACCCTGAGGCGGAGACTGGAACGCCGACACTTTCCACCTTCTTCCCTTCTTCTAGTAGTCACCCCATGATGTTCTCCTTTTTAGCAACCTACTACTCCCATTGACAATTTTGCTCTCATTCTGTTTCGCACGCAGGGCTGTCGGTGCCCCTGGGTCCCCTCTTCACGAGTTAGTTAATGTTTAGCGAAAGTGGATGGCCATGTGATTTGTGGGGCTCCCACGGACGGGCCAAGTGGGGCTGCCAACACCAATGAAGTTTCCACGTGACTGGGCGGATAATTTTGAGCTTCCCATGAGAGATACCGAGCTCTGCATATTTCCAATTTTGCTCTCTACAGAGCTAGGTAGGTCGGCAGGAAGGCTTTCTCCTAACATCAACGCACATTCAAGTAGGAGGCGAAGGTCTTCCATCGTTTTCGGGAACTTTACTCTGAACGTCGTTTCGATTGTGGACATAAACCACCAGTGCTCCACTTTTTGGAGTCGCCGAAAAGCAAAAAAAAAAAAAAAACAAAAAAACAAGACCGCGGAGGGGAAAAAAAGGAGGAAGTCTAGTGCGATTTGATGTTTGATGGGATCGATGTTAAACCACGTTCACGAGGATTCTCTCGATATATGTCAAAAATACGTTGTTTCTTTCGAAGTCGGATGTATGTGTCCCACTTTCGATATTCTACGCAATTTCGACTGTGACTAGCGGAGCCAATTTCCACTTGAGCTGATCAAGATAAACTTCTTTCTCCTCGGTATCTTGGGTGTGGGGTGACCCCGGAGCTGGGCCCCGGGGCCCCAGATTCAGACACTGGGGAAATTTGCTTTCCTACTCTTCAGGGATTGCTTCGCTGGTTCATGACACCGTACGACCAGAGCTCCATATACAGGATGCATCTCTCAAATTCTATGTTTCGCATTTTGGTCAGTCTTTTGATTCACGTTCATTGTTCATCAGACGGCTCATGTCCTACCTAGATCTCTGTGTATGTTGCACTGGGCAGTGTGACCTACGGATATTGCTCCAGTATCATCTCGAGCACTCTCGCCCAGCCCTCATTTCTCTCGTACTTTGATTTGGATACGCGCAAAAATGCCAGTAGCTTGGAAGGTGCTATCAATGCTCTCTTCCAGGCGGGAGGGCTTTTCGGCTGCTTGTCATGTATCGCATTTGCAGACATCCTCGGAAGACGAAAGTCGATTATGCTGGCCTCTGTGACCAGTGTCATCGGAGGAGCATTGCAAGTTGCAGGTATTCACATTGGCGCGTACCTTGTCTTCCGCTTTGTGACCGGGCTTGGTGTTGGTATGGTCTTTCCTCGCTCACTGCGATCTCGCTAAATATATGATACTTCAAGGTGCCCTGGTTGCTTTGATTCCTCTCTATCAGTCGGAAATTGCTCCACCTCGTATTAGAGGCCTGCTTGTGGGATCTCACGGTGTGATGATCTGCGTGGGATATGCCTTGTCTAGTTGGATCGGGTTTGGGTTCTCCTTCGTTCAGGCTTCCGCGGTCCAGTGGAGGATCCCATTGGCTATCCAATGCGTGCCCCCTATTTTCCTGACAATTGGTGTCATGTTTCTGCCAGAGTCCCCTCGCTGGTTAATATACAATGACCGCATTGATCAGGCATGGGCAGCGTACAAAGCAGTGTCTGCTTCGTCAGACACACCGACCCCTGAAGACGATGAGGAATTGGCGGCAAACTTTGCCAATCTATGCAGTATGATCCGTATGGAAAATACGGAGGATCATAGCTTCAAGGCTCTTGTGACCACACCTGCCCTTCGGAAAAGATGTATCATAGGCTTCGTGGTTCTCTTCGGATGCCAGGGAACGGCCACCTTGGTTATTAACAGTACTTTATCCGTCCAAACCCTACCAGGCTTTACTAACGGTAATTAGACTACGGTCCATCGCTTTACAAATCTCTTGGCTTCAAAACAAACTCCCAGCTGCTCATTCAGGCTGGCTGGATTACAATTTCCCCCTTCGGGAACTTGATCAACTCTCTCCTAGCTGATCGAGTAGGACGAACTCGGCTCCTCATGGCCGGTTATACCGGCGTGATAGTGGCATTGATTGGTGAATGCATCTCGGTTAGTATTTTCCAACATAATGGATCCAAAGCCGCCGTCAACGCAGCAATCTTTTTCCTTTTCTTCCACATGGCATGCTTTTCAACTACATGTGATGCAACGTCATACATTTACGCCTCCGAGATCTTCCCTACTCCTGTGCGTGCTCGGGGTCTGGCAGTTTCAATCTCTGGTTTGTTTCTTGCCACAATTATATTCTTGCAATGTGCACCCACGGCCTTTGCTACCATTGGATGGAGGTATTATATTGTTTTCATTGCCTGTACCTCAGCCACGCTTGCATTTGTGCTGCTCTACTGTCCCGAGGTAAGTCTTTATCAAATGAAACTGTCAACCTCCAGGTACTCTGCTGACTCCGAGAAGACTGGGCGAAAGTCGTTGGAAGAGATTTCTGACCTTTTCAACTCGCCCTTCGATGAGAAAGCTCTGGAAGGTGACAAGGACAGGAAGATTGGCGATAAGCACTATGTGGATGAGGTTGAAGATTTCGCTGGTCAGGGGGTGAAAAGGTTTAAATTCATTCACCAAAACTATTCGCACAGACTGTTTACTTGAGAGCTCACTCTTGAGGACTGACTGCTTTGCCAATATCAGTCATATAAAATACCAAGCCATCTTTGATTCTTTGTTATCAAACCCTAGCAAATTGAGTTGAACTTGTTACCTCTATCTCGCCCCAGCAAGATACATTAGAACCTTTTGGTGAATTCTTTACACCAGATTGAAGAAAGACTTGGGGGTTCAACTTCATGAGCAAGCAAAAAAGGGGGAGATAGTTATCACGGTTAACTTTGTGCGCTACTATATATATTGGTCCTGGGCATGTCAGAGCGAGAAAAAGTGTTGGGTGCGCGATAAGATAGGCACCCGGACGTAGCTAGAGTAGATAACCCCGGTCCATTCTCCTTTGCCCGCATCTGCGTACAACATACTCCGTAAGGAGTACATACATGTATTCATCATTCTCTCTGTTTCACCGTCTTTTTCTAACAATGACAAGCACACAACATTGGTTCCCACGATCAATATTGTTCTCGATTTGGAATGTTTTTACCTCGAATATTCCCGGTCTATTCCTTTGGCCGCTTAGACGCCTATTTATTACGTTTTCTTCGACGGCACCGAATGGAGAATATCGGGAGCCAGATGATGAAGAGCGCCTGCAATCTGTGGGTGGAAAACATGCTTCTTATTGACTCTGCCTAATATTATCCTTTAGGCCGATATCCAGTCCTCCGAAAATACGCTACCTACCTTCACTATTCGACCACCCCCTACCGTCACTATTCGACCAGCCTCCGAACGCCGGGATAATCACAAGCTCTTGACAATTGGAATTTTCGCCGAAGTATACCTTTTGGACGATCATATCATAAGGAAAATTCCCCGCAGTCAGAGTGAAGAAGATCTACAACCTATACTACGCGAGGCTCTGATTTACAATATTCTCGGAGCACATCCACGAATTGCCGAATGGCTATCAAGGGGCATATCCGACTATATCGAGATCACATACTATTCTCATGGTGACCTTGTGGAATACTTGGACAGGAATCCAATCACTCCCGAGCTTCGATCCAAATGGTATCAGCAGATCTTAGAAGCTATTGTTTTCATCCATAGCCGTGGTGTTATCCATTCCGACCTTGCTCTACGTCAGTTCTTCATTGATGAGAACTTTGATCTACGACTTGGCGATTTCAATTCTTCGCAGTGTCCTGGCCATGCAGCGCTTGGCTATGAGAAAGCATCACACTGCTTACCAAGAGATTATGAACTTCCCAACACGGAAGCTTCCGACATCTTCGCCCTAGGATCTACGCTCTATGAGCTAGTTACTGGCAAAGCGCCATATAGCGAACTTTATGGGCCGAAAACCGACGATCCGGATATCATCAAAGCTCGACTCCGACGACAAGACGTGATAGACTATGATATTGAATCACGCTACAAAAACGGCATTTTCCCGGATGTCTCTGATGTATTTGGAGGAAAAATCATATTAGGTTGTTGGCGAGGGGAGATTTCTACCGCCCAAGGGGCACTTGATTTGTACTTGCACGGCTGATTTTTTTTAAGGACCATTTCCTGTAAGCGGAATTGTTTACCGACCGACGGTTTCCAATACATTCCGTTCAAATCCCCAATTATTTATCTGTACAGTCCACTCAGAGGAAAGGCCCATACCATTTTGAAGTCATTTGTATTTGTTCCCACATGGTGCCAACTATTTCGGCTTCTCGGGATAGCTTTTCTCCGACCCTCCTAAGATGCCGACGGGACAAATGGTTTCACAACTTTCTAGATCAGGAACAATCCTTTTTCAAGTAACGTGCGTAGCCATCTCTCTTGCTTGGGGCTTTGAAGCCCCTATAGCTGGATATCGGTACTCCGTAAGGAGTGATTGGCCCATCTTTCTTCGGCCTTTTCTTCAAGCACGAGGTGGGACTGGCTATTCGTCCCCACCGGCACGGGAAGCCATCATGGAAGTGAGCATCCGGGGCTAAGCGAGATTACTCGGCATTTGACCCCAAATCTCGGTAAGGGTGTCCTCCCCGCGCTTAAAGAGGTCTCCCTGGCCGCCCCAAAATTCCAACACTGGATAGGAGCATATAAGATGGCATCGTATGAAAATGCCGATCACCGGGAGCCACGGTATATCCTCCCAAAATTCGAAGATCTCCCGCCTGTAGCTGGCCAGCCGCAAGGATGCCTCTGGGGGTTCTTTGACAAGCCTGGCAAGAAAGACGAGTTAGGAAGTAAGTTCGGCCTCTGTCCCTGTTGAATAGCCCGCATATTCCAGGATTTTGACGTTATCAGCTCTCAACTTCCTCAGCCCGTCGGTGGTGCGGGAGGCAGCAAAAGAGATCCAATTCGGGAATCATGTCCAGCTTGACTGGTCCATGAATAATCTACAATTCCCGGGATCTGGACGGGCTACATTGTGTCATCATGTCAAAGAGATGGAGGCTGAGGGCTTTGTTGGTCTTGACGACGAAATTTATATCAATACCCAGACTAGTTCACAGTGGGATAGTCTCAAACACGTTAGTTTTCCTTTCCTCACCTCCAAGTTTTGGTGTTTACAGTCATTCTATACATAGTGGGCGATTCAGGACCAAGCGGTTTTCTATAACGGGCTCACATTAAAGGATGCTATTAAGGGGCCCGAGAACGGAATCCATAGTAAGTGAAATGAATTGTCGTGACGGGCCAATGACTGATGGCTAGCAGACATTTGCGAGCGCGGGGGCATTGTTGGACGAGGCATCTTAGTTGATTGGGTATTTTGGCACGAGATCTACTTTTTGAATTTCAGTCAACTGACTCAAACGCCCAGCTGAGATGGTGGCAGCACCACAATCCAACAAGCACTCCTCCTAGCCCTGACACCAATTGGGCCATTCCGCTGTCAGAAATCGAAGAAACCTTAAAATGGCAAGGCACGCAATGTAAACCGGGTGATATATTCATCCTTCGGACAGGATTCGTCAAATGGCACGAGTATGAAAGCACCTATTCCCAGCGTATCATGAGTTTCCAGCTGACTTCAGTACAGGACGGCAGATCCCGAGGCAAGGGCCAAAGGCGTCAGATCTTGCCAATATATTGGAGTCGAAGGCAACATGGAAACCGTCAGGTGGCTATACGATAAACAATTTTCTGCTGTGGCCTGCGATACCATGGGATTCGAAGCTTGGCCTTATGCTCAGGACTGTTGCTTGCATGAGTGGCTACTGTGTCAGTGGGGTACTCCGATCGGGGAATTATGGGACCTGGAAAAGCTGAGCACACAATGCGCGGGGTTGAACAAGTGGTCTTTCTTCCTGACTAGTGCGCCGTTGCATCTTAAGGGTGGAGTGGGCTCGCCTCCTGGGGCTATTGCTGTATTGTAGTTGCCATTTCCATTTCTTAATATCCGCGCATGGAGAAACCTGTATATTCAAGAGTTCTGCATTGTTATAGTTCCATTTTTTGGATTATATAACATTCGATGTGTACAGTATGCAGTTTGTTTCCATGATTTCTACCTGTATATACCTAATTTTATACTGTTGGACCGTCACATCACATCCTTAATATCATGTTTTACCAGAAAAGGTGATTCTCTCATGACCTTCCAGACTTATGTCTTGGCCAGTCTCCATTTCGTGCAGGAGTCCATTATCCAATACCGAGCTTTCATAACGCAATTCAGATTATTATGTTCGTTCGGTCATCCGGAGACATGCCCTGACTCATGATTCCAGGGTGCGGCAAGTGGTTGATATCAGAAACCATGGTAATAGATCAGGAGAAGTGTTCCGTTGAAAAGTTTTCCCGCTATTCTTTCCATATTTGATCGGATTACTATGATTCGAGAAAGTTGTGTTGGTACACGGAAAGCATTGATACCGAGGTGAGTATCGTGACACCATGAAGATGCATCGCAATAATAATAGAGTCGGCAGGAACTTCAGCAGCTCCGCAGGTTGTAAATTCATCATATCCCCGTATATTCTTACTCTCTGTTATCTGCACAGGTGGCTCGTGCGCACTTAAGATCTGATAAGTACATCCATGGATTCCTTCCAGTGGAGAGCAACTTAAACGAGTCCCCGATCAATTTATATTTGGATATGCTGGACTATCGGGGAAGGCAAACAACGGAACGGCCTCGTGGAGGGCGAAGCTGACCCTCGTAAGGTATTAATGCTAAGGTTCGCAAAGCGCAATCCCCCTCGTTCTCCGATTAATTATCGGCTGCAGCTCAAGACTTCCAATCCCCGCTCAAGGGGCTAGCCTTAAGCAGCTAAATGTGATACTAGATAGAGAACCATCTATAGCAGACAAAGAAACCTAGCTAGTACAACTAGATCCCATCTTGGAGGCAAACCACCTTCGGGCAACAGTCCGCGATCTGATTGCAGGTCCTCCATCGAACGTACCTACAACAAGTACCCATATTGTATGTGGAGTTGGGTTCTATGGTAAAGCCAATCCTTCTGACCTATCATGCTCAATTTCAAATCACAATATTGTCTGTTATCAATACTACAAATTTGCTATGATTTGGGATAGGTATTAAATGCACGATTAATAACTTGTAGGATATGGTAATGTATATCCGCCCTAACTTGCTCCCAAGCCTGTTTTGCAAGTTGTTCCACATTTTCGGAAGAGAAAAAAATGACCGGCGGGAGACATTGGCTGCTGGTCGTCACAATTGCCCGAGGAATAGTAGAGCGATATCACATATTTTTGAGTTGGGATTCCCTGATGGTGGCTACTTTTCCCGCTTAATGCGGAAATTGTATCGGGCACAGTCATAGGACACGAAGTCACGTTGGTGCCCAACACCAACCACCGCCCCCGCATCAAGAAGCGAAGTCATGTAAATCATGTACAATATTGTATGTTGTACTGTGATTCCTCGGAGCTATAAATAACAAAACTCATTACATAGAAAATCCAAGCCTCATTATTCAGTCAAACTATGGTTCGAGAAGCTAAGTTTTAGGAATGGTAGATAGATGTCTACCATGGTAGACATTGATGTGTGAAACCATGGCGATCTTCGGCATCTTCTTCAAGGCTCTCTAACAGAAACTCATGATTTCGGCGATTGGGAAAATGGCGTAAAGGTTAGATAACGAGCCGGGCCTTATATACAGTGTGTTTCTTCCCCTTTGTCATATTTTCCCCTCCTTGTCATCCCGCACCTACCATTCGCACCAGAAATGACATTCACAGCTCAACGGTATGGATTCAGCTACAGCGTTGAGCAGTCCTCCCTCTTCGATTCCTGAGCCTCAGTTGAATGTACATTACTCTGCACCTGGGTTTTGCTTGCCGCATCCCGATACTGTCAGTGAATTTCGCCGGGACAAAAGTAACCTGGTATTCTGCCATGGTGTCGCCATTGTGAAGATCTCACCCGAAGTCGTCGTCAAGATTGGTCCTCATATCAATTTTATCGAGGCTAAAAACATGACGTATGTTGCGGAAAATACAGGGGTTCCCGTACCTAAGGTTTTCGCATGTTATACGTACGGTCCTATTGATCGCGACCCTGATGACTACAGGGGCGTTTACGATACCTACATCTTTATGACTTATATTACCGGTGAAACACTCCAGGTAGCTTGGGATGGTCTCGACGTCTCCGCCAAATGTCAGATTACGAGACAACTTACGACATACATCCAAGAAATCCGCAATTTGGAGAGTGCTGGTTATATCGGTTCTTTGGAGCATGGTCATGTTACTGACCATAGTCTATCGACCTCTGATGACAAAGGTATAATACCCAGATACTAAGAATAAAGCATATAGGCATTATTTACTCTGAACTAACACGTTTTTTTTTGGAAGGCCCATTTAATTCCGAGCGGGATTTCAACACGGCTCTTGTTGAAGTCTACCAAAAGAATGCCCCGAAACGCCATATCAAAGCTTTTTTTAATGGAATGCTTCCTGAATCCCACCGCATTTTGTTTGCACATGGTGACTTCAGGCCTCAGAATATCATGGTGAAAGATGGAAATGTGACCGCTATTATCGACTGGGAGCTGAGTGGTTGGTATCCCGAGTACTGGGACTTCGCGAAAGCTCTACTTATATGGTTCTATCAGAATGATTGGACAGACTACGTGGTTCAAATTCTCCAACCATATCACGCGGAATTTCTCATGCACTCTTTCCTGATGGAAAAGCTGTTGTTGTAGTTAGGATTTTGCAGGATTACGCAATACAAATAACCCGTTGAATACTCGGACAGCAAATCCATTCTGAATAACTCGCGGTACCATCCCCTTGATTCCACTATATCGCGATATAACCGACACATCATCCACGTATCTACTTCTTCGATACAACCAACCCATCACACACATAGCTTCTTCACCTCATTCAACACATCGTCAACCTAATCAGAACAATCCCGGGGTGGTGGGTAAAGGTCACTCTCCATGAGTGCACGTGGATCGTGAGGAACCTTCTGTTCCGCAGCAACTCGTTCGAATTCCGAGAGTTTCGATCTCGGGAACTGAAATTGGAATTCTCTCCTTTTGTAGCTTTTGATTGCCTGAAAATTATACCCGGGACGTGGATCGTATCGCATGCCCATGCCCAGATCACCGATGACGTGGTAGAATCTTCCACGTCCTTGGTCGTCCATCTGTGTGGGGACAAGAGCGATAGCTTGATGATCAGCCTTGTTGCGTTGGCTGAAATAGACTCGGTAGACGTTGTAACGTGAAGGGCCGAGTTGCTATCAACAGATCCCTTGGTCGCGTTCTGCCAAAGGCCGTCTCGCTAACACCAGCGACGAGGCCGTTGACGGCCGTGTTCGGTCCCATCTCGAGGCCATCTTGGCTTCACCGCTAGAAGAAATCGCGCCATACCGGCCTCAGCTTTAAGGGCATCTTGATAATTTAGAACAGTTGAAAAGGCTCCCACTGTGGGTCGCTCACTATGACCTGAATGAAGTGAACGTCCTGATTGATGAGGATTGCAACGTCACCGGCTTGATTGACTGGGAGCTGTCCACCCCACTTCCATTTGGAGTTGGCTTCGGTCGCATTCACACCTACGCTGGTGAATACACGGGCGGGGAGTTTTGGGTACCTGATGAGTTTGAGGATGCCAAACGGGGGTTTTGGCACGAATTGTTTGATGGAATGCCAGCAGATACTCGCGACAAGTTGGAGCAAGATTTTGCTCTTATCCAGGATGCTGTCATTCTTGGGACATTTTTGGATTGCTTTTGTTTTGAGGACGGGGAAGTTATTGTTGGCGCTGTTTCTAAAAAGGCTATCCCCAAGCTCCTTACATATCGAATTCCTTTTGTTAGAGGGGATGAGCCTCCATACAGAGATTAGAGCCGCTTAGCAACCAATTTTCCTACGCAGAATCCGAAGACAACGATTGTTTCCTTCTAAGTAATCCAAATCTATAGACAAATTTCAGGAACCGATTTCAGGATAATAATTGGGTGGTATTGTAATAATCATATTCCGAGAGAGCTGATGGATCTTATACTTCACATGCAGTTAGGTATGATAGTAACTAGATTATAATATCCAAATTCCGCCCATCCTTCAATCACTCCTCTGATAGCTCAGCTGGAAGAGCGCAAGACTGTAATTGTCCTGTTCTGCAAAGAACTTGTCATCTTGAGGTCCCTGGTTCGATCCCGGGTCAGAGGATTTTTTGGTATTTTTTGCCTTAGACATTTTGATTTCTTCGCTCTCTTCCCTTCCTTGCATTTGAATAATTAGTATACTCCTTAGTATGCTGACCATTTCGATCTATCTTCGAAGATGATGCTGAAGCTACTCCGTACTTCTTTTAACATCAAGATCAAGGTTGGAATCTTATGTGTCTTACTAATCGCCGTGGGGTCAAGTTGTGGGGGTCGACCCGTTGGTTTGTGGGTTGCGGGTCGACCCATTTACGGGGTTTGGTGTCCAACCTTGAATATACCCGGCTAATTTGGATTTCCGTAGTTGTCCTCAAAATAACAATCTCCAAATTGTCTCGTTATCTACCTTACGCTTAGCATACAGGTATCTAGATACGGAGTAGGTATGTGCGACTTTCAGGCGGTGAGCTGGGCGGTATGTCCTGCGATTTTTATCAGGGCTTGACGGCTCGTACACTTTGAGCTTTGAGGACGCAACCACCTGAACAATGCCGAACACTCTGCCTCTTCTGAGAGGTCAAATTACCTACTCCAAGGCTCAAAAAGAAGAGATCAACATATTACGTCGACTCGAATATCCCAACCGACAAAAGAAGTTCTTTGCCAACCTCTCTAACAATAATCAGGATTGGATCAAGGATGTTATAACCCACCATTTGGGCCTTCGATCGAATGATTTGTGTGAAGTGGCTGATGTTCAATATTGGTTGCATGGAAGTTTCAACGTCTGTATTCCAGTCTCTATCAACGATTGGCAAGCCAGAAAACAGTCGGGAACTCGAGTTCTCCTTCGATTGCCTCTTCCATACCGCCTGGGCGAGGACTTTTGTCCGGGAAATTGCGATGAGAAAATTCGATGCGAAGCTGGAACGTATGCTTGGCTGCAAGAGAATTGCCCTGATATCCCCATTCCTCGTCTTTATGGCTTTGCCACTTCCGATGGACAAACTGTGCGGTTTTTCTGTTCCCCCTCATCAACCGAGGCCATACTGATGTTGACCAGCTCTCGCATATCGAGAGTCTTCCTTTGCTAAGCCGCTGTTTCCAACACTTCCGCCGCTTGCTTCTGTCGTTTTTTGGCCATTCGCTTCCTTCCTCATACGTTTCCCACCCATCACGAATCTCGAGATATGAAGGCGACGCCTTGCCTCCGGGTTACATGGTTATCGAGTACATTGAGAGTAATAGGGGGCAAATGCTTTCGTCAACCTGGCTGAAAAGAAATCAAGATCCTCGCTACCGGCGCATGCTTTTTCGCGATTTCTCTCGAATATTGCTAAGTCTAGCGCGTATTCCTCTTCCATCAATTGGCTCATTTGTTATCGACAAAGACGGCTACCTTCAGTTGGCAAACCGTCCTTTGTCACTCGAAATTCAAGACCTAGAAAATGATCACATCCCTACGAATATGCCACGGTCCCAGACGTACTCGGCCGCTGACTCATATATCATGGATCTTCTTGGACTTCATAATAGCCGGCTCAGAAACCAAGCCAATGCGATAAACAACTTGAGTGATTACATATACCAAGCATCGGCTTTGACTGGGATGCAAGCAACTTTTCCATCATTCTTCACGAAAGAACTCTGCCGTGGCCCTTTCACTTTCATTCTCACCGATCTCCACCAAAGCAATATTTTTGTTGACGACGATTGGCATATCACTTCCCTAATCGACCTTGAGTGGGCTTGCTCTCGTCCAACCGAAATGATCCGTACACCTACGTGGCTTACAAACAAAGCTGTCGACGAGATTTCCGAAGATGCAGTCGAGTATGAAGCAGTCAGGTCCGAATTTATGGAAATTATGGAAAATGAAGAAGGGTTGTTAGGGGAGGCTTCTGGAAAGGCAAACCTCTCTGGGATAATGGACCGGAGCTGGCGATCTGGAACTTTCTGGTTCTCCCTTGCACTTGCAAGCCCAACTGGTCTCTTTTCGGTTTTTTACAAGCAAATCCAGCCCCGCTTTAGTCAATATTGTAAAAATCCGGCTGAGGCCTTCCAAGAGACAATGTCATGGTACTGGGCCCAGGATTTTGTGAGGGTTGGGGCCAAAAAGCGGCAAGATAGAATTGAGTACGATACTCGCTTGAGGGCAGCATTTGGAGTTTCAGACGAGGCAGATTGAAAGTATGTACAGAATTCGCTCGAAATAATAGCATATTTCCGGCCTCTAGAATTCAATCTATTTCCCTTTCTCATCCTTTGGTTCGTCTGGACGTTTGAATATATCCTCAATGGCCTCATCTAGGTTTCGTCTAGCTCTATCAAGCTTGGAGTCGTCGCGATGTTTTTTGACGGCTTCTGCCGAAGAAGTGAGCTGTCGTAGTATCTCCTCCACGCTTGACTTGGAGTCAGCGGTTGACTGTTCTCTCTTTTCATGTCCAGGATTTTCCGACATGTTGCTAAGCGAAATGCTATTTCTATGCCATTAATTAGCCCATGGTCACTGGTCACTACACCACTTGTGTTTTTCTGATCTAGTACCTCGTGGAAGATTGCGGACTTCAAGGTGATGGAGTTGTCAGAAATCAAAAGAAAGTCTCCACGCACCTTTTACCTGAATACCCCCTGCTGGTTCTAAAGCAATAAGAGCCTAGAATGGGATCAAATCGTGGGGCTAGCCTCGGACCGCTGCTCTTACACTGGTCTTTTTCGCTACATTCAAAGATACATTGTCATCTGCCAGTATGCGAAACGTCATAATGTATATTGAGGTCCTTGCGGTATTTAAATCCCTCACAAAAATTACCCAGCATGCTCAGTCTAAAAATCGTCCAGATATGGCGTTAACATAGAGGCTTTTGAGTGGACTCTCGGATTATATAGGCAAATCATTGCGAATTCTCGATATGGATCTCTGCAGTCTTCGCAACAGCCTCTCGCGGATTGGTCATCCCCTCAGCCTCCAGGGATGTCTATATTGTATTAAAGATGCCCCACATTTACGCTGTAGTTGCCTTGAATGTCATATTGGCAGTGTTGGAGTTGTGACAACAAACTTTCGAATGACGTTATTTCCTATATTCGAGGCGGTAGGCCACTGTGATTCTACTAAAACGCCCAAGGAGTGACAACGAAGAAGCATAGTACCGTCATCTTCTTTTTATTTGAGAATAGGAATCAGGTAGAATATATACCATTTTTTCCAATCAAAGTGCATGTCTTTTTACTATGTAAACCAGAATATATGGCAGAATTCTGAGTGGTACTGAAAGTTCAGGCGGGATGTGCGAGCAAGTAATAGATATTATTTTTTTTTTTTACAATCCAGAATGAGTATTAAACTACTGCAAGTCGTAAGAGAATCAAGAAACATCCTGATAATCAATAAAGTCGTCATATATATAGACAGCCTAAAACTGCGAGAACAAAAGCCAAATTGAGAGACGTATATCGTGTAATTATATTACCTCATGTTGATTTAACGAATATAGAAAGAGAATGAGTAAAACGGACTGATATGTCCAACGCAACAGGAACATAAATCTCAACAATGAACAATCCCAACTATCCCCACCAGCCACCAGCCACCACCTTTGTCAGGATTATCCACCACTCAAATCTGCATAGCAAGAGCGCAGAGAGCACCGAACACCACGGCAACACCGGACAAAGTAGCACGACCAGCCGCGTTGAACGGAATGGTGCTAGGGCTGGGCTTGGTCCCGCTGCCACCGTTACCACCGGAGGCGGGAGAAGTGTGAGCCACAATGCCGGTATAGGTCTTGGATCCAGTGATGACCTTGGTAGAGGTAGCAGTAACACGGGTGAAGCTGCCGGTGTGGGATGGACGTCCCACGGTGACGGAAGGAACACGGGTGTATGTAGGAACCCAGGCTGAGGCATCACCGGAAGAGTGAGGAGAGCCAGGTCCCTTAGGGCCAGTCCAGACTGTGGTGGTAGAAGCCTCAGCAGTAGGGATGGAAGACTCGCCTGGCACAACAGCGGGGATGGAAGTCTCAACCGGAACAGCGACGGGGGTGGTAGACTCGGCAGGAACGAGAACAGGGACAGTGGGAACTGTAGGCTCGCCCGGAACGGCGACAGTGCTGGTGGTTTCACATGGCACGGCGACGGGGGTAGTGGACTCGCCCGGAACAATAACGGGAACAGTGGGAACGGTAGTCTCACCCGGCACAATGACGGGGATTGTGGTGCCTGGCACAACGACGGGAGTGGTAGACTCGCCAGGAACAACAACAGGGACAGTGGGAACTGTAGTCTCACCCGGCACAATAGCTGGGGTGGTAGTCTTTCCTGGAATCACGACCGGGATAGTGGTCTCCGCGGGGGAAGATGGGGTGGCAGTGGCCGGAGGCGGGGTAGATGATCCATCACGGCAATCAACCTCACCCAAGACGGCCAGACACAGGTTGATGGGGATATCGATCAGACCACCAGTAGAGGTAGATTTCTGCTGGCATTTAGCCTCGCCGAGGACAGCCAGACAAATGTTGATGGGAACACTGATCAGGGCACCGTCGTCGCTACCGGAGGAGGAAGAGGCCTGGTCACACTTGGCCTCTCCAAGGACAGCCACGCAGGTGTTGACAGGCACACTGATCAGACCATTGCTGGTGGTCTTCTGCTTGCATTCGGCCTCTCCGAGGATGGCGGTGCAGAGATTAACGGGCACGCTAATCAAGCTGTCACGGGTGTGGAGACCGTGGTTGCCGATGAGAGAGGAAGAGACCTGGTCACACTTGGCTTTTCCAAGGACTGCAACACACGCATTGACAGGCACGCTGATCAGTCCCTTGGTGACGGTCTGCTGCTTGCATGCAGCCTCTCCGAGGATGGCGGCACAGAGATTAACGGGCACGCTGATCAAGCTCTCAGTGGCTTGGGCTCCCTACAGTGACACAATCTGTTAGCTGTATGTCAATTTGCAACAGCAACCAATGGCACGGGCTTCCTTACGGAGCATGAAGCTGCGAGAGCCACAAGCGAAGTGATCATGGATTGCTTCATATTTGCGAGTTGGAAGTATATTTAGAGTGAAAGAAAGAATGGACGCTGAATGATACCAGCAAAAGGGAGTGTCGGGTGGAAAAGAACTAACAACGAAGAGATGAAGAACAGGAATAAATGAAAGAGGCAGACAGCCTTATATGTGCCAATCCATTAGTCGGTCGTTATAGCAATCTCAAAAATAGGGGAGGAAACGTCGATCTACATCACAACGTACTGCCTAGCCCAAACAAGAAAGACTAGACCAGCCCATTCTGCTGGTCAATCACTTTCTTATTGGTCCCCTGCTCCTAATTTCCCTCGTTTTTGGTTGACAAGTTGGTCAACGAACCAAACCTGATATCCAAACCTTATGCTAGACCTATCACTTCACTCCCGGGCCGCTAATGCAGTTAGCGCCTTAGTTGATGCGCTCGGGGTCTAGTCCGAGCTAGTCCAGCCCCCATATGCACGTATCTTAGGCACTTCTTTGTGCTCGTGATATCTCATCTCAGGGGCACTCCAAGCAAGGCATCAGTTTCAATATAGGGCTATTCGGGGTAATAAGCCGAAAAATCCTAAATTGGACCAGGAAAATGTCTGTACGACCAAATTCGAGTCCTCGTAGCCCAAGACTAGTCATCATGTGCCTCCTACCTGATCTAGAACCCCGGCTACCTGCGTGCAAGGGTCTGTAGTCAGGAACGGTGCATTTGGAAACTAATTCAAAGTCGATTAATCTGGGTCGCTTTTTTCCACGGAAAAAATATTCTATACTCCCTCCCTACTCCCTACAAGTTAAACAAAACATGGCATACTCGGACATCGAAGTATTGCGCAAGTGTCGAAATTTAGGGTATAAATTCCACATTACCCCATATGGTCTTTTAACCCTTGGGTGCCTTGACCTCCTTGGCTGCGCTAGAGATGTGCGCCCCACCAGGCTTACGATCTTGTTATGATCCACAACGTCTGTTTCCGCATGTGCAGGGTGATCTGCAGCCTGGCGTACACGCGAGTGTTCATCTTTGATCCTGAGCTTTGTCCCGTCTTAATAACTCCACCCCTTCTTGTATACAAAAATCGTGGGTATATCTACGGATTGATAATTTACGCAACACTGTGTGCTTGAGCGAAGGAGGCTTTCTCGACTAGTTGATGTGATACTACATCTTGATTTTGAAAAGATTTTCTATTGATCCACTAATCATCGAATTTGACGTACGCCAGGTTCCGTGCACCCCAGGGGTTCGGAAAGTTCCGTTGGTTTGCCCCAATGAATCAGCTTACTTTCAATGGCGTTGGCAAAATAACTAGGAAACTAGTAGTTGAGAAAACCTTATCCTGGCGCATGGATGTTGGTGACTTTCCCAAATATCATTGTGTATGCTATATATATCACAAATAGGACTAGAAATCTTTTTCCCGTTGGTCCAGACCGCCAGGAGGAAGCTTTTCATTAGCAAATCATAGTATGCAGCGCTATTACTCCGTACCCTTGCAGACTCTACATAGCATGGCATGATCCAAGCCCAGTCCCATTCGTGTTTAGTGGTTTATTGAAGCCTTAGGGCTGGGCATTGCCTGAATAAATGACAAATTCTGGTATAGTCATTCCGAGGTTGTTCCTTTCAGTTCTCATCTCATCCTCCTTCAAGACAATAATAGAATAGCATGTTGAGATTAAATTTCTTCACTTTTTGCGACGTTAGAATAAATCCAATTTGTCGGGAATACGGCCACGCACGGATGGAATTCGTCCACGCGCTGACTCGTAACCGCCCACTGCCCCTCTCCCCTTCCTTTCTCATTCTGATATTGTAACAACACTGCTGTCGACGTCATGTTTCAATGTACACAATGCGAAAAAGCCTATCAGAGGAAGACTCATTTAATTCGCCATGAAGTGACCCGTAAGGTCCAATGAACGCCCCTACAAATTATGAATAGGCTGATCATCTCCCAGATACACAGCAGCTCTCTTCTAGCTGTCCTCTGTGCAGCAAATCATTTCTAAAGCCGTATGTAAAGTATCATTACTATAAATAATGATAACGTCTAATGCTCGAAAGTGAGGTCACACGAAGACATATCAAAAACTGTGCGAAAAAATCCAATCAACCTGCGCCTCCTGCAGCCAAGCCAGGTAGGAAAAGGCATTCATGTGATCTATGCTACTTTGCCAAAGCATCTTGCGACCGAAATTTACCTTGCTCTCGCTGTCGCTCCTTTGGGCGAGAATGTACTTTCGTAACCCGAGAGATACCTTCCGGGGATCCCAGTTGCTCCGCAGTAACCTCGCTCTCGCCTTCGATAACTACATCGCGAGCGAACTCGAGAGACAGTGGGTCATTTTCTTTTCTCCAACACTTTGCCAATCCTTCTTTCCAAAGAGATAGACTGGCGATTGGGGAGACTGCAAAGTGTTCTGTTCGCCGGAACCTCGAAACACTCAATTCCCATATCGAAGATGCCCTCGTTCCTACTGATCCTATGTCAGCTTTTGATAGCGATTTCCAACTTACAAATTTCTCTTTCCAAGTACCATCGACTCTGCCCTCTTTCACGGATGATTACCTACTCCAGTTCAATCCTGATACTCTCTTCCCTTCGAAGCTTTCCAACCAATTATCCGAGATTATGACGGAGTTGGTCGATACTTCGAAGTCAATGGGTCTCGGAAGCACAGGAACGCTAAACCCGCTTGATTTTATGGAACTTTCTACTCTCTTGGGGGTTTCCAATATCTCTGCTTCTATCTCTGCATTCTTTCACTCACTGCACTGGCATTTGCCCGTGGTGCATTTTCCAACCTTCGACCCAGGAAACATCTCCAATGCTCTGTTACTCGCAATATTTCTATCCGGTGCCACATATACTATTCCACTAGATGGAGGAGCCCTACCATCCGGGCTGTTCGACGTCGCAGAAGAGTATATATTTCGCAAAATTGCGGATCTATCAACACTCACTTCACCGAAAGACCAGTCGCATCTTTTATCAAATGTACAGCTAATGCAGAGTGCTCTTATTATTGAGATGCTTCAATTTGGACAAGACAGTATGCAAACAAGACGTCGCATTCGCATCGTCCGGCATCCATGTTTAGTATCCACCATCCGATCCCTAGGAATTTTCCAGCTCAAGCGAGGAGCCGCTCCCACCGTTTGTGATGAGATGACTTGGAGAAATTTGGTGGCAGAGGAAGTGTGTATAAGGTACCTTATATCCCATATCCCACTCTCTCCTTGTCTTGTCTTCTCTTTCGAGATGTATCGCTAACCAGTTCCAAGAATCGCTTGTTGGGTCTTTTTAGCAGACGGATTTCTCACCGTTTGCTTCAAAAACCACCCGTCAATATCGGTCTTTGAAATGGACTGTCATTTTCCCTGGAGTGCTGGGCTATGGGAAGCCGAAAGCGCATCTTCTTTCAGCAGAATTGCCATGTCGCACTCGACGGAGCTCCCACTTCCACCTCTAAAAGATGTGATCACGCAGTTGCTTGAAACTCCTTTAGGTAATGACCCAATACCATGGGGTCTTTCGGTCTCAGTAGAGCATCTTCTGATTCTGATTTACGGTATGTTGATAACTGAAATCAGCCAAGTGATCAATTCCTAACAATATCATACAGCCATTAATTCCCTCGCCTTCCAAGCGAGAGCTGGCTTATTAAGATACCTATCGCTCGATAGAATACGGTGTGCGTCTAGCAATTGGAGGCGCATCTGGGATTCTGTCATTGGTCTCCTAGATAAGGATCAATTCCTTCATCTTGGGTATCCGAAACACGCTCAGGAGCTTTGGTGGTTGTTGAACGCTACTCTGGATGCTACTGGCAGATCTGATGTCAGCCTTCGGTATATGGATAACACCGCTACCGATGACTTGGGGAATTTGAATGAATTCATTCAATGGTGTCATCAAAGTCCGCCATAGTTTCGAGTATAAATACAAATGTCGTACATGATGAATTCGCTTTTCCGCCGAATTTATGCTTATTATTTTCTTCCTTCGGCTACAACACTCGAAAGGAAAGAGACATCCAAAATTACATAGTATCTATATTATTAGATATTAATATCATCTCGAGCCAAATGACAACCTCGTCAAGAGAGACCGCCTATTATGTTACATTTAAATACAAGATAGAACCTCCTTGGGACTCTCATTCACACTTATCTCCGAGTTTCCCTTTCCCACCCATTTGCTGGCCTTCCATGAAACTATCCCCCTTGGGCTTTCGGTATGTTCCCGCGAGGCGATCCCACGCCGTCGTAAACTGCCCATAGTTGTAGTTGAAGTACAAGTGATGCATCGTGTGACAAGAAGCACCGTTGATTACCACCGATGTTGGCAAGTACTCGGCGTCGTCTGTAGAATCAATGTCAGCCATCATACCATCGTTGCATGTGGATCATAAAAACTCACGGATCAGCACCGTCCACACAGTAACAAACATAAACAACCCCAAATATGCCCCTTTCTGCAACGGAAAGAGCAGCGGGTAAACATGGTAGGGGAGACTCTGCGCCCATCCATCCAGGGGGTGAAACGCATAACTAGCGAACGGTGTCGGCACCGCCCACTTATGGTGTGGCTTGTGAAGCCAGCGGTAGACGCTAGGGTGATGCAGACCACGGTGTATCCAGTAAATGCCACTGTCTGTGAAGCAGATGAACAATGGATACTGGAGCAAGGTGTATCCGAAGAACGGGGAGTCGCTGGTGAGATCATATAGTTTCGACCAGCCCCTGATCTCTGCTAGGAAGAATGGGACGGTGAGGAGGGCCATGACAGGGATTGCGGATACGCCTTGGTTGATCTCGAGTTTGACTTGGTGTGCGAGGAAGCGCGGGTGTTGGAGTAGTCTTTTGTCGAAGAGGGTGTGGTATAGTAGCAGGCTACCGAGGAGGTACATTATCATTGCGAAAAGCCTGTTAAGTAGCGAGGTCTCAGTTTCTGGGATATTGTAGTTACTTCGAGGGAAGGGACTTACCATATAATCACGTACAGTGACAATGCTTGTCTGGCAATGTCGTCTCTCTTCCAAAGGCTTGCCTCCGCCCATTTTGAGGGCTGCATGGGGTAATAGACACCGACATGTTGGTTCAAATGGGCAGTGGCTTGAGTATCATTGTTGAAAATGGCTGTTGGGTCTGGCGAGAGTAATGCGTAGCACCGGTCGAGGACCAAGGTATCCAGAACGTCCAGGAAAATATCCATTGTTGGTAAAGTGATAATTATGTACCTTGTACAACTCCCTCAACCTACGCAGAAACAAGGCCATCCTCTTCTCTTATATGTGGGCAATACCTACATGGCGATCACTTACTTGGAGAATACCTACATGGTTAACATCAGCCCATCCGGCGAATACCCACACGGTTAATACCTACACGGGAAATCCCTACATTGAACTCTTAGTTACACGCCGCGATCCATTTATTACCACGCGGGGATATCAGTGGCTGAACAAACTATTCCAGACAAAGGGAATACATTGCAGTTTATTTGCCTCCGAGGGAAATCTGTGCAAATTCATTGCTCTCAGGATATAGTAGGCGATGAATTTTATACTTGTATGTAATAACTTCCTCTGTTGTTCAAAAATATTCACGGCTAACTGGCTATTGCCGTTACAGTTAAGGGATATATATATGACCTGCGTGTGGTTGTCAATTTTTGCCCACTCATGAATACATTAAAATTTCGGCTATGGTGCCTTAGACTGGAAAATATGTTTTCTCGAAATTACCTGAATAAAATATTGTGAAGCTTCCATGATTATTTTGTTTTGACTCCAATGTGAATTATTCGCGGTATTCGCTTATAATGGTAAGATGGTCATATCCTCACATCAACCAGCCAAGTGGCCGAGCAGTAACTCGGTCATCGCATTCTTCCTTGGTCTAGTGGTGATGATTTCCGCTTGTCATTAAAACCGATAAGCGCGGGAGACCGGGGTTCGATTCCCCGAGGGAGAGATTTCTTTGTTTTTGTTTCTTTTGGAAAAACCACTCTGTTTCTCATTTAAACCAGGTGAATATCGAATGAATTGGGTAGGATATTTTTTTATTCAAGGAAATAATGAAAGATAACAATGGCTGCTTCCACGCTTCCATAACTCCGACCAGCGGAGCTTTAGTATACCTGTCCCAAAGTGATGGTTGAATGAATGAGGGAATGAATGATTATGTTGTAGAGTCCTCGAAAGAATATGACAGATCAAAAATTGAACAACGCCCGAGGTATTCCAATAGCAAGAAGAGCCAGTCCCCCACGTTCAAAGAAAAGCCTCTGTGGTTGTATCGTTGTCAGTGACTTCACCCATTTGTCGACGGCGACTGTCCAAGAACATATCCACCATGCGCTTGCTAGAGACTGTGGAATGAATGTCTTGAAGTTGATGGTAGTTCTCCATCATGTCGTTGTACTCATACTGCTGCCTCACGTTTTCATTGTTTGCACGGTTGTCTCGTTGAGTGCGCATGGACCGGAAGTGATTGATCCTGTTATCTTGGGAGATCGGAGCACGCCTGGATGAATAGCGTCGCTGTTGCTCCTTGGTCAAGGATCGTTTTGCTCCCACTCCTTTGGGAGTTGGGGACTCTGGTGGCTGCATGTTTCCAGATCTTAGTCGAATTGGCGACGGTTGTTGATTGCAGGCAACGGGGATTGACTTGGGTGAATCATTTTCACCGGACTTAGCAGCGGTATCCAAGGACAGTGAGTTAGCGTAAGACTGCACCATATTCTCTGACTTGGTTGTCTGCAATGGCATGATGGTTCGCATGCCGGAAGCCTGGGTTAATGGACGGGAGAAATTGCTTTGTGACGGGATTCTGTTCTCAGCGGAAGCTTTACGCTCGGTGATACTTTGGCTGTCTGGAACCCTGATTACAGTTGCTGAACCTGGAGCGGAGACAGCGACTGGAGCTCGTCGAGCTATGCTGATAAAGTACTCATCGTCATCCTGGTATTGTGCACATTCTCTGATGTGCTCCCTTGTGGGGCTTGCCTGCTCAATTCTTTCAATCTGCGAGCTCATCCATTGCTGCCAGTCGGCACTAGACTTTACATTAGGTGTGGAAGATGAAGCCCGATTGGTACGCTTGGGTGAGCTGTATGTTGTCCGCTGTGAAGTAAAGATGGTCGCTGTTCCTGGTTCATCATGGACGCCGATGTCGGTATTGTCAGTTCTTGTTGGGGTATTACCACTGGTGGTCCGGGAATAGACACTTGGGGAAACAATATCCCTTGTCGAGGCCCGAAGCCGAGAAACAATAACGCTACAATTATCATCATCCGATTCCTCGCAAAAAGCGTACGCTGATTGCGGCGACTTTGCGTCCGAAACAGCAGTCATATGTTGATCTTTCACCTGAGACGGCATGCCCCGAGAAACTTGCATCGACCTAACTGAGCGAGGATACTTTCGTGGACTGGATTGATCACCACCACGCGCGGTTGCGAATGAACCGGGTGAGGTCGAGGATTCTTGGCTTGGGACATGACGGATACTGCGTCGGCCATGTTGGGAGTAGACCGAATTCGCCCGCTCTGGGATCACACGATGCTGCGACACATTGCCGAAGACCATATCCTCGTTGGGATTAGGCAGGGAATTTTGGCCCATTTGTTTCATCAACGCAGTGTACAAATCTTGACTGTCAACAATGCTAATTCGATGAGGGTTTGCTCTCACGGCTAGAGGAGATTGATTTTCCGTATCATCCATTGTAGGCGTCCGTGGTATTTGCTGATTCACTCCGTCCTCTCTAATCAAAGAGAGAGATTGGCGGTGTCCTAGCTTCCGAGTTGTAACTGTGTTCGGCGTGGTTGAATCAGCCCAACTGGTGACGCGCGACTTGGAAGTGCAGAGACTCTCTTGGCTGGGAGACTGGGGCATTGGCCGGAAATAGTTGGAATCAGTGCCATCCCCAATGGCTGTAACCTTGTTTGGGGAGAATCTTTCAATGCTTTTTCTAACCGGGGTTACCATGGACGCATCTGGGCTACCAGGTTGTTGATCGAGCCTGGAAAACCCAAACACACGTTTGAATTTGTTTTTGATGGAATTGGAAAAAGACCGAGATTTAAGAGAACGCCCGGTATCGACACCACTTTCACTTGTGGCCCGGAACGACTTTCGAAATGGCCTATGCTCTTTCTTGCGTCTTAGCAAGAAAGATGGCCGGCGAGTCTGAACACCTCCAGCGTCGGGATCCTGGGCAAATTGGCTACGAGCAAGCTGAATAGCTGCATCATGACCCTTAGAAGTTGGAGCGACTTGATTGGATTGATAACTTCCCCGAAGAAAAGACATGGATCGTCTCATTGTTCGTGGCAGCTGGAATCCAGGACTGCGCTCGGGATCAAGGGGATCACTGCAAGGAAGGGTAGGCACTCCATATGGGGTCTGTGAAGTTCGCTGGCTGGTCGAGAACATCGACTTGGCCTTGCGCAATCGGCGATATGAAGAGGGGACTGAGCTGTCTCGTCCATCAAGTCCGTCGAGTTCTGTGATTGGGGGAAGGGCCGCAGGGTCATCGAAGCAATGCGCTCGAGCAGATACGCCGGTCAGTTCTTTGGAATGACGGGGATTTGGAGCTTTAGGCAAGTCGCCCTGGCCGACGGACGAGCCATCATCAGTGCTCCGAAGGCTTGATCCGTGACGCCTTCGAGGGATGGCAAAATTTCCTGGACCACCTAGTCGTTCGTATGAGCTTTTCGAGTCCTGAGACGAGCCTTGACTAGAGCGCATTGCACGCGAAGCTGCAGCTGCAGCGGCTGCATGCTGCACAGCCGCATCAGGGATTTCTGGGGCTAGTCGTCGCGGTTTTCGTATTGAGCGGGTGGACATGGACCTTCTTAGGTTGCGTGTATTGGATGTAGAAGAAAACATGTTACAAAATGTCTGCAGAGTATATAGCTACAGCCAGTATTGAGAGAAAAAGGTATTCAGAGAAGAAGAGATTTGAAGAGGGAAGATTGAAGGGATGCGAAGTCATGAGAGGAAAGTACTGCATCACATCACAGTAGGGAAGGTGCGAACTCCATGGCGACTTCCATTTTCAGTCTATTCGCTTCCTCCATTTTACAACAAACCAACAACCTCTTCCCCAGGTGAGTCTCGATTTCCCTTCCAATATTCTATCTAGAGCTAAGCCTTCGCTAAGCGCTAAAAACGCCTGTGGCGCCAATAAATATTACCCAGCCCCAAAGTGACTCACGCCAAGACGCAGCCTCACGACCTGACTCTGGTCAAAATTAATATAATAATTGGGTTTCGCCCGGACTTTCGAGGGATTTCAAGGATTTCAAGTTTCTCTGTCAAAGATAAATAAAATCCCCTGAAATGGCGGCCTCGCGATCTATTTCGTCCAAATTAAGCCACGTTCATTTGAACGGCCAAACCCTGGAAGGGGGCGGGCAGCTGGTTCGAATCGCCATCGGGCTGTCTGCATTGACTGGTCGTCCAGTTAGCATTGATCATGTTCGCGGAAACAGAGATGGAAAGAAGGGGCTCAAGAGATCTCATGCCGCAGCAGTGAAGCTGTTGGCCGAGATTAGCGGCAGCGAAGTCTCGGGAGGCGAGGTTGGCTCCCAGTCCTTGAGCTTCTGCCCACAGTCAACCAGATCGAAAAGTGGTCCGCTCCTGGACTTGTCGCAAGTCAGTGTGAAGTCTGAATACGACATCAAGCTCTCAACTGCCGGTGCCATCTTTCTCGTCTTCCAGGCACTCTACCCGTATCTGCTTCATGTTGGATCGCAGGCGGCGACACCCTTTGTGAAAGTGAACATAACTGGTGGAACCAACGCTACCTTCTCTCCATCATATGACTATGCAGCGCAAGTTATTGTGCCCAATTTCGCCAAACTCGGACTTCCTCCCCTGTCCGTTATTCTTCATAAGCGCGGCTGGACAACGGGGCCGGTTGACCTGGGAGAAGTGACTTTTCTCATACATCCACTCGGGTCTAATTCAAATGACGAAAATCAACACAAGCAGTCATCAGAAAAAGACCGGGCACCTGAGCCTCTATCCAGCTTCCCACAAATCAACTTGATGGATCACGAACGCGGGAAAGTCACGCAAATTGATATCACAGTGCTAGCACCTGACCAACCCACTTTGAACAACAACACAGAAGGCACGGGGAGCACTCTTCGCCAATTTATCGAACAAGGCACTCGACGCCTGCTTCGCCGTGAAACGAGAAAGCTGGATCCATCTATATTTGCTAAGAGCTCTACTCCTCCACGTGAAGATACTCTCAGCAAAATATCATCCAAAGATACACCAGTTCCTATCAAAATACACACATCGGAAGCCACAAATCACCGCAGCCACGTATACATCCTTCTTGTGGCCCATACCTCTTCAGGTTTCAGAATAGGCCACGATATTCTTGGCAATATAGGAGGCGATCGCCTGCACAAGCCAAAGAACAAGGGGAGACAAAAGCAACAGCCAGCTCATGATCATAGGCACGAATCTCAAACCGAGGCTGCATTTTCTGGGGCTGCAGATTTAGTCCGCCGATGTGTGGAAGGATTCATTGAGGAAATCTCAAACGAGAGTCCAAATGCCAATGCAGACAAGAAACCCGATTCCATCGTCAGAAGAGCCTCTTTAGATAAACATATGAGAGACCAAGTTGTTGTTTTCGAAGCACTTGGAAAGGCCTGTCACGCAGGGCATGGCAACAAAGCAAGCGATACCGAAACTCTGGAGGACGAACGAGATTGGACACTCCACACGAAGACCGCACAGTGGGTGTGCGGGCAGATTTTGAACGTGTAGAAGATTACACTTGGAAACATATAAAATGCCGTACGGACTATTGGAGCATGAATTGAATCGAGGCCCTCTTAGACCTTAACCTCCACCCCCGAGAGCCCCGAACAATGATCCACTAAGAAAGCCTAAGATATAAAATGTCAAGCACAACATAACTACTCCGTAAGAACCAATATATTGATTGTCTCTGTCGGCAAAATTAATATATTCATCGCAAATTCTTCCGCAAGGTGCCGGTATCCGCGTAAAGCGCCAGACCTTAGAACGGAAATTAAGGGATTTACGCCCCAAAGCGGCTCTTAAGGCCAAACACTTGCCGTACGGCAGATTTTACCGCCGGTAACCATTTTGCCCGCAGTATTTATATACACTTATACAACATCTGAGTTATACACATGCATGTTCATATGTATAACTATACGGAATATGTACTCCGTAGTTAATTCCCGACAATCGAATTCTTAGCTTGAATTTGCTTATACTTGAATTTCTATACTTTGCCCCTTTGCCCTTTGCCCTTTGCCCCTTTGCCTCTTTATTCAAACTATACGACGACTTGTCTGCTTCCGATCTAGTTCATATAAAAGTGGCGTCAAAACTAGATCTCATTTCAGAAATTCATAACGGCCGATGAAAACCCGGCGGTGAGCTAGGCGGTCATGTTCACTACGGTAAAGACAGCCGTAACTTGCCGTCCCAGCCGTTCCGTGCTTATCACTCCAATCCCGAAGGGGAATTCCAGACCGGAACTAATAACCAATTGGCAGCCAGATGCCGAGAGGCAATATACATTTGTAGATCCGATCGGGCACTCCACGACGGCCTGTTTTGACGGTTTGACACTTCTGTGTCGAATAAGAGGGTCTTCGAAAACGCTTAGGGCACAGTGGATATTGCCACATGCAACATGGACGATATCCACAGTGGCTTGATTGTTGGATATAGACAAGCTCGCGAGTCATTGATTTGCTTTCCACGGGAATCCTGTTTTTCTAGACTTTTCGAGAGGCAATCTATTTTCTGAGCTTGACACGGATTGGCTACATGGCAGCTGCCCAACATGTTGTCATTGTGTCGGGATATTAGGGAGACGAGAGTTAATATAGTGTTAATCTAGGCAATTCGCAGAAGTAAATATTTTAGGATTTTCTTCTCTTCTAGGTAGGTGCTTACTTCTAGTAAGTTTGAGGAATGAGACATAATATGCCAGATCTGTAAATATAGTGCCCAGCGACGAGACCCTTGTCTCGGGGACGATATCAATGAATGCCAATGCAGAATTTACCCAAGTGTCAACGGGAAACGCAACGCCACACCGATTATCCTTCCCCCCAGCGATCAACAAATCTTAGGAAATTCCAAACGAGCTAGGGCATCGTTCTCAAGAGCAACGCATCCCGCGGAATTGGAACGTGCCAAATTCCCCACAGTTCCTGAAACAGCGATCGATCCGCTACTGTGGAATGTGGAATGTGGCTGAGCGCAGGAAAATTACGCCCAATACCAAGCCAAAACCGAGAGAGAAAAAGGGGGCTTGAAATTTCCACGCTAGAGCCCAAAAAGAGAAACGGCGTAGAAGGCCAGTAGAAGGGGCTAGAAGCACATCTAACACTAGGCTGGGTAGCTAGTGTATCCCACTGGGCTTTGTTTTACATTCGGATGGAGCCCAGATAATCCGACCAAAGTGGATATTTGGTGTTTCTCTTTTTTTCCCGTTCTTTTTTTTGAGTTGTTCTTTTTCTTGGCCACCCCTGATCTCCTGCCCATTTGGATATGTGGTTGGCCCGAGGGGGGGGATTGTCTAGCTCACAATAATCTCACGTACAGACAATAGTTTCATTTGTGGACAAAACACATAGAGCGGGAAACTATCCATCTCTGAGACAAGCGATCGACATGGTTCTCTTTTTCTGCATTCTCCTATATTGTACTCCGTACTGTGTTCTGCGGTACGGAGTAGGCGGCCCCCTTTTCCCCCGTCCTCGAGAGGATTCTGCAAGGTATGACACGTTTCCCGCAAAAAGGCATAGTATAACTATCACATATCATAGCCAACGATCCCCTCGGGACCACGGATTTTCCGAAAAAAGGCCAGCCAGGGCCCAGCTAAGTCTAGATGCACCCCGTGGGACACCACATGACCTTCACAACCTGCGCCGGAAAAAAAAAGCCAAAAAGCCAAAGACCAGACCAATAGTTACGGCCGAGTGTAGAACTTAGTCATATCACCAAAGCCGCGGGCCGCAACGGCGTCAGTCAAATACATACCACCCGCAAGAGCTGGTGCATTAGAGGTATGTGTGCGCCCACCATAGACAGGGACAGGGATAGCCCCTGCATGACATGAGCCATCGACAGCAACCCGAACGATCGACGGCGCAGGTCGTACGGAGCCTCGCACAAATGCCATTATTGCCTAACCCCGTAACCGCAACCCGTAACCGTAACCCGTATCCCGCAATCTCGCGTGCAACATAGCCCCTGGCCACTGGCCGGGCGAGGGAAACAAAACATGCCACCCGCGCATCTCTTTGCGCAGATCTGTAGATTCGGGCCAGCGAGGTCTAGATCGTGACGGGGATCTTGTAACTGCTACAAGGGTTGGACTCGGGATTGCGCAGCGGATTCGGGGGGATGATGTTATGGGACACGAGGGGAATGGATGGGCTGATGAAGGACGCTTCCCGTGTGAGTTGGTGAGCCGAGAGTTGGACGGGATGAGTGCAGGAGCAAGATTCTAGACTTGGATGGATTTTCTTTTGGGCTATGTTGGTTTTCTATGTGAGACGGAGGATTCGTTGCGGCTGAGAAATGTCAGGGAAGAGGATCATCCGGATGTCGGATCCCCGCGACAGGTTAGAGAGAGAGGTTTGGGTTTGGGCCCAGAACTTGATAGCCCCGGAACTGCGGCTCAGGGTAATGGCCTTTTAGACCTGATACGTTGTCAGGATTGGGTGTCAAGTGTTGGGTTGACAGACTAGCAATCTTGCGGTCAGGCCTGAGATTCTACAATGTACATTTGTTTAGATAAAGAGATAGATGTCAAGACATAATAGTATGAATGCTGTAAATAGGTATATAGCACTAGGGGGAATGGTCATATGAAGGCAGTAAAACAGAGGGGTATGGCATCACCGTTTACAAAGAAAAGAGTCAACATCAGTTAAAGGAACATAAAAAATCGGGCATAAAAAGCAGAAAGCACACGTATGCGCAAGGAAAAGAAGGGAGCGATCAACGATCAACCGGAGAGTTGAAAGAACCCAATCCATCAGCGCCACTGCCCTCCAGTGGCAGATCCATATCCGTAGGTATCCATGCAAAAACAAAATGAAGCGATCTATCCTCCATGCAAAAAAAAAAAAAAAAAAAGTGGGTGTCCTCGAAACAAACCCAAGCGAGTGAAAGTGGAAATCTTCGCGAAGTCCATGCCCGGTTCTCCAGTTTCCAGGAGATATTCGCAAGAGCTCACTCATTAGCCCAGCCAATGTGGGGAGAGTCCAGACGAGATCAAAGAGAAAACCGGGAAATTAGGCATCAAAGTAGAGGCAGACGGCCGAATATAACAAAGAAACTCCCGGCGATGCAGATGAGAGATGTGGAGAGCAAATAAGAAAGAACAAAGGAAGCGGCCGTCGAACATGCGCGGTGCATCCCAGCCGGCAGGATATGCAACCTAGCAAGAAGCTGAGGCGTTCTTCGGACCGTCCCGGATGTATGAGCTTCGCATTCATTGCAGCTTGGGCTCGGAGAGTTTAGAGAGCTCGCCAAAGAGTTCCGAGGGAAGTGCGCGCTTGTACTCGCGTGGTTGGGCGAACGGCGAAGCTGGACGGCGCAAGTTTAGAGACTGGTATAGGGTTAGTTTGGATTGTTTTCCTTTGTCTTTCTTTGATCTTTGCATAGACTAGACAAAGATATAATTTGGCACATACCACGCAGTCAGAGCACTTTGCTCCTTGTCGGTTGACACGGCCTCGGCATCCGCGGGGATAGTTTGCGCAAGAGTACATGGTTGATGATATTTGACCGGGGTTGTTTAGATCGAATGTGGGATCGACAAAGGACGTTGAGTTGGATGCTTCAAGAGTTTGGACAGAAGAGAAAAAGTGTCTGGTCACTGATTAAATGTAACGGAGAATAAGGACCGAGGCCTAGAATGTGTAGTACAACACGATGACGTCGGCGGTTCAAGGTTGCGTTGGATAGAGATTCAGCCACAATCAGAGAGAAGACCAGATTTGAAGAAAGAGAGGATCGAGAAGATGACTTTATATTAGAGGCTCAAAAAGATGGCTTAGAAGTAAAACAATCCAACAAATCCAAGTTCCAGGCAGTTAAATAAGGAAGGATTAGAATTTTTAGGGTTCCCATTTTCGTTTACTGGGGTTGGTTTTTTATTTTTTATGTTTTTATTTTATTATTTCTTTCTAAATATTGTCTTTTATTACTTGTACGTCGTGTATTGACTGTTTTATATTATTCCCTTTTATATTATTCCGTTAATCTCTCTCTAACCTCCGTCTTTGATTACCAAGCCCTAGGTGGCATTCAATCCCCTGCCATTCCGCAAGCCAGCGTGTGAGAGGCCTATCCCACCTGCTACATATTTAATAGATTCTAAAATGCAGAGATCGGTCGATCCCTGATCCCTTGATCTGAGCATGCGGGTTGATCGGCTCAATGCTGGTCTTCGGTGCATGAAGGGGGCCAATGAAGGATCCACCATACATCGAAAAACAAAATGACGATACGATGCATCAGAAAATCGCGGGATGACTCGCAGTCTCATATGTATATTGCAGGGACAGGTGGAGCACCTGACAGGGCAGATTTTTGAAACAACAGCCTAATGCAAACAAACCTTTAAGCTTCAGAACAGATGAAGGAACTTAATATGTATCGACGTACGTACGTCGTACTCCGTCGAGGTATATATGTTGTATGTTGTACTGGGAGATTACGTTTTGACTTTCTTTTGATTGCTTTGGACTATGTCTTCTATAGACGCCGTTTCAAATTGATGCCCCCCTCGATTCCCAATGCTGGGTCTTAGGCTCTTGGGCCCTCCCTATGGAGTCCGCCGTCGTTCTGGTTTTGTTCTGGAAAAGAAAATCTCCACCGAACTCAGGGGATTTGGTCGGTTATCCCCTTCAGGCCTGTTTGTAAGTTTGCATGGAACATTCCGATCCTTCTGTGCTGTCCACTTTCTCCTGATCTGCCCTGTCAATGACATGTTTTTTTTTTTGCTGCCCAATTTCTGTTTGCGTTTATCGGCACTGGAGTATATCCAACCCCTATTCAACTACGGAGTACGGGAGGTACTCTAAGGATGATCGTTATCTCATATTTCAGTACACGCCAATGACCGGCCGACATTCCAGTCTTTGAATCTCACTATAACAATCCAATTCAATAGCCCTTTGACTTGGGTCTGACGGAGTATATTCGTATGGTTTCTCCCTTTCATCCCTGTGGAGGCTGTGGAGTCCGGGCGGGGATTTTCTTTCCGTCTTTTTCTTCCCATCTTTTCTTTTCTTTTCTTTTTTTTTTTGTGCCCAGAGACAACTCCAATGTAAGAAAATGAGATTATTTCCGCCCCAAATGCAGGGCTTGCTATCACATCCAGTGCGGTGCATTCCAGAAGTCCGGGTGTCTCGATCTCTATACACGTTGTGGACACACCGCCTCTCATGCCTGAAGGGCTTTCGTAAGTCGTACACGCGGTGAAAGCCTTGGGGTTGGAGAAGCAGGAAATTAAGCTCTCTGGGTCACTTGACCCGATCATGTGGCCTGTTCCATGCGTTATCGCACGTTTCTTAATGGCTGGGGTTACTACTACCGGTTTACGACGTGGGATGTATAGAAGAGCCGGTACATAACAGCCGTACATAACAGCCAGTAGTATTTTCAGGACAACTGCAGCCCGGATGTCGCGGACCGTCAAAGAATAGTGGTCCACAGTTCAGGAACATACATGGCAACATTTGGAGTAAAAGCAGTAGACGACTCCCTCCGCATCTAGACCACACAGCCCAAAGAAAAAAAAAGATGTCCCCGGTGTGACAATGAGGAAGACTGAGGTGCCCAAGTGCCCTACAGAGTTAGGTCAAGAGTGGGAACCTTACTAATGACAGCCACGGTAGTATCCGAGAGAGGGAGACAAAGACCTCAGAGACATCAAAGAGAGAGGCTATGTAGTACCTGCAGGGTACAATCTCAGCCCATCCAAGTCATGGGAACCTCGCGCATAAGCAAGAAATGGACGAGCGATAATCGGAGTATACCAACCCCAACATGACCTCATTCGCTTGTCCAGAATCCAAGCCACGGTGCCCCCCTCAGTCCTTAGCGCCGTCTTTCTCACTTGCAGAACGCATCCCGACCGTTTCGGGTCGGCTCGGTTCATGTGACTTGGGCCCAAAAGAGTAATTTCCTAGTTTAGGTTGTTGCTAAGAAATCACCGACGGGCCGCCTTGTCTGATGGTACATAATTGGGACTGCGGCCGGTGAGTTGGCCCATTGAGTTTATCTGACGGATATGATGGGATCGATTCGAGGAATGCGGGGTGTTTATCCCGTCACGAGACATCTAATTGAGGCTGCTGACGACCTCGGAATACAACCGGATTACGAACCTTGGAACTATGGAGACTATGCGGAGCGAAAGGGACATGGCTTTTCATCCAGCGCCGGTTCGGGCGATGGGCAGCATTGCATGATATTCGTATGAAAATACCTAAGAGAGGGGAAAAAGAAAGGAAAAATAGAGTCCCGAGAAAGCGCCGTTCACCATACCGTCACTCAAACCTCCAGCATAGATCGAAGGATGAACCACGCTCCGATGATACCGAGCAACGACGCGAGCAGCAGCCCATTTCCTTCCCTGGTTAGTCCCAGATACGCAACTGCACCCACCACAATCTCCTTTCGTCGCGCCGCGTCTCGCTTGGATTTCCAACTCGGATCAATAGAGAATGGAGCCACAGCTCGGATGTTCTCGGTGTCCGAGGATTCGTTAGAGGGCAGTAGCGGCACCGATACAACGAGCGCCACGGGACGATGATCTGACTGTGCGAAGAGAGGCAGTGCGTTGTAAGCGAGCGGTTTGACCTTTCCGGCCTCACCAACCCACGAGGGCTTATCAAGGTAAAGGACTCGATCGCACCAGCTGGGCCAGCGGTGAGTCGACCAGTTCCATTCAAGCTCATCGGTGTCCAAGCCCCGGCGGACAGCTTCACGCGCGGCGTCCGAGTATTTGTACGTGGGAGGGAAGTGGATAGGTGCCTCGGACAGGCTGTGGAAGGTCCTGCCGTAGCTCATCTCGCGCACGAGCTGGTCGTTCTTCAGAAGGTGCGAGTAGTGCGACGGGTTATCGAGGTCGACATTGCGCCGAGGGAATTGTTCGATCTCTCGAATCGAGGGTCCGACATTCGACGTGCGGTAGTTGAGATCTCCGGCAAGGAATAGGTAGGCGTTGGGCGCGAAGAGATCCCTGCGACTGCCCTCCGCGTGGGCCGCTGCAGCGTCGTCGAGAAGGCCGGTATTTTCATTCGCAGTTGAACCCTCTGCCGGTCTCTTGGTGTCGTGCGTGAACACAAGGCGCTCAACTATGCTTTTCCAGTCCAAGTTCCTTTGCTCATATAAGTCCTCCATGGGGGCGAGATGGGCTGCCACGAAAGTGAGGTCCACGGTCTTGGATGGGAGTCCTTCGACAACATATCCCAGGCGTGCCCCCACAGCGCCCTTGTTTCCCATTTCCTGAACCCCGAAGCCGACGTGGGCGGTGTCACTCCAGGCGATCTTGGCCAGGGTGTCCTCGCGCGCGAAAAGCATCAGGCCTGTCATTCCCGTATTTTCCGTAAGGAAGTTCACATAGTGGTGGCTCCATTTTTGTGCCGAGGCTTTCTGGACGGCACGGCGGAATCCATCGAAGTAGGGTGAAAGGTAGGATCCCCCGAGAAACGAGTAGGCAATGGGTGCGATCTCTTGTAGCGAGAGGAAAATCAGGTCGGGTGCGGAGCTCCCCGCACCAGACGCGGGGAGTGCGTCGAAAAAGTGGTCCGCGAACACGTCGACATCGACAATGTTTCTTGCACAGTTAAATGTCAGCACATAGAGATTGAGATCATCCATACTGAAAATCACCCTGGGTCAAGCCAGAGACAAGAGGAAGAGGAAGAGGATGGGAAGACCTAGGCGGTGACGTCACCTGGGGAAGTGACCGCTCATATTGACCGCCTGTCTTGATTTGCAAAAAGTAAATACCAAACTCATCTTATCATCGTCCAAAAAGCGATGATACTTCTTATTGAGATCATTAATGATTCCAGAGCCAAAAAGCAAAAAGAAATTCTTGTGCATCATCCGTGAATCGAACACGGGCCTCGTCGATGGCAACGACGAATTCTACCACTAGACCAATGATGCTGAGGAACCAAGTGGATCTGCAAGCTGATTCGTTGGTGATATCCAGGACTCGCAAATATGATCTGTATAGGGACTCAATAGATGCTATCCTATCTTGTTACAATCACAACTTGCCCCGGACTTCCACTTTGCCATTGTTTGGCTCCAACTCGACCAAAAGCATGCCCTCAGCAACATCCTCCTCTTCATCTTCCATCTCATGAACCCATTTGACCCGACCACTTCGAGGGCTTCGTACTTCGAGCTCCATCTTCATCTGCTTGACGAAAGCTAGGACCTGATTTTCAACCACATCCTCTCCATCCGACACTAGTATCTCAATCAATTTGCCTGACAGAGGGAGTATAATATGGTGGGGATTCTTTGGATCACCTCGCCGATGAGACGAGGACACCAATGCTGACGCAGCAGTCGTGGTTGTTTCGAGCTGCATCCGATAGGGGACTGCGCCCTGCGAAGTTGGAGTCGTATATTCAATTTCGGCAGCTAGTGCTGTCGGGAACTCATTGCGTAGTACACGGGACAGGCGCAGATGGTGCGCAACTTTGTCTGATTGGGAATCCTTCGACAGAGGTTGCAACGTGATTGACCATGCATCTCCTTTTCGGAACAAGAGATTAGATGTTGGCAGTCCATTTTGGCTGACTTGCTGTGAAGGGCCGGCTGGTCCATCTAGTCCCTGAATAGTCTTCGATATTATCTCCCCTTGCTGGAGTACTGCGTCGAGATTGAGCCCAAGCCATTGCGTGTCAACCTTGCCGGCAATGAAATCGGAATGGGCCACGATCCCTCGTAGAAGGCTGATATTAGTCTTCACGCCATCAATCCTGGAATCAGCCAAGACCCGCTGGGCTTTTCTGACGGATGCTTCCCAGGTGGGAGCAGTCACGATTATCTTGGCTAAAAGATTGTCAAAGTTGGATCCCACAACTAGTGCTGGCCCAGAAACATTGACATGAGTATCTACCCGGATTCCATTGCCACTAGGCACGGTAAACCCAGTCACTTTGCCAATGCTCAGAGAAAACCCGTTGCTCGGGTCTTCAGCACATAGTCTAAGTTGGATTGAAAAAACATTTGGCGGAGAATGACTTGGGTTAATTTCAGCGCCGAGGCCCAGATCACGTAAAGTGTATCCCTGGGCGAGAAGAAGCTGCGTCTGCACCAGATCTATCCCACTGATAGATTCCGTAATGGTGTGCTCGACTTGCAGACGCGGGTTCACCTCCAAAAAGTAGAATTCCCCGCTCTGTTCACTGACCAGGAACTCAAACGTCCCTAATGATTGATAGCGGATTTCACTTGCCATCCTGAGCGTAGACTCAATCACTCGACCGACCAAAGCTCGATCCCGCATCAAAGCCGGGGCGCATTCAACCACCTTCTGGAACCGCCGCTGAGCACTGCAATCTCTTTCCCACAGATGTCGCACCTGACCTGTCCCGTCACCAATAATCTGAATCTCAATATGATGAAATCCGTCCACGGCAGCTTTCTCCACAAAGACAGTCCGAGACGGCGACTCGCCAATCGCCCTCTGGATACTATTATCCAGCTCGTGCTCCTCGCGAACAAGGCGAATCCCGCGACCACCTCCGCCATCAACAGCCTTGATCATAACCGGAAAACCAACCTGCGTGGCAAACGCACGTGCTTCGTCCACGTTGGTGGTAGGCTGACTCATTGCTTCCAATACAGGGACGCCGCATTGCCGCGCTAGCTGCTTTGCCTGCAGCTTATCACCCGTCCGGGCGAGGTTTTCCCATCCAGGTCCTATGACGAGAGCCCCGGCTTCGTGCCACATGCGATGCGCGAATTCGGCGCTCTCGCTGAGGAATCCATACCCGGGATGCACGGCGTCAATAGAGTGTTTTTGGACCAGGTCGACCAAAAAGGAAATGTCGAGATATGATGATGCTGATGGGATTTCAATTGCATGCTGTGGTCGTCCTAGATCGCAATGCGATCGGTCGTCTGATGTGTAGAGAGCGAATGTCTCGACTGGTGAGGGTAACTCTCGTGCTGCATGGAGAATACGAACAGCAATCTCTCCTCTAGTGAATATTATATGAGCGTATTATAATATTATCTTTTTGCAGAAGTTCATACCTGTTGGCGACCAACAATCGCTTGATGGGCCGTGAGTGCGGGGATGACATTGGGGTGAAAGGGGAAATCCGGGGTAATTGTATGCAAAAGTCCCTCCCAAGTAAATTAAATAACGAAATAAGGTATGATATGTTTCAAATAGGTCAAATAGATCAATTGAAATATCTTAACATATCTCATTACCAGATACCTCCTTCGACAAGATATTATAGCTCTCGTGGGTGACCTCGGCCCTCGGAAGGTCCGCGCAGCCCCTCAGTAGACCAAATCCTTAAACAAGAGATGTATCCGATTCTACACAGACAAGAAAAATAAAATCAACAAGCTATATCAATCGACACACCATGACAAAAGACAACGACAGCCCATCAACTAGAACAGGCAAAGACCAAGCCACGGACCGCCTACACCAGGTCTCATCCCATATATCCCCACCAGAAAACCAACCAAGAAAGCCCAAGCCAAAACCAAAGTCCACAGAAACCCATCTCCCAGCAGACCACTCAGATGTCCTAGGCCAACTCGCCGCCCTCCGCGCAATAGCCGCAAAGCCAGACCCCACCAACCGAGGCTACGTGCGCCAAAAGCAAGCAGGCAAGCTATGGGTGCGCGAGCGCATCGAGCAACTCCTAGACCCAAACACCTTCCAAGAAATTGGGTCCGTTTCCGGCACAGTGACATGGCAAAAGACCGCGCCGAGACGCGAGAAGCCCGTCTCCTTCGTGCCTAGCAATAACATCCAAGGCGCTGGACTGCTTCGCGGCAGGAAGGTCCTTCTCACGGCTGATGATTTCAGTATCCGGTCTGGACATGCGGACGGCGCGAGTACGGGAAAGACGGTTTATGTAGAGAAGCTTGCTATTGCGCTGCGCATGCCGGTTGTTAAGCTTGTTGACGGGAGTTCTGGTGGTGGAAGCGTTACGATTATTCGGAAGGAAGGGTGGAGTTATCTTCCTCATGTTGCGTCTTTTCCGTATGTTATTAAGCAGTTGAATATGGGGATTCCGAATTTGGGGGCTGTTGTTGGACCTGCGGTGAGTTTCGTGATATTCTCTTTTGCTTTACCTAACGAACCATTTGACATTTGTTGATATGAGCTGAACTAACCGGTGGTGTAGATTGGGCTTGGCGCTGCAAGAGTGGTATCATGCCACTTCTCGGTGATGGCAGCTGACATCGGAGCATTGTTTAATGCAGGCCCGAAAGTTGTCGAAGGTGCCACATTCGAAGAAGGTCTCGACTTCCAAGACCTGGGCGGGCCTATGGTTCATTGTATGAATGGCACGATCGATAACCTTGCCGCCAATGAGGCGGAGTGCTACGAGCAGCTGCGGGTAGTTCTGAGCTATCTCCCCAACAGCGGGAGCGATGCACCACTAACTATTCCCTGCACTGACTCGGAGGAGCGCGAGGATGTTGCACTGCGGAGTATCATTCCGCGAAGACAAGCACGCATGTATAATGCTCGCTCGATCATCACTTCTGTAGTTGATAAAGACTCCTGGTTCGAGATTGGCGCATTATGGGGGCGTACTGCGATTGGTGGACTTGCACGCCTAGGTGGTCGTCCTGTTGGGATCATCTCCGTCAATTGTGAAGTGAATGGAGGCGCACTGGATGCCGCTGGTAGCCAGAAGTTAACGCGGCTGCTGAAGTTGTGTGATGTGATGAATCTGCCTATTCTACAGTTTTTGGACGTCCGTAAGTGATTTGTTTCACCCTACATCCTTTAAAACGAGCTGACGCGTTTTCTTGAAGCGGGCTATGCTATTGGAACGGTTGCCGAGCGCACAGCCACGATGCGTTGGGGTGTCGAGCTCGCCAAGGCTTACTTTAGTACCACCGTGCCGGTATTCAACGTGGTAACGCGGCGTGTGTTTGGTGTAGCGGGCGGTATTATGTTGGGTTGTCGTGATCCGGTTATGCAGGTTGCTTGGCCGTCTGGACAATGGGGTTCGCTGCCCCTGGACGGCGGAATTGAGGTTGGGCATCGGCATGAGCTGCGTGAAGCCGAGAAGGTTGGAAAGAAGGAAGAACGGTATCAAGAGTTGGAAGAGGAGTATTTGCGGCTGATGAACCCGGTGCGAACAGCGAACGCGTTTGGAATAGAGGAAATCATCGACCCGAAGGATACGCGGAAGGTTTGCTGTGCGTGGGCATCGCATGTCTATGAAGTGCTTATGAAAGAGAGATTAGCCGACCGAGCCTGTGGGAAACTCCAGCCTTCTTTTGCATAGAAATCCGAACTTGTTATGCGCTGAACAGTCACGTTCTTATTGAAACGTCCCCAAAGACCCGAATTAACGGCCTTTTGCCAGGATATCTGGACCTTTGAGAGTTTGATATTAGTTTGTCTGCAAAACAACTTTGATTGCTATTTTGAGTGGTGCGGAGACCACAAAGAAGGGAGAGAAAGAGTGTGGGCGCACACATTCACCACTCCTTTGATCCCATACAACCCTACAACCCTATAAATACCTTGCATATAGTACAACTTTTACAATCATTGATTGCTTAGGACCTATCCTATCTTCAGCTATATATCTCTAAAGCTAAGAGTATCATGCACAGTCAGCGGTCTCTAATATAAGTTCCCTCTTTTTCTATTTGATATATTCGTCGACCACAGTTCTGTCATGATTGAACTTCCCTTCCAGTTTGTATAGGGCTCATATATTCAAGCCTATTCTTTATGCTAATAAAGGAAAAGAATGAGAGATCCTGCTTTGAATGAGACTCATATCTCGAAGCAAAGGCTTTATTCCTTTGGCTGAGGGTCTCTATAGATCTATTGTCATGTCTTGGCCCATTGTCTCTTTGTACCCCGATAAGGAAATATGATATCTGCTATGCCAGACACGATCTATTGCTCGAGTATAAAAGGAAGTTCCCCCACGACTCGAAGTATGCATCTTCACTACCATCATCTTCAATCACCATCATCTCCAACTTACATCATCCTCATCTCCAACTGTCATCATCATAATGCAGGCCGACGTCAAAGCTGCCGCCATTGAGAACTTCCAGGAAAACCGCGATGGCTTCATCGTGGAGCTCGACAAACTTTCCGAGGGACAGACAGGAGGCAGATGGGTCCCTCAAATCCAAACCTACCTCCGCAAAATCATCTATACATTGTCCATGTGGACATTGATTCGGGAGGGTTCCGAGAAGGAGGGCAATTGCTTCGAAGAGAGGTGCAATAACCTCATGGTCTTGATTGAAGAGATATCTGATAGCGTACGGGTGATCCTTTCTACTAACGCCGATCTAATGACCACCATCGAGGATCCGGTGCTCATGAAGCTGTTCGACATGCTGTCTATGCAAGTTGGAAGTCTCACTCTGCACGGATTGAGCGATGAGGACACCGAAGCAGTGGAGAGTGCCAAGATGGTTGAGCGTGAGCAGCGTCGATGGGAGCTCAAGCTTTTCGAAGAAGATGACGAAAGACGCAACTATCTTCGAATGATTTGGGCCCGATTGTACTACAAGGTGCATGATTGCCCATGCCGACAGTGCTGCGATTTCTACCTGCCTACCGAGGAACCTACCCCTTCTCCTCCCCTTCCAGATTTGCCTGCGGAGGAATACTATTCGTCCACGACTTCGTCCAGCAGTGAGGAGGAATAAGCCTGGAAGCTTATTTCTGTGGGTTTTCTGTTGACTTTTTACAGTGTCCATACCTGCTTGCCTCTCTGCTTTGTAGCAACTTTGTTTCTCTGTTTTCTGCGGTGCCCAAATTTCTGGTCGAGTTAATGAAACCATGACCTGTTCTTTGAATTATGTCCAAATTGTAGAAACGTAGTTTTAATCAAATAGCCTTGTTAACTCCCTCCCTTGGTCCCACACAGTAGCCTCTCAAAATGTTTCCTAAATTAATACGCAAGTAATTTGGATAAATGCACTCAAACATGTAAGACAGAGAGACGAAGCTTGTTTCCCCTAACGTAATCAGACCTAATGAGAGTCGTAAACCGAATGAACATTGAAGAGCCCTAGGTAGGGGTTTGCTACTTAGTAGCCGTTGGGAGATTGTGAATACAGTCAACGGGTATGTTAGACCCTGAAAGAGTCATGCTGAATTTATTTTCCTTATGTACGTACTCTGTGGTCTCAAATATATTAGTAGGGCAACCGAGTTTTTATACATCATATATATCTCGCATCTCCCAAACGGATAGCGGCATATGCTGTGCAATCATTTCCAAAGTGCATTAAAAGCTCTTGAGTCTTCGAAACGTCAAACAGGACTCTTCACCGACTTCTCCTCTTCCGACGAAACGTCAACAGGCGCCGGCGCCAACGGAGCAACAGGCGCAGCCGGCTTCGGCGGCGTAGGTGCGATCCAGAAAGCCGGATACCGGCGATGCAAATTATTCAACAGCAACGCGCACACCAAGAGCATAGTCGAGGATAACAGGACTACAGGCAAGTAGTACCAAGAAAGCCGCCAAATCTCCTCATTGGTAGCCGGGAGCAAAGCAGTCGCGCCAGCAGGCGGGTGGGTAGTACCCGTCAACTGCATGACGACAATAGCAATGGCTGTTGAAAGCGACGCGGCTAGCCAGCGCAGGGACTCGAATCGCGCTTTGTCGGGCATCAAGCTAAACAACTTGGTAACGCAGAGGCCGGTCAGGGCGCTGAAGAAGTGGCCGAAGACTAGAGCTCGCGGTTGCGCTAGGGGGCTTTCAATTGCGCCGAAGACGAGGACGGCGGATGCACCCTAGTTTTTATGTGAGTCAATGTACGGAGTAGATATTTGGGAATGCGATTTGGCTATTGACACGTACGTAGGATGCGATTATACCCGGTACATTGCGCTCTTTGAAGTAGTCCGAGTAGTTGAAAATTGCTTGTAAGACCGATAGACCGCAGAATGAGATTATGAACGACCATAGAGCGACTTCGTATTTAGAGAGTGGCTTCACGGGCTCTGGGCGATAGCCAAGCCAGTGGCTGATCCACCGGGGAAGACGGGCGAGACGCGGAGGGGCCATGGACGAGACCGCAGATGGATTGGAATATTATAATTATTGGTAATCGTCCATACAGGAGATCAAAAGGGAGAAAACAAAATATTGAATGACGTTCATCCAAAGCAAAGGCCCTAGAATGGGTTGGGAATTAGGGGGAAGAAGAAAAAATTGGAGAAAACCGGCCGTGCGGAGGAACGTGAGGGGATCCAATTTTTATGACACATCGCTATATGCACAATTATATATGTCAACGATCCTGATAGAACACTCTAATTACAATACAAATTTGCTCTCTTATACATTCGGCTCGTGGAGCAGGTCGCGGCTGACGATGTGCGACTCACCCAATGTGCCCTTCATCACGAGCACTAGGTCATCCACGGCAGCTAGGAACTTGAGGTATGCGCTGATGGCAACGCAGAACCGGCGGTAGTTCTCGTCGCGGATCAACTCCTCGCTCAGGATAATATCTGTCTGGTGCGACTTCCAGTAATCGTGGCAACGGTTGAGCAGTGGCGTTGGCAGCATCTCGGGTAGGGGGTCACCCGTCTTGAGTGATTGTTCAACCACACCGAGAACAGCCATGATGTCGCCGATATTGTGATGATCAAGGAGACCGACTTGCCGAGCGAGGCGATTCTGTAGGTGCTCCGGCAGCGAAGCAGATAGGTAAAGTAGGCGAGCAATGTTCTGGTTGAGTTCTTGACACAGTGCTTTGACCTGACCGAGACGATCGCTGTCAAATGGTGAGCTCGAAAATTCAAAGCGCAGCAAGGCGATGGGCCCGTCCAGTGCGGTGATAGTCTCTGCAAGATTTAGAGCCAGCTTCTCTGCGGCTAGGCCCTCTTCGCGCCCTTGTCCCCAGCAGGATAAGAGAAGCGCGTAATGGTCCGACAGTGAGCGGATGACATTTGAAAGAGACTTGCAGATGTGTCTGGACGCAGATGGCGGACGAGGGAAGAGCTGCACGATCAGTGCCGCTGCGGAACCGATAAGAACAAGCACAAGTCGTCGCCAGAAAACACTATATCCCCATCCGGGATTGCCGTAAGTTGGGATGTGCCTGTGAAGTTGTCAGTCATGTTGCTTCCCCAATGTGGTACCATATACTTACGTATCCTCGAAACTGTAACCGACAACCAGAATGTAGGTCGCACCAGCCATGATTGTAGCTTGAAGGAAAGCAGGGGACGTGAATATACGTGCCCACATGAGAATGGTGAGCGCAACAGCCATGATGGCAGCAAGACCGTACGGGTTACCTTGGCCGTGACCTGAGCCGATATACCACACAACTAAGCCAATGATACCACCAACAACAGTACCAATGGCTCGACAAATAAGGGAGAAGGTGAAGTCGGCCATGTATATAACTAGTGTGGTCTGCCCCATGATGAGAGCCCATATACCTTTTTCACGGTAATAGAAACCCGCAGTGTGGGGAATCGCAGCAGGGATAGCGAGCGCGATGGTAACAGCCACCATGCGCATTGCATAAAGACCTTCAGGGTTGATAAACCAATGATATGTGCCGATGATAGCGCGCCCAAAGCTGCTACCTCGGTGGACACGATACCCTCTGCTCATGCGAAGATGAAGCTGTGCCGCTTTGGACTGCGTCTCTGCGACGTCGGGGTCGACGATTGGGTCATCAGCCGCGGGTATAGGCGCCACGGCATTTTTACGACATACCCAGTTGAGTGCGTATCGCAAGCCCTTGGGTAGCCACAAACGGATCTTCTGACGCTCCTTTAGAAGGACGACAAGTTGTCGCAGGACCCGCTCCCACCCGTCGGCGACACCGAGCACCTGCTCTTCGAAGACCATCCCCATCATGATACCCCTGACTCTGGGCATTGAAGTTTTGTCAAGGGCCTTGAGCATGCCTTTTTCATCGAATATCTCCCCGTGTGTTTGAATCAGACGTTCGGTGGTTTCCGATGCGAACGATGTGCGCAGGGCCTGAAGATTCTGAAGTACAGTCTGACTGCGCTCGTGCAACTGATTGAGACGTTCTTTGGAAGGGCGACCGAACCAACGCTTGTTGGCCGTGTTAATGGATTCTGCAATGATCTCAACAGCTTCCTGACACGCCGGGAGGATATCCTTGCTGGACTTGCGCAATACCTCGACTGTTTCCGATCGCATAGATTCATGTTCCGGGCTTCGCATTGCTTGTACCAAATTAACACCCTCCATCATTTGGCGCATGCCAACCTCGCGTGGGCGTTTTTTCTCATTTCCATTCGCTTGGGAATCAGAGTCGGAGTCTCGATCCACGGTGAGCTGGTGCAGCTTTTTGAACTTTGCTTCTCCGCCGATGCGGGCGATGTGAACTTCCAGAAGAGACAGACTACTCACCAAAGCCTGTCGTATTGGTTTCTTCATGCTTTTGATGTCGTCAGCACCCCACCAACCGACAGAGAAGTCCAACGGCAGAAAGGCCATGGCCGGCTTGAGATTCCTGTAAGCAGCAATGGTTTGCCCTTTGATTCTTTGAAGATCTACCATATCCAAGACTTGGCCTTTCAGAAGAGTGTTCTCCGTGACGTCCACAGGCCCTTTGAGTAACCGCACCAGCCCCTCCATGCCATCAAGCACGACGTGGGAGGTAGACCGAGGGAAGAAGATAAAATGGGAGACCAGGCCCAACCCAATTCCAATAGCGGCAGGCTCGATCAAGACCTTAGGGACAGTACCGCTGAAATATGGAAGCATCGGGCCAATAGTCAGAGTAACATCGATGATGATGATTCCGAGAATCTGTAAAAGAATGAGTTTGGGGTTCTTAGCCCGAAGACGGGACTGCGAAAAAGGGTCAGTATCTCGATCATTATGCCCGGGTCAGGAAGTTACTCACGATTAAGTAGATGAATAAACATATTAGGCAATAATAGACAACTGTGACACGAGCGTCAAGCATCCAGCCGTTGTAGATAAGCTCCTTCTGGACATCTGCCACGGCCTGTCCGGTGGAATTGGCCTGGCTGTATGCGGCCTGTCCTAAGGCTTGAAGGTTGGCTTGGGTCTCGGCCGCTGGTCTCGCTGCCATCGCAGCCTTCATGGTGATGACACCCCAGGCCCAGCCCAAAGCCATACCAATGATCACGGTCAGAGTTCCTAAGAGGAAAATGAAAACAATGCCGGTCGGAGGTACCATGAAGAGTACTAGACTGATCGCGATAGGATTAGCAATTGACACCGAGAGTAAAATATAGATGCGCTCACGTTGCAAAGAAAGTCGCAGTACCAATGACGCTTAGGGACGGAGTGATCACGATCAAAAGCGACGCGACCCATGCAGCCAGCGTGCAACGGAACAACACCTTCATATCGCGGGCATTGAAGTGATCCAGCCATCCTGGCAGCTTCCTGCCGGCCTTTGGACCCTGCGCGGGCTTCACGGGCGCAGAAGACCCCCGTTGGAGGTGAGCGGGGACTCCTCCTGGGCATCTCGCTGGGAGAGTTCGATATCAGTCATTCCATGAACATACAAGCAGATGAGATTATTGGGAGAATGAAGGTAAAAATGTCAATAGTAATTGGGCATTCCTTGCGATGAAAGGGGAGAGAATGAGGGGACAGCTGAATAGAATTTTACCCCGTCCCAGGACGGAAGACAACGAATGATCGGCGTTATTGATCGGACTGTTTAATAATAAACTGTTTCCAAGGTTAAAATTGAGATTCTCTCCCATGTGATGACCGACGTGGATCGGCATTGAATCCTGCATTAGCTCTTATGCTGGGAATTATGATGAAAACTTGGCGCTTGGCAGTGTGTGGGCGCGGACGTCCTCGATCCGGACGAAATGGAAGTCTTGGCATGGGCAGCTTGTTTCAGTCCATAGGCTGATTAACATTAAGAGTGTGACTATGGAGTGTTTAATATTAGGTTCGTCCGACGCTATCGAACGCCTCTGCCAAATTAGGCATGCGTGATGCAGGAGAGGAAAGGAGGTCGGACTTGCAGCCCTATTATTGAGTGGGAGACTAATAAGAGTACCCAGGCTGCACCAATAATATTAGCCTTGATCATCACTATGATCCGCTTGGGTGAGAATATGTGACGACTTCTCCTGAGAGGACGACGCAGTCTTGTTCAACGCGGACAGCCAAGTCCGATTATATTTATTGCACCTAGTTTCGGCGGAACTATAGTGAGAAGTGTAAGTTTCACCATTCTGCATAAGAGAGTTATCACTCACCATCATCAGGCCCTGCTTTATGCCGACTCAGCACAAGAAACCCCTACTGCGGACCTTCGCAGCATCATACTCTCAAGTTGCAGAGCGAGCTCATAGGGACACCAGAGCTAGATTCAAGGCTCATTGAACTGCAAAGCTACTTAGAAGTTAGAGAATGCTAAAGGATCTAAGCAAGAGTCCAGCGATACTTGTAAAAAAGTACATTGGTTGGTAACTATATTACAGCGCTACCCATCAAGCAGCCATCAGATTGGACTTTATATGTTCATGAAAGACCAAACTCTCTGTCAACAAATCGTAATTGACCAGGTAAGAAAATTATCCTTAGCCAGCCGTGGACTATCTGCTTACACCTTGCTTGTTGTCTTTGCTTTGCTGGTGCTAATTCTTGTTTTCCTGTTGGGTCAGTTGAGTTACGTTGACGATCTCATTTCCTATAAGTCATAGACTAGTTACTCAGACAGTTTCTGCTGGGATGATGTCTTATGGAAGTTTCTCGCCGTGGCTAAACTATAACCCTAGGAAATGATTCGAGTGTGGGGCATATATCATGCAGCTATTTTATCCCATTAGCTGCGGTCCATGAATTTTCTCGGTGGCCGCTCAGTCCATGGACAGCGAGCTGACTATGTCAATAGGCTCGACTGTAGGGGCCACACGGCGTTTACATATGCAATATCTACTGGTTCCGTGGATATGTTTGATGCACTAGTCCTTGTCGGGGCAAACATCAACCGCAGGGACTTGTTCGTCCTTACGCCAGTCAATGAAGCGGGCTACTCTGGATATAGAGAGATAATCGACTGCTTGATTAAACATGGCGCGGTCTTTACTGCCCGGGATGGCGTTGGTCATTCTATCCTGGAACATATCATGAACGACAAAGGTGAGATTAAGCAACAGCTCCTGGAGCATATCAGTCCATTTGCTAGTCAAGAGCAGCTAGACAGAGCACTAAGATACGATTTTGAGAATACGAACCGGCATACGGCTATGCTCGTAAAGCTTGGCGCAAATCCCGAAAATGTGGGTTTATCGGCTGACATTCATTCCAATTCATCGTCATCAAAGGCTCTTGAACATGATATGCTTGAATAATGTCTGGCGTACAGTACCAGAAGAGTATGACTGAATGTTCAAATGGAGTGATCGGTTTCAGTCTGTAGTAGTGGCACGATTCGGGTCGGCGGAACTCGTCGGCAAAGTTCCGCCACAATCAGGGTATTGACCTCATTGGATATGTGATTCGTTGGGATCTCCACCAAGACAAATACCGAATAGTGTAACATAGGACGATAACTTGTCTCGTGTATCTGACGGTAGGGAACTTACTTCCACCTGTTCCGCCGCACAAGGCAATTTACGTCAAAAGGTTCCGCAAGGAACCCTATAAGCTACGTCTCCACCGATGAGCACCCTGCTGCAATACCCTAAGGCAGCATAATAAATAAGTCGTGATGGGCGACTGGGGTTTTATTTTTACCATCCCCAAGATTATTTCGGAGGAGCCCGTTGGACGATCCCATATCCCGATACCTCAGCGATCGATGCATTGCCATGATCTATGATCCAACAATGCCTGAATCCCTCGTTTCGATTGGACCGTGGCTAGTCCAGTTATTCAGGGATGTCTTTTTCCAACCAGACGATGCGGTTTCTAGTCAAGCGTTCGATCACGGTGTTAGTCGTGATCTTGCAGTCAGGTACGACGTCGTAGTTTGTAACCTACTTTCTACATCTCACTAACTCCACAGACTAAATGGACAAAACTTGACATTCGATGAATTCCGACATGCAGTTGAAGATACTCGCGCCAAGAACTACATATACGAGCAAAGCAACGATGAATTACTGAGGGTGGAGGCTGATCCTCGGGCCGGAGGTGGCTCGGTTGCCCAGCTCTCTCGATTCACCTTGAAAGACAAGTCCACTGGTCATGAGACATATTCATCGACTGTGATTTTAGCCACCATAGAATTTGTGGAGGGGAGACGGGTTTTGACACAGTTGACGGAAGTGTCAAAATAAGGATGAGATGGACTGCTTTATTCAACCATTGAACAACGAGAATCAAATTGTCATCGTCACGTACAGCTTCAGTCTGTAATACTTTAGAAATCACGAGATCTATAGAATTCCAAGTCTCACATATCTCCGCAGCCATCACTGTACTCATATCAATGCCATATGACAGATTGTCCAGTTCGGGGGATGATGAAGGATCTGAATTTGATGGTTGTTATGGAATCCGTGGCGGGAATATTTAATGGTGAGCGTCACCTTCGGCTAGACTAGCGATGCCTCGGCTCCTGAGGTTTGAGGGATGTGAGATCACTGATGCTGGAAGGTAATTTAAGGCGGACTTCAGGACGGATGCATATGTAGAAGTTGTAAGATCTCTGTGGGAATGAGAAATCGGTTGTTGTTGACATGACAGCTGATGAGAAAGAGAGAAAATGAGTAGTGCCGTCATGACCACGCGCTAGAAAATGCTGTTGGACAACAGCAGCGGTTCACTCCACCTCACGGACACGAAATAGAGTATAGTTCCTCAACAGACCTGCGATGCTGCGCTCCTTGGATACCCCACATCATCAGGGAGGCGCAGTTTAACACGCCAGGTTATACAGCCATACGAAGACCCGCTGGAGAAGAGGCATACAACCAAATGGAGATTGTCCGAGATTGTCTACGAGGGCAAAAAGTGTGCGTATTCCCTAGCCCCGGGTAGATCAAGGTATAGGTCATCCTCGGTTGGCTGAGGTTCAAAATTGCGGCCGGCGTCGGCCACCGCCAGATATACACGATGTTTCTCAACAAACTAACAGGAAGATCTCCACTCATCGGCATGATCGAGGGATCCTTAGTCCCCGCCTTTGGATTATTGTATGGTAGGCTGTACGAGTGTGTTGTTATTCAGTGGAAAGATGATTCATATTTTATTGCTGAGCGAAAACAGAATGATATATATACAACGAGAAGACCAAGTCTATTTTCAATCAAATTGGCGCTTCGTATAGATGTCTCGGAAATAATTTCCAATGGTGCGGTTTTCTCCAGGTCTGCAGCAGCATCATCACAACAGAGGAAAACAGATCTATCAGGTAGATACTCTTATCCGGCTGTAAACGGATCAAGTCAGTCACTGTCATTAGCTCTAGCGGATCAGTCAGAACATCGATCACGTATGAGCTGTGGCGCTGAGCACGATTAGTATTGCGCAACCTCTTTCGTACAACGTAGTCTGGTGTAGTTCAAAGGTATGAATTATTCTTCTTATTTCTGAGAGCATACACGAGGCTATATATATACAGAGAGAAGACCAAGTTGACTTGCAATCAACTTGGTTCTTCATATAGGCAACCCGGGATTATTTCCGATGTTGCGGCTTTGTTCCTGACCTGTGCCAGCCTCATATCACAACATAGTCAAATGGCGGCGACCCGCCTTGTTGAATGTAGCATAATCTGATTTGATAGTTTAACCTCGGTTCTAGGAGTTAAGCTCAGAGCTATTGCTTTTGTGATACATACTGAACAGTTGTATTTATATTTCCCTTTTTCTCTTCGGCGAGGATAACCAACCCTCTGAGTTTCAAAGTTATTTTCCCATGTCAATGTGATGATCACATGACTTTCCGCTTCAAGTTAAAAATGTTCCTTCTCGGATAGTTCGTCCGATTCCGAAATCTCTCCACAGATGCCATTTACTGTCAACCCTCGTCTTAACGCACATCCTCACTTTCTCCCGCCATTGCCTTCGCTGCGTATCGTCGACTAGTTCCCTCCTGATTCTGTGCTTCTGTGATAATAATCTATCCAACATGCCGGCCCCTTACCCAAAAGCATGTATAAGCTGCGCAAGATCGAAGCGACGATGTGACATGGCTTCCCCTCGCTGCTACCGTTGCAAAGTTCGCTCTCTCGAGTGCCAATATCAAAATGCCTCGCCTTTTTCTCGACCGACAAATACATTGCCCAGACCAGAGCAAGAAACGCTCACCAACCCCGCTGCTTTCGATGAGCGGTCCGTCAGTGATTTTCTCCGCTGTAATATGGCGGATGACGTTGGACTCATTTTTGAAGATCCCCCAATGGATATTTCCCTCCCATCATTCCCCGACTACAATCTTGACTGGCAGGATGTTATGGAAAACATTCAAGATTTTGCCATCCCTGATCAATTAAAGGTGAATGACTCTCCCAGTAGAAGTGTGCTGGCAGGAGAAATCTTTCAAGCCCGCATCGTCTACTCTGTCAAACGATTGAAGGCCTTCCCAAACGCTTTCGTGTCAGAAGGCAAAACGGCTTTCATACACCAAGGCCTGTATGAATCTTACATCCCTCAGCCAATCCAGGATATTCTGGGAGTCTGTGCCCTTTATGGCGGTAAAACCGTGGCGAATCAAGGCCTGGTATATCGCATTATCACTCAACTGGCGGATCGACTCATGGTCGATTATGCACATTCCTCTGCAGTCGATCAGCTAGCCTCAGTGCAAGCCATGGCCCTATTACAGATCATCCGGCTGTTTGATGGAGATATCCGCCAACGAGCTGATGCGGAAAGAACAGAGCCTCATTTCGTCGAGTTGATACGCCAGCTGCAACATCGATCGCAGCAACTTGAGGGAACTGAGGGCAATACCACGTGTCCGATTTCGAGCGAAGCAACGGAATCGTGGCAGAGTTGGTTATTCGCTGAGAGTCTTCGACGAACTATCATTGTGGGATATACCTTGCAGGGACTCTACTGCTTCCTCAAGAATGGATGGGATGACTCGCACCATGAGTTCGGGAATCTATCTTTTTTTGCGCAAAAAGGTCTTTGGGCTGCTAATTCTGAATTCCAGTGGCAATCAGCCCTCAAAAATCACCAGCCGCTCCCAGTTCGATTTAACAGTTGGGATGATGATATCTCAAATGCCAAGCCGACAGATATTGATGATCTCGGTATGACAATGATGGTTTTACTTAAAGGCGTAGATCACTGCTCCCGTTATGCTGGTGATGATTATGTGGAAACGTTTAGTCTAGTCTCATGAAAAATAACGCAAATATCATCTTGCTATTTTTCTGAGCTATTTGAAAGGAAGAAATATCGTTTTTGGCCGCACTACCACGTTTTTGATACGCCTCTCTGGTACTCGAACGTTTATCGTCAATGTGGGAAAACCAACATTTGACAATAAACGATGTATCAAGGGTGACCTTTCTTAAACAGCTTATGGCGAGCTCCCCATTGGAAATTGGAAATCTACTGACACACTGGTAGCTCAGGGGAATGATGATGATGGATTAGCTAGCTACAGCAGCGGGGTACTAGTTACATTATGGTCACGTGTACCCCTCTGTGGGTAACATCTGCCCCTGCTTGAAATCCGACCGCCCCGGTCGGCGTGTTAGTGCGATAAAAAAGAAAGTGATAATAGTAAAAAAGGAAAAAAAGGGGGATCCATCAGCGCTCCTGGCTTCCGGGAGGCTGAAGAGGGTATGGGCGTTCCTGGCTTCCGGGAACGTCATTGACCCGGAAGAATAGCAGTAGTACCCTGGGTGCCGGGGTGTTGCTACCGCTCAAGGGGCTCTGGGTTCCTGAGCACCCTCGGGCGAGTTTGTAATGATGTTGGGATTTCCTGTCTCCCAGTTATGGCTAAGTTGACGGAAGAGTTGGGTCGCGGGCCCTTCAGAGCTCTCGATCGCGTTTGCGAATGCGTTCTGTCCTGCGATAAAGCGGAGCGCGTCTCTGACTACTGCTCTCTCTTCAGGGTTGTGAGCGTTGGCTAGCGCAGCTTGCGCGTATGTTGGCAATACGGGTGGATACGTAAGCGTAAATAATGTGTCTGCGTCCGTGTCGGAAAGCCCATGTTGGCGGATGTTTTGTAGGAGTACCGAGGCGTTTGGGCTTACTGCACATGCTGCAGCCAGCGCTTCCAATCGGTACGCTGCTTTCATAATTTCGGGGTGTGTCGCACTTGCGTCTATCCTTACCAGCTTGCGTATTGCCTGTGCCGTAGTGAGATCCTCGTTGAGCTCCAGTGTGTTTGTTTCTGGTAGAGAGATCTCGTCGAGGCTGATGGTTCCGATGCCTCGCGTTTGGGTTTGATCTGTTTGGGTTTGGTCTGGAAGACTCGCGGTAGCGGACGGTTGCTGGCGTGCCCTCTTCGGTCTATTAGTGCTTGGTGCGAGGATCGTACGTTTCGCTCGGATTCGAGTGTCGGCGGGGGATTCACGCGATCTGTTGAATGTACAACTCTGCTTCCGAGCTGAGGTGCCGGGCGTACGGTCTGGTGCTGTCCTCGAAGTATAGCAGAAGCTGGTATGAGAGCGAGATTGCTTTCTCCAGGCGTTCTCTATGCAGTGCCCTTTCGCCTGTCACCTGTGGTGGCATCGAGCTCTGTATTGGTTGGTTGAAGGTGGCTTAGGACAAGGGGCGGGGTGATCGCTTTTCTGCCGGCTTGACTGTCTGTTTGGATCGTGGCTACACTGGGTACCAGTGTCGCCTAAGATATGGCGCAGCACCGGCTGCCAGTGCTGCAAGTTAAAATTTTGATGGAAAAAAACAAAACTAGGGTCCTTCGTCAAAATAGGAGCTGCTCCTAGATCGGAACGGACATGCTACCAGATGACACACTGGTAGCTCAGGGGAATGATGATGATGGATTAGCTAGCTACAGCAGCGGGGTACTAGTTACATTATGGTCACGTGTACCCCTCTGTGGGTAACATCTACATTCGTGGGAAAGCCTATCTGAGTAACCTGCTCTGTCAGCAGTGACGTCATAGGTATTGAGTTGTGCTCGCTGCGGAAGTCTAGCCATGGTTGTCGGAAGTAGCAAAATGGGACTTCCGCCGCAGCAGCGATGTCTAAAAGAACAATCAAGATCGTGCGTGCATACATGAACAGACGGTAGTATGTATTCATGGCCAAATTGTCACCATATTTGCTTTGTTTCAAATGTATACGTAGAGATGACGATAAAGGGCGCGGTGAATAGACAGGACGCATTGTTCCACACCGTTGCGGAGCTCGAGCGGAACATTACAGGAAGTCGTATCTACCCAGTCTCCAATTTACCCAATCTACCCAATCATGCACAACATCGTTGCGGAGCTATCACGATGGCTCGACGGATGTCCATCGAGTCTGATTCGATCGCAGCCACTGATAAATATCGTGCGCTGCACCTGCACCGGGTTAATCTACCAAGGAATGTCAGAAGCATCTCTGGCCAGAATATCTACAATGTCGACCTCATACCAATTTGACATTTTTGCCAACGAATTCAAAGGGAAGCGCGTTCTCGTTACGGGAGGGACGAGAGGGATTGGACTTGCTATTACTCGCCGTTTTCTGTTGAGTGGCGCGACTGTAGCAGTGACTGCTCGTTCTCCCAAAGCTGAAAACTTGGAAACCGCTCTGTTTATCCAGGCCGACATCGCAACAGCGGCAGGCGTGCAATTGGTAGTTGACCATCTCCAAACGACATGGGGCGGGCTTGATATCCTCATCAATAACGTTGGTGCCAGTGATGCACCACCTGGAGGATTCGAGACACTTAGTGATGAATTCTGGCAAGATGTCATGAATGTGAACCTGATGGCACCAGTCCGGCTAGATCGGGCTTTTGTTCCCGGCATGATCAAACAGAACCACGGCGTTGTTATTCATATCGGCTCAATTGCACATCTCCTACCCCAGCCCCAGTCAACGCTTCCTTATTCGGCAGCCAAAGCGGCATTAAGAAATTACAGCAAAGGTCTGTCCAAATCTGTTGCGTCAAACAAAATCCGAGTCAATATGGTTTCTCCCGGGTTTATTGAGACATCAGGAGCAAAAAAAATGATCGCCGACTTCCAACACAACAGTGGCATGCCAGAAGAAGTGGCACGCAAACAAGTCATGGACATGATTGGAGGAATACCACTCGGCAGAACAGGCAAGCCCGAAGAAGTTGCCGAGCTGGTAGCCTTTCTGGCATCAGATCGAGGCGCCTTCATTATTGGCTCGGACTATATTATTGACGGCGGCACAGTGCCTACTATTTGATCTTAAAGAACGATCGGTTGGATTGAAGCCCAAACACTACTGGGAGGAATCTCCGCGTATTGCCGGATTCTCACTGTGATGGGACCAGCCATGGAGATCTGACAAACCTTGTTGTGAAATACTGCATTGTTGTTTGCTGAAGGGTCACTTTGCGAATTGTTATAATTGGATTTCATAACGGCCTTTGGGTTTGTCAATCTTGTTACCGTCTTTGTGCTTAATTGGTTTCAATTTGTTTTCTATCAATAAATTACAGGTGTTGAAAGCCATCTGATGTCCACTGCTTAGCACAAATTGTTTTTGCGCAACTGCACCCTCTTTGAAAGCTGTGATCATGATCTGCCCGAGCATGTCTACCATTGCTGCAAAGACATTGAGGTCGACAACAGCTCTTGCGTCTTCAATGGCGACATATTTAATACGAACCAGCCAACATCAGTTCGTAAGCACCACCTTCATGGAGGGTCCATCAAAAACCAAAGCAAATTTGTCAACAGTGATCTTGGTAGGGATGCCTTTCTAGCATTCTTTTGCAGTGGTGACACAGAAACAGCGTCAAGCACGAGGTGACTGTCTTAAGAAGTCACATTTCCTGTCCACGGACGTTCTGTTTCCACATATACGACTGTTCCGTTTTCCAAAGATGAGACATATCAGGCTTCGTAATGCTAAAAGGATCAGCTATCATGTCTTTAAGCGAAAAGATAGGTCTTCCCATAGTCACATAAGCAAAGTTACATTCTATCACTACGCATATGTTGTTCTAGGAAACGGTGTATATGCTTGTACATACTAGTCTCGACAGCAGAAGGTTCCATGGGCCGTTTTCCTGTGCGCTCCGAATTGACTTGAATATTGTTGACGCATTGGACTGCTTCCTTCTAAAAATAAGAAGTATCCTTATTTCCCCAGCACCGCAAGGAATCTTCCCAGCCACTGATCAAAATGCAGAAGATTGAACGAGTGGCCGGAACCTGGAGAGCGGCGGGACATCAATCGTGAATACCTTCGGTTGCCACTGACTCTGTATCTCTTCCAACTTTTGGTTAGCGTTCTCCGAATAGACGTTTGTTGAACAAAAATGGGGGTGCCCCATGTCATAGAAACGGTCAAACAGCGGTATGAGCAATCACGACCAATGCCAAAATTCAATAACTAGTGGAAGCACATCGTCTGACAAGCGAATAGGATTGCCAGAAAACCCAAAGCGATCCTTTGCTAGGCGAAGGTGTGTGGGGCGAAAGTGTAAAGCACGAGTTCATTGACTGGTCCTTTGATTCATACGCGAGGTGATGCTTGCCTTCAGTTACCTACCTCACACAAAAGCCACACATGGTGGGCAAGTGGGAAAGGGAACCTTACAGTGAGGAAGCATGCGTGAGAGTGTACTGACAGGATGCACAGGGACATTTACGCAGCGCCAGAGCAGGTGTTCCTAGATCGTCCGGCACGCCGACAACAAGGCACCCATCCCTGTCAGCTGTGGCGCACAAACCATTCGTGTAGATCCCGAACAGGAGACAAAAGTCCCATGGGCTAACGAAGTACTGGGTTCCTAGATAGTTCCGCTCCCCTCCTCTTCTCTCTTTCTCCCCTTGTCCACTTCATATTAGTCGAATCGATACTGGTTGTTTTCTTAATACAGACACAACGTAGTCGATCGCCATTAAGAAGTCTCATACAAATGCCCCCAAAAACCGGCGATCAATTCTCAATGAGGGTTCAATGGCACTTATACCGGCAAATGCAAATCGGATGATCAGAAAAAGGCAGGACGTCGAGGAGAAGAACGGCTATGTGGCCTCGGAAATTGGTATCAGTTACTCCGTACTTCGCTCCGCAGTGACTATCTGGAGGCCTAACACCGAGATACCTCAAGATATTGATGACTAAGGCTGAATAACAAGGTTGCCTCATATCCCAGGCGCAAAGCTTACATTCTCGGGGATCTATCCGGCGAAGCACGTGGTTTCCAGATGCATCCATTTTTCACGGGACCTTGGGGGCAAAAATACCTGATTCACTCGCCACAATGCTCCCACGATGCCGGCCTATGCCACCAAGCTTTGCGATACCGAACCACCAAATCAATGCCATGATTTGCCTTCAATTGCGATTATGGCAAAACGAAGAAAAAGTTAGTCAACCGCTTATAAAAGTGGGGAGAGGCCGAACTCCGAGCGACGCAGTCCAATGAGTCTCCCCACTGTGGAGAACAATTTGGCGTCAATAGAAGTCCCGATGTCGTGCTTGGACCGAGACTGAATAATAAGTCGGAAAAAAAAGCTGTCTCCCATCTAAGCATTTCGGTCACTCCTCAGGTCTCCGGGGTAAGATCTACTAAGGCAGACCTAGCCTAGATGATCGGCACTACACACGACAACATGGAGAAGTCCGGCTACGACAACGAGAACGTCCAGTCGGCGCCCGGCGCAGATTTTGAAGACTACGATGTCAATCCCAAGGCCGAGTTTGAGCTCAATGTCGGTGGTCGTGCGCCCCTGCAGCGACGCCTGCGCAATTACCAGGTTACCATGATTGGGTTCTGCGGTGGTATCGGCACAGGTTTATTCGTGGGAACTGGTGCGGCCTACGCCAAAGCTGGCCCGGCCGGTTTGCTGCTCGCCTATATTATTGTGGGAGGAGTGTTGTGGTGTGTGATGCAAAGTATCGCCGAACTCGCGACGCTTTTCCCGACTGCTGGATCCTTCCCTCACTGGGCGACTCGATTCATCGACCCGGCTGTTGGTTTCTCCCTCGCTATTTCATACGGATACTGTTACACAATCGCCATCGCCTCAGAAGTCTCCGCGGCCGCCGTTATTGTTTCATATTGGACGGATCTCACGCCTGCCGTGGTGATCAGTGTTGGATTGGTACTCATTTTGGCTATCAATTTGATGAGTGTGCGATTCTATGGTGAAACCGAAGTCTTTGGAGGTGCCGTCAAGGTCCTCTGTTTCCTTGGCTTGGTTGTTGTCTCCATTGTCATTACTGCAGGGGGTGCTCCCGAAGGCGGCGCCATTGGATTCCGCTACTGGCATCACCCTGGCCCGTGGACAGACTACAACGGTATCACCGGTCCGACAGGTCACTTCCTGGGCTTCCTGTCTTCATTGGTCAACGCCTCGTTCAGCTTCATTGGCGTCGAGACCGTCGTCATCACCGCATCCGAATCGGTTGATCCCCACCGTGCCATCCCCAAGGCCGCCCGCCGTGTCACTTACCGCATTGGTATCTTCTACATTCTCGGAGCACTTCTCATCGGCATGATCGTGGATCCAAGAGCCCAAGGCCTTGTCTCTGGCACTGGAAACGCGAACAGCTCGCCTTTCGTCATTGCCATCACCAACGCCGGCATCAAGGCTCTGCCCTCTATCGTGAATGCATGCATTCTCATCGCCGCGTGGTCCGCCGGTAACTCATACTGCTGGGTCGGATCTCGCATGATCGTCGCTATGACTACAGACAAGCAACTGCCCCAGATCTTCGCGCGCGTGAACAAGTCTGGCGTGCCATACTATGCCGTTCTTGCCGCATGGCTCTTTGGTCCGCTGGCGTACCTGAGTCTCGGCACCGGTGGTGCAGCACAGGCTTTCACCTGGCTTTTGAACCTGAGCACCATTGCCGGTTTGATTGCTTGGGCAACCCTTTGCTTGTGCTATATCCGTTTCTTTGCTGCGATGAAGAAACAAGGTGTGAGCCGAGACACACTCCCATGGCAAGCACCTTTGCAACCTTATGCCGCGTGGGTGGGCTTCATCGGTTCCATCATCATCACTTTGGTTGCAGGTTTCCCCGTCTTCTTGAAGGGCAACTGGAATACGTCGAACTTTATTGCGTCGTACATCGGTATCCCTATCTTCATTTTCCCCATCATTTGCTGGAAGATCTGGCGTCGCACCAAGGTTAGTTCACCCCTCTTATTCTTTCTGTTTCTTTATGAAGAGTTGCTAACATGTTGAATGTAGTTTGAGCGTGCCGCCAGTATCGACCTATGGTCGGGCCGTCTTGTAGATGGGGAGATCACGCATGTTGAAAACCCCAATCGCAATGCGTTGACGAAGTTTACCGATTGGCTCTTTTAAATGACTTGTATAATGTATAAATATCCCCATATAGAGCCGGCAATTCAACCTGCCCGATTTATAATGTCTTATTCTATTCAGCTTTCATTCCAAACTTCATTCGTAACGTGATCAGAATCCCTATTGAGTCTTGAATTGCTCTCCAAGTTTCTTGATATCGTGGTGAGAAGCTTTGCAACACCCACCCACAAGGAACGAATTGAAATAGCCCTTTTCGTAGGCTTCATTGACCACCTGGGCCAACTGCACCTCCCAAGATCGCTAAATTCACGTCAGCAAAATCCACAATCTTCCCACCCGACTCCCGAGAGTAGTACTCACGTCAGCACTCACACTATCACGCAATCCATCAGGTCTCTCCCAAACCTGCGTCGTAGTATTGTACACCTCCCCATTCGTCCCATCAGGATACAAAACCAAACTCGGCACAGCAGACACCTGCCCCTCCGCAACACACTCCGCAACAGCGCGCCCAAACAAATCAACAGTCCCAGCCAGCTTATGCATCTTAGTACAATTAATCCCAATCCCCCAAGGAACAGCCCCACCATCCAAAGGCGCAATCGCAGTGCGCACAACCTGCTCCACCGAGCTCCCATCCGGCAAGAGATCATCCTCGCGCGGGAAAACACAAGCAATCCAAAACGGCACGTCAAAAGCAGAATCGCGAATCGCCCTCCTCACAGCGCGAATCTCATCAAGCCGCGGCAACGTCTCAAACGCAACATACCGCACGCGCGACACAAGCTCCCCCTCCGCCTCAGCAAACATCCGCAGCCGATCCAAGTGCCACAAATACAACGACTCCTCGGAGTCATGCGCGGCGTCGTAGGCACCGCTATACTCCTGCCCGGGGATCATGCAGGCGCCGTAAGGGCCAAGGCTGAGCGCGACGCTGGCGCTCTCGCGCACCTTCGCTTGCTCGGCGATGTCCACGGCTTTCCGTAGGAAGGGCCCTACGGCGCTGCGGGGGATCCCGTCTGGGAATTCGGCGGTTTTGGTCCGCGCAAATCCTTCAGTGGAGACTTGGTAGGTTGCTGTTAGGAGAACGTCTACTCCAGCAATGCCGAAGTCGCTTTGGCATGCTTGTAGCGTTGCTGGGTCGCTCACTAGCAGGTGTGAGGCCCAGAGTGGGGTTGTTGTCGAGTCGAATTTGATGTTGTATAGATCGCCTAGGGAGGTGCCAAGGCCTCCGTCTAGGATTTGGATTGTTGCCATTATGTGTTATTGGGGCTTTGGGTGGTTTATGGAGGGTAAGTGGGGGTTTTGCTTTTGATACAGTCCTAGGCGGCTCGGGGTTACATAATCGCTCGTTTTTGCGCCGGCCTCGGGGGTGTAAAATATCAATTGGGAAAAGACGGGAATTGAAGATTAGGCTAAAGTCGAATGCATTAGATGCTGAAGCTTGTGTTTTCCTTATGGTGTACAAGATATATGGAGTGCGCTTGAATATCAGTAGTCGATCTATATGCATCGTAGATCAGGCTGTTGCAGAACTTAATCTCTAAACTGGGTTTTCTTATTTTTTCCCCGAAGTATATATTCTGCGAGGTAAAGATATTAAGTATATTATAAGCGCCTGGGCATAATACTAGTACTGCAACATGAGACTAAATGATATATACAAGCGATGTGCCACCGGCTCTGCTTTACACATGGGCCCACCCGTATCGATGCAGAATTTGCATCTCATTGATGATGCAAATGTCCCCACGTTCTTCATTCCTAGTACTCAAGGCTCTCCAGGCGTTTAACCGCCTTCGAACTACTTCTTCTTTCAGCCATGAAGTGACACCCAGGCGCCGTAGTCGATTGACCCACAACCCTTGTAGAATCGCTTTCGCAGAGAGCCAGTTCATCACCGGATGAATAGCTGTATATGCGGCGCCACTATACCCAACCCTCACTAAAGGGTTCACATAAACACCCATTTCCACTGATAGCGGGTTGTCTGTGTGGATGAGACAGCATTCAGAGCCTTCAAGATGATAGCTCGCCAGTGAATCGGGGATACCTCGGAAGCGAAGTGGGGGGCTGTCGATGAATGGACTTGCGGGCATCGCCACTAGATATATGTATGTTAGCTGATGCAACGCTCCTAGAGTGGAGGTCCACATACCCATGCCATTCCAACAACTCGTCACAGGAACAGGAGACAAATTTTTCATTGCGTGTCGCGATACCGCAGAGCTAAAATAGGGCCATGTCTGCATGATGGGTTCATGGCCCTCGCTATCCCGGAGAGCAAATGTGTCATAATAATTCGGGGGCTTAGAGAAATCCAATGAGCAGGCAGCGCCGTATTCGCCGTTTTTAGTATATAGAAGTTCGAGAACGTCGTTCGGCTGATCAAAAAAGAGAGCCTTCATTAGAATACACATTCCACAGAAGATAGGATGATTAAAACGAACCGTGAATACAACATCATTCAGAAACAGGATTTTATCAAATGTGATACCCTGCCGTGCGAGATCATGCAGAGGCAGCAAGCTCAAGTTCCGTATCCGCGCTAGATACGGCACTCGTCTGAGTTTTTTCTTCCCATCGGGAGTGCGAATCCAGCCTTCACCCCTCGCGGGTGCGGCTAGTTCATCTTCATGTGTCACAGGCGACAAAGTGATATTCCGTGGTACCCGCATCCGCTCGAGTTCCCAATCTAGTTCCCTCAATGCGCCTTTCGTGTTATCATAGCTCCCGCTTTCGTAGATGCTGATGAATACATTTTCCGGACCAAGCTTCATGACCAGCTGTGTGAGTGCCTTGATCCAGTGACTGCGTAATACGAGCTCATTGTTCCAATTGATGCTTGCGATATATATTCGTTCTTGCTTTTGCGGCCGGTGTCGGGGGATAGCGTGATCTGCTTCATGAATTCGGTGCTGAATCAGATGTATCTCGACTAGATTCCATATTGCGAAGATTATGAGCAGAGCTCGGGCGATTCGGTACCGGAGGACTCGTCGGGAGGCGGACAAAATCGGCATGGAAAGTGAGGGAGTTGGAGGATTGGTGTCGGTTCCGGTGTGCGCGATCTAATCTTCTTGACATACTTGACTGGAGATGTGGAAGGAACCCTTGATCGAGGATATGAGACATTGCTGGGAGAGAGAGCTAGGCAATCAAGGGATATTCCCAAGGTCCAAAATCAACATGAGAATGTATACTTCCGAAAGCAGAAATTACCAACGACGATCATTAACAGAAGGAGTAGAAATCGGTGATCGGCGATAGACGAATTATGACAGCCATATTTGAATCTACACTATAGTTGGTCGCACGTGGAAGTAAGCCGGTTGTTTCTGTACTGATATATTAAGACAAAAACAATGCTAAAATTAATAATTAATAGAGATGAACCCCATGATATCCAGGAACCTCAACCCAAGAAATGTAAAATAGCCGTCGCGGCAATCGCAATGCCAGCTATTCTCCTGAATCCCGAATGACACCGATTACCCGACCCTGTCTGAGTCGCCTCGGGACTCGATACTGTCGTGCTAACTCCACCCTCAATCCACGGCTGCCCAGGTAGCGAATCCGAGCTCTTGCCGATCTCCGTCGCGCTAAGAAGCTTGTTTTCCAGCAGATCGCAGTCGATCCCATCGTCACTCTTGGGTATACTGTTGGTGACAGAGATCGGCAGGTCAAAGACAGTATAATAATCGGTCCCATTCCAGCGGAAAGATTGGTGCATAGAGATATTGTATGCCCCGCGCGCCGAGTCCTTTGAGCCAGAGCCGTCTCCCACGAGGCATTCGGGCCAAATCCAATTCACATGTTTGACTGTGGATGAGGGCTCCAGGTCCAAAACGGGACCGACATAGCTTGTGTTAGACGCGGGCTTTGTGCCGTTGGAGATGGTAAAGTTGTGCGACTCGGATGTTAAAAAGAGTGTGATGTTGTGGAAGCGGGTCGATGAGTCGGGTTGAGTTGATGCCGGCCATGGTAATTGGCCATTGCCAGACACGTCGATTGCGACTTGCAGGTTGTCTAAGAAATTAATTAGGAGTTGGTAGATTTTGGCGGATTGACTTGCCTCCTCCGAGGGGCGTGTTGGGTTGTGGCGCATCGACGATTGCCAGGCCTGGCGTGTAGATTTGGCCATTGACGATGGTGAAGTTGACCATGATTCTCAAGCTTATAGATTTGATCTGAATTTATTTTCTATTTCACAGTAACACAACCTGCACTGCCATGTCCTTTTTATTCTTTTTGCGCCAAGGGGCTCATTTCCGACGACTCCGCCATTGTCCTTAGCGTATTGGGATTAATTTTATTTCTTCAGATCATTGGTCTGGCTATGACCCTTAAGCCCTGATGTAGTTCTAGGTCCCTGGATATTCTTTCTAATCGATATTAATCATAGCTAGTCAGACAATAGGGGTACATGGCATAATTACGGAGTATGTAACTAGTGATCACTTCAAATATATTTGTAGATGATTTGTGACTGTCCAATGATATAACATCCTCACGGCACACACGGGAGCTAGTGTATCGTGACAATCCTCGGCGAATCGATCGAGGGACGATTCGGGATAGAAGGAATGCTGGGGGAAGCATCAACGTCGGGGCTAAGGTCATTGGTCTCCACTTGCTGGGGAGCAATAGTGGGGGTAGGTAGTAGCTGGTGCTTCTTGCACCACTACCATTTCGTCGCCCACCTCTGCCTGCAACATCCCAGCAAGTTCTTGTCCCGTGGCTTCAGTACTGATATCCACAGTCTCCACCTGCTGGGGAGCGATGGTGGCGGTGGTAGCTGGTGCTTCTTGCACCACTACATTATGGTCGCCCACCTGCGACTCATCTGCCTGCAACATGCCGGCAAGTTCTTGTCCCGTGGCCGTATCCATATGTGACCCAGCCCGTGATGATTGTTGACTATTCAATGATCTAGCATCGTCCCGGCGCAAGCGGAAGTTAGCGTGTCGCGGTCCCCGGCGAATCGATCGAGGGACGATTCGGGGACAGAGAGCGGGAATACTAGGAGAATCATGAATGTCGGGGCTAAGGTCATCACATTCGCGATCCTCAAGGGGGAGCGATCTCAGGCCACGTTCTTTTCCCTTATCGAGTTGCTGCGGGTGGGGGTCGAATGCCTGCCCATGGGAGCCTGGTTCCTGGCTTTCTGGTCCTTCGCCAGCTTTTCCTTGCAGTCTTGGAGGGCCTTTTTCTTTTACCCTCCGCATCCAGGTCAATAGATACCTGACAAACTGGGGTTTGCCACGTTCAGTCGTGGAAGGCAAAAACTGGAAGATGGAAGATGGAGGGTGGAAGAAGAAAGGTGGAAGGTGGAAGGGAAGAAGTGACTATTTATACCCATGTATGTTAGTAGAGCACGAGGGGTAAGTAAGAAGGATATGCGTTCACAGACGGCACGAGTATATAGCACCAGTTGGCGAAGATGTTGCAGAGACGGAGGGGGTTAAGAGAGAAGAGAAGAGAAAGAAGAAAGGGAGAAGACGGTATTTATAGCTATACCTAGTACGTAATTAGAAAAAGTAGAGTTGATATTAGTGCTCTTTAGCTATAATCTATCTCGCTGCGTTATGCTCCTATAACAATATGACCCTAATAGACCCCTCCTAAGTACTACGTATATATCAATGTGAGAACGGCTCCTCACCATGCCCTCACTCTGCTTTCACTCTGTTTGCTTTATGTTCTGTGCTTATTTCTTCTTCCTATCTCCTATATTTTTGGACATGTTATCTGCGTGCCCTACAGTCAAATATTACTGTTATTTATCGTTTACTTTCGACTTACCTACTATGGCTATAAATGTTTAGTTATCTAGGGATTTAGGTACTATTAAGAAAGGGAGGATAAGGATGATTTGCATGTGACCATCTACTTGAGATCGTAATACTTGTTTGTCTATATGGAGTGATTGTCTTGACATTCACTTATGCCGATCTGCATTTTATATTGTTGTATAAAAAAATTGTAATGTCAATTTCCATATCAGCCTCTCCCTCACTTTGAACTTCCCACGAATATTAGTCAAGTTGAGGCACATATGAGAGATGATAGGCTTTAGCTTGGGTGGTCGGATTAGCGATTCTGTAGATATGGCTCAGATACGCCGGGTTCAAGTTCAGAAGATACTCCATTCCTAGCGGTTCCCATCGATGTACAGAAAATATACGCAAGAGAAAAGAGGGGCAGAACGAAAGGTATCAGGCGTAAAACATATTAGACGTGATCAAAGAAACAGTAGCGAAAAGGGTTTGCTAGAAAATAGATATGGAACCACAACTAGTGTTCACCATGAGGAAAGGCCATCGTGGCCAGAAGAAAGAGAAGAAAAATCATCTCTTGTCCCCCCAAAGACCAACAATGCCGATCGAAAGTGCAATACCAGACAACCATGTGCGCGCTTGGTTGAGCCGGCGCTCCCGGTCCATCTCGCGCTGAACGGTTTCGCCGTTCACGTCGTCCTCGGCCTCAACCACAACAAGGTCTTCATCCTTGCTTGTATTTGAGTCCCGGATCAGAGAAAAGTGGGAAACATCGCGGATCACAGCTGACACCCAGTTCTTGAAGCCGAGGTGACGGTGGAACCAGAAATCAACACCGTGGGCACCGATTGTAGAGAATGCACACATCCAGATCATATATGGGTGTCGGCGGCGTGGAGATGAGAGGCACCATGCGAAACAGAAACAGGTATTGGTCAAGAAGGAGAGCCGGAGGGCATATCGGCGGGTTAGGCGCTTCACTTCGTTCAGAGAGCGGGCGGCAGTTGTCGCTGTTGGAAGGAGCTGCAGAGCTGGGATTGTAATGGCTGATGTGGAGTAAGAGAGGCCCTGTAGATTCGAAACATGTTGTTAGTCTTTGTATATCGTATTTATGATGCGATAGATGAGGTTGACGTACGGTAAGAAGACCGAGGGAGACAGTGCCAACAAACTTGCTAACGCTGATGGGGCATGCCATAATGCAGAATACAAAGACAATTGCTTGGCTCAGAGCTGTATTTGGCAAATATAACAGAATCTGAAATGAATCGAGTCGATGATTCACGTCAACAATGCAAATAAGAGGTGGCTCTTTTTCGGTGACGTCGCGGTCCGCCTACGCGACAGCCAATCAGCGAACGGTTGTTCTTCATCGCAATGAGGGCAATCAATATGTTGTTACTACAGTAAAATTAGTGAAGATATAAGTCTTGTCTAGAGTTTACTTTCTTTTGTATACGATTCTATCTAGGCAGTCGTATATTAGACGTAGATCGACGTCTACACCTACATAAGCTAACCTCTGCCACTTGGAACTCCTTCTAGTATACTTCGGAAATAAATTATATACTGGATACTGTCAATTAATTATCATAACTGTTTATTTTGCTGTAGTACAGGCATAAATGGTAAGCCGACCAACGGTGAAACAATTGGTTCACTAGGGTATACCATGCTCATGTATCTCGGATGCAGCCGGACAGTAGAGGACAAAGTATATAATCAATGAGGTGATAAGAAGAATATCGAAGACGGGGGAATACTCACCAACTATGCAATCAATCGTCACGTTCATCATTCATCCACTACGTCAACTTCATCTCTATACCAAAGTGTGATGCGGAAAGATGGAGGCTGAATCTTATATCATCATGGCACGTGGTTGCTGACTAATAATGCAATGCACGGAAATGTGCCATTTCTGTCTATGAAGCGCCCTTGAATCTCTAGAGGATGAGGCAGACAAGATATGTACACGGAATGTGAACTAAATATGTATTCTCAGCATACAGCTCATCAAGCAAGGTGTCAACTGCTTCGGTTTAAACAATAATTCTTGTAGAGCTTTGTATTTTTGTATCACTAATCTTTTATGCATAAAACTGTGAAGCCGAGGTAACTGTGGGGAAACGGGTATCACCAAATCACCTCCTGAACATCCCCCAACTCCCCCACAATCTTTAAACTAATTTATCCAGGGACATACATAGTAACAAGAATGCCGCTGCCCAAGACGGAATATTTGAGTGATTCCTGGAAGGATGGGATCTTCGGTAGGCTCTCCGAATCCATCGCTACCGCACAACCCACACTAACTCCCTTACCCAGCAAACAAAGTCGTCTTCTGCACAGGTGGCGCCGGCACTATCTGCAGTGCCCAAGTCCGGGCCTTAGTACACCTCGGTGCCAACGCCTGCATCATTGGCCGCAATGTAGAGAAGACCGAGCGCGTCGCTAAGGACATTGCGACAGCCCGACCCGGTGCCAAGGTGATTGGGATTGGTTCCGTGGACGTGCGCAAGTTCGAGGATTTGCAGAAAGCAGTTGATCGCTGTGTCAAGGAGCTTGGAGGCATTGATTTTGTCATGTACGTTGATATATCAACTTGACCGTGTCTTCGATTCTCATACTGATGGTGTCTGACAGTGCTGGAGCCGCGGGTAACTTCCTCGCCTCCATCGAGCAACTCTCGGTCAATGCTTTCAAGTCAGTCATGGATATTGATGTCTTGGGCTCTTACAATACCCTCAAGGCAACTCTTCCGTATCTAAGGGAGTCGGCAACCAAGCACAGAATGGATACAAAGACTCGTGAGTGCACTGTCCGGTGAATCCCACCATATGTTAACCATTGGCACTGACAACCCCCTAGTTCAACCATCACCGATTGGAACTGGCGGAAGAATTATCTTCGTCAGTGCTACTATTCACTACCGGGGTATGCCTTTCCAGACGCATGTATCCGTTGCCAAGGCCGGTATCGATGCGTTGTCGCACAGTGTTGCCATCGAATATGGTCCTCGGGGAATGACGTCGAACATCATTGCGCCGGGCCCTATTGCACAGACAGAGGTTAGTATAAGTCTCAACAGTGTCATTCCTGTGTCCAAAATTGATTGACTTACCATTCACTAGGGCTTGGAACGTCTGCTGCCATCAGATGCCCTGGAGGCCTACACCAAGGCCCAGCCACTCGGCCGCTTTGGTCATGTCCGCGACATTGCTGATGCCACCGTGTATCTCTTTTCAGACACTGGTAGCTATGTCACTGGTCAAACACTTGTTGGTGAGTTGTCAGATAACAAAAGAACATTATGAATGTTGCGAACTGACACATAAACAGTCGATGGTGCAAACTGGCGCATGTCTGCAGGCGGTGCTTCCGGTGGGAGTCTGTCTTATCCGGACTTCTTGCTCTCCGGGGATGATGTACCCAACGTGACTGGCAAGAAGTCTAAGCTTTGAGCGAATGAAACAATGTATGAGATTGCACCGGGGCTCTTCAGACCTTTGTATTTCGGATAAAACCCCTACGTATAACCACACTGGATCTGGTAGATAGAGATTATGTTCATTTATGATATTTCTAATGCTGTTAACTTCACTAAATCAACGCAATTTACTATTATCGCATGCTAACCAATAGTATCTTACTTTCCTACCGATATCAAGCTGAAGTCGATTAGGCCCGCGTTTAACCAAAGGTCTACCTATCCAAATATGGTTAGCTATATTCCATTCAAACTAGTAGTAGTAGTAGCACGTACCTACTTGTCTTCTTTTCCGATTATGGCAGATCTGAGGGTCTGTAGACTGACATACCCAGTATGAATCTCTAGCGAGCCGGTTGATCTCAGTTTTTATAGCGGCCGAAACGACGTCAGATTTCGCACAAGGCTCAGTTAATACCAACGATATGGCAGAGGAAGATTTTATATGCCTAGATATAAGAGACCTGGCGGTATGAGGGCGACGTAAGGACGAACTGAGCTTAGATGATTGTCTTCGGTGGCCTGGCGAGGGTAGCGGTGGCATTACCTCACGCTCGGGACCTAAAGTTCACGCTCATCTGTTGACGATGAACTCACATCAACTAGGCGTACTCACATCTTGAAGCTATTTCTATCGTACACCCACGTCACGTCATTGATTACACGGCTAACGGCAATCTGAGTCAGAAATCAGATAAAATGGTCCTCAACCCCAACAAACAAACCCACTACCCGTGATCCTCTCAGCCTGATTGTACATACCTGTTCGAGGTCATGTGACCTCTCCGCAACAACTATTTAGTCCCAGCACCTAGATAGTTTCCTTTTCCTCTCCACGCAATTCAGGAGATTTTCCAGAAAACTTACGTTTCATCCGCCATCTCGCACAGTACCGCAGTCGATTCCCGCATTGCAGCGAGCTTTTCCACCCGAGGCAAGTCGCTTCATTTGAGTAACAGTATCATATTCGCTAATTAGCCTAGGGCCAAGCTAATTACACTCTGTCAGGGCTTACGAGCGAAGACTCAGTTGCAATAATGCGACAAGCATTGTCTTCAGACCCGGTCGTGTTTGACGACAGTCACCAAGCATGGGCGAACAGTAAGGGAACGACCCTTCTGGAAACGCTTAAGACTCTGTCACAGGCTGTCCAAGATCTCCAGAAAAAGGCCGACGCCCAAGCGAAGGACATTCAAGAGCCTCGAGAACACACAGAAAGACCTCAAAGAGGCCCAAAAATCCCTCATAAAATATGAGCGGATGTTCGATGCACATACAATTGAGGTGCGGTCAATCGTGCTCGACAAATGGGCTGGGAAGCCTATCAGCAATACCAGAAGGTCTCAGCAGAACGCTGCTGCTCACGGTGGTAGTATCCTTGCCGACTATGATGTGGTCCTCCGGGAGGTTGACCAGTAGCATCAACACGCGTTCATATATACTTGTTTTCATGTTCCGATTTCTCAGGCCGGTGGATTGTGTCGGAGTATGCAGATCAGTATACCGGAGCATACCGGAGGATCTATTAATCCTAGCAATATATTGCAGTGGGGAAAGTCAGAATCCCTAGTTTAGTGGCCCTATCCTTCAGGTAGAGAAAAGCGAGAGCCCGGTTGCTAAGTCGAGTTCCAGAGAGCAGGTAGTCTAGTCGGTTCATCACCCCGGAAATGAGAAGCAAGTTGCGAGATGTTTCTGCATTAGGAGATCGTATACTATGATGTGATCTATGTGGTCCCTATGCTTGCCAGCTGACCGTCCTGGATGGTTGGTGTTGTTGTGTGTGTCGTTCTCGTCTTGCCTGCATGGCCAGGCTGCCCATCGTGCATTTCCCTCTTCAATATATTGTTTATTTCAGTTTATATAATCATGGCTCTATATATAAATTGTCAAGGAAGCAAATACAGAAATATCCGTAGCAAGATATGTCAGTCACTGTAGGAGAAACATGCTCTAGATAATAAGTAGCCCTCGTTCCACATGCAGTTAGACCCAGATCCAGGACAAAGCTCGTGGTATATGAGTCGGATGATAGTCGACATTGACTTCTTTGCAGCCCGTGTCTTTATCAATGAGCCCCGGTCACCTTGCTTGGATGAGCGCCAACCCATAGAGTAGACAAATCACTCCATTAGTTGGAGATAGCGATCGATATTTAGTGTTGAGAATGAGTCTTGTTCATTTGAATCGTTTTTTTCTCTCTTTTTATTATCGCAGCAGAGATCATTCATCATTTGTAGAAACCTTCCAAAGCTCCCGGACCCTCCTCATCTGAATGATCCGCTACCAAAGAGGATTGAAACGATTAAGGGCGAGTCAACAGGTTGTACCTCGTTCCGTGGCGGGTGAGACAACTTGCCGCATATTTGCTATAAGAGCTGGTGATGGTCTGAAGGATCCTCGATTTTTCGATAGGGAATCTAATGTAAACATAGTGTTAGTATCCTTTGAAATATTTCAAGTAATCTCAGCGAAAGAGACACGACACGTACCTTGACCCTATAATCCACCACACCAACGGTAAAAGCACCGAATCGTGGTGGTTTGACTGTCTTGGAAAGATCACTTGGTATGATTGCAAAGTCCCACTGCACGGCTAAGGTCTCGCTTGGAAGTGTCATCTGAAAAGTGTCTGTACCTTAGCTTGATCTACTGTCGCAAGTTTCTGCCGAACTCGAATGTCAAGGCCATTGGGTATTGTTGGCGATGTAGACTGAGTCTAATGGTTGTCTCTCTGTTTTGACGCAACGTAAAATGCTAGCGACGTCTTGTTGATTGGTTGCTGGATGTGCCTGGTTTTGCTTGTGACGGGCCCGGCCCGTACCCGTACCCGTACCGTGCGCTTATTCGGGGTCTTTGTGGGACCGAGGTGACGACCTCACGAGCGGCCCTGGGGGAAATGATCTTCCAGTCAGCAGTGATTTCCGGTGTAGGAGGGCTTGAAACTCAACATTTTCGTATCATAGAGTAGTAGAAAACCACCAAAGCATGCAGATCGACTCTTGATAATGAGTGATCATTCCGGATGATAGAACAACAGGGACAAGACCGGTCTTTCGATCAAGAGCCATGGTGGCAGTACTTCCAACGATGATTTGATTATAGACCACAATTGGCACAGAGTAGGCAATACATTCATCAAACCACGGAAGATCAATCTATTTGGCAAGCCAAGTGCACTGACCTTCGGCAAGTCGACCACATTCAGCCGCAACTACATGGAGCGTCTACATGTATCAATATCTAGGCAGAGCTAATTCTAGGAAATGTACAGTTGAATAGACATAGATTCAGAAGTTTGATTAATGTATTATATTGTTGAACGAGACGTCCTATTCCTAGAAAAAGACCATTCAAGGCACCAAGGAGACACCCCATTGTTCTCTTTATTGAGCATGTCATAATAGCCATTGTTGAAGAAGTACCCTGTCATTGACAAACAATGAGGGAGCCTGTTGATTGGTCCAGGGAGGCAAGACCTAGTCATTGAGTCAGGCCATTGACCAATGGGGAGCCTGGGCCTCAAGAGTCACGTCGTTTGTCGAGGGCTATATCTTCTGCCCTTCCCACAAAACTTCTCTTTCTTTCTTCCCCTCTCCCTTTCTTCCACATCGTACTCGGTTTTCATATTCGTCTTCATCTGCAAAGACCAAACAGTTTGTGAATCCTCGTACTTCTTCTGGTTAGTCCCAACCACTCTTCCAAGTGACCTATCTGCCGTTTCTGACACTTGATCCCATAGTATTTGAGAAAGAGACTCTCACCCAAATTCTGCCCCATTTCATCCCCTTTTCTGTGGGTACAGTTGCCTTCACAAGCAACCTTTTCCAGCTTCTCTTCTAACATCTTTCAAAGCTCGCAATGGCAAACCAACAGAAACGGACCTGCCGTCGCCGTGACAGCGTCACTGGGTCCCAAATGACGGGTGCCCCCACCCCCGCCATCCCTCTGATCGCCTCGGCCAACCCCTCCCGCAATGGATCCATTGGCGCGCAGGTGGTACCTGGCCCGGTGTCAATTGCCACCCTTTCCCCCACAGCCATGTACCGTCCTTCCCGCAATGGACCCATTGGCGCGGAGGTGGTGCCTGGTCCTTCGTCGGCCACACCTTCACCAATCTACCGTCCCTCATCCACCTACCGCCCCTCCTACTTTCCCCAGAGTCCTCCGCACAGGACCTCCCCTCTGGTGGGCCCCGACACAGCCCTTCAATCCCCCCCCGGTATCCGACCACCTCAGAAACAGCCTGAAGCCAGCGCGCTGGAAGTACTGACTGATGCTGAAGCGACAATCTTTCGCCAGGAGAACGCACTGAACGACGCCAGGTCCCAGGCGTCGGCTTTGCGATCCAAAATGGCGACTGACCGTAACACCACCAAGCTTCTTGATCATGAGCAGATGCAAGCCATGATCGACCAGGCAAACTCCAACAGAACCTCGCAAATCGATTGCCAATTCCAGGTCCTTGAGGACGACCTGGAGCAGGTATCTGTTGACCTGGAGCATGCGGAGGGCAAGAAAAAGGCCCTCCAAGATTGCAAGAAGAAGCTGGCGAGGGACCAGGCAGACTTGCATGACCTTCGCCAGGTGGTTGGGGCGGCTGGCCGAAACCTGCAACGACAGGCACGCCTTGCGGGTGCGGAGGACCGACTGAAAGGCCTCCTTGACAATGCGGATAGAATGCTTGCCGCGAGTATGCAAAGCACAAGGGCAAGCCAGGTCCAGACTCGGAAGGCAACTAGCGCCGAGTCCTCGGCTAGCCCTGTGGGTATTGCGCGCCGCCACGTCGTGGAAAGCCAGGAACCAGGCTCCCACGGGCAGGCATTCGACCCCCACCCGCAGCAACTCGACAAGGGAAAAGAACGTGGCCCGAGATCGCTCCCCCTTGAGGATCGCGAATATGATGACCTTAGCCCCGACGTCCTTGATTCTCCTAGTATTCCCTCTCTCCGTCCGCGAATCGTCCCTCGATCGATTCGCCAGGGACCGCGACACGCTAACTTCCGCTCGCGCCGGGAAGATACTAGATCATTGATAAGTCAAAAACCATCACGGGCTGGGTCACATATGGATACGGCCACGGGACAAGAACTTGCCGGCATGTTGCAGGCAGATGAGTCGCAGGTGGGCGACCATAATGTAGTGGTGCAAGAAGCACCAGCTACCACCGCCACCATCGCTCCCCAGCAGGTGGAGACCGTGGATATCAGTACCGATACTACGGGACAAGAACTTGCTGGGATGTTGCAGGCCGAGGTGTGCGACGAAATGGTAGTGGTGCAAGAAGCACCAGCTACCACCGCCACCCTCGCTCCCCAGCAGGTGGAGACCGTGAATATCAGTACCGATGCCACGGGACAAGAACTTGCTGGGATGTTGCAGGCCGAGGTGTGCGACGAAATGGTAGTGGTGCAAGAAGCACCAGCTACAACCTTGACTATCGCTCCTCAGCAAGTGGAGACTAACGACATGATGGAACTCGACGACGAGCTGTTTTATTCCGAAGTCGCAAAGTTGAACGACGAGTCCTTTGACGGTCACATGGAATGGGATAAGGAGCAGACGCATGTGATCACACTGTACAACAAAGATGACCTGGCGGCTCCGAGCCAGTCATCTGGTGGTCATGCTGCTATCGCTCCCCCGTCTCTCCCATTGACGCGATCACTTAATCGCGTCATCGCGCAGGCCGTGGCAGCCATCCCTCTCAAGCCTGGTCTGCCAAGGGTCCGCGACCGCTTCCGCGTCTTCAAACGACGCGACCGTCTCGTCGGGAGTGGCCGCCCTCGCGTACATCGGAGGGTTGACTATCTCTCTGTACGAAGAGTACTCAAACGGACAGCTGATATCTTTGGGTCCAGCGAGGACGGACAGCCAGCCCGGAAGAAACAAAAGTTGACGCATACAGCCGCGAATGTGCCAGAGATGAGTGTGCCAGCTGTTTCGCAGCCAGCTCAATCTGTGCATGTCCAGACAGAGGAGGTGCCCACCCAGGCAGTTATGAGTGTGCCAGCTGTTTCGCAGCCAACTCAGACCACCTTGGAGTCCACCGAGTCTGTTGAGGCCGAGCAGGTGTCTACACAGGCAGTAATGAGTGAGCCAGCTGTTTCTCAGCCAACTCAGACTGTTCTGGAGTACACCCAGACTGTCTCAACCGAGCAGGTGCCCACCGAGACAGCTATGAGTGTGCCAGCTGTTTCGCAGCCGACTCAAGTTGTCCTGGAGGCCACCGAGCAGGTTCCTATCGATGCAATCTTGGGTGAGCCCGCTGTTTCTCAGCCGACTCAAGTTGAATCGCAGGAAGATGAGACGCTCGAGACCGTGCAGGTGCCTACCGAGGCAGTCATGAGTGAGCCAGCTGTTTCCCAGCCGACTCAAGCTGCCTTGGAGTCCACTGTGCCTGAGTCCAGTGTACGTGAGTCCACTACGCTCGAGTCATCCGTGTTCACTTTGTCCGGTGAAGTTGTGGGTGCGCCTGCTCCTAGTGAGCCAGCCCCAACTGAGTCAGTCCAAACTGAGCCATCGTCAGTCGAGGAAATTCCGAGTGTGCCTGCTGCTACTAAGCCGACTCGGAATGAATCAGATCTGACTTGGCAGACAGAGGATGAACTTGTTGTTCCGAGCCCGCGGACAGTTACTCGCTCGCACCTAGATGCGTTGCTTGAGGCGCGCGCGGCAAGGACTCAAGCTCGTCCTAGCATTATGTCGTCTCCTGAGGGGTTGCAGGTCACAGCAACCTCTCGAGTTATCTCCACCTCTTCCCTGGTCGCCAGTCCCGAAGACGCTTCGGTAAAGAATGCCGTTGCAACAGGGACAGATTCCCGTGCGGGGGTTTCGAAAGGCACCAAGAGGGTCGAGGACGCCGAAAACCCAAATTGCAGCGCTCGACAGAATGCAGGAGAACAGCGGGAGGAAATGGGCGGAGCAGCGCCTTCTGGTCTTCAAATGCCAGGAGCTTGGCCTTCCGACCCACCCGCCGTCACTGTGTCTGACGAGTCAGACATGCATGAAGGGTCGGCTTTGCTGAGGGGGTTGTGGACAGGAACTCGTCGGCTCTCCTTTGGTGTATTTGCTATGGTGATGGTGATTCTGCTGTCGTTCCCCCTGTGGGCAGGTCACCTTGGACACCTAGTCTACGCCTTGGAGGGTCCTGAACAGTTCCTGGAGGAACTGCGTTGGGAGCACGGATATGACGTTCCAATCTTCGATCGGATTATCTATGTTCTCCTTCGTTGTTTTGCCGGAGATCGGACGTTGTTCGGTTAACGGAAAGTGGTGCGGTGCGCATCCCATCAAGGGGAGGGACGAATGAGCCACCTCTTGATGAATAATACTACCACAGCAAGGCAGTAAGCTGGCAAGTCCGATGATTGCCGCTTCAACTGCAGAAGTACAACGAAAGCGACCCGAGGGGAGGGACGAATGAGCCACCTCTTGGGACCGCAAAACGACAATGCAGCAAGCTGGCAAGTCCGATGATTGCCACTTCACCTGCAGAAGTACAACGACGGCGGCTCGAGGGGAGGGACGAATGGGCCACCTCTTGAGTACGCAGAAACGACAAAGCAGTAAGCTGGCAAGTCCGATGATTGCCGCTTCACCTGCACAGTTACAGCGACAGGTGTCTGTTACCAAAGACACCGAAACAAGAAGCCATTGTTTGAGTACCCTTGTTTCTCTCACCCGGGAGGGTGATGGATGATTATTATTGTCGATGCCCATGGCATTTTGTCAGGGTACCTGTTCTGAGTTGTGTTCGATTTTTTTTGTTCGCCCACCCTTCGTGGTGGTGTATGATTGTTTGTGTCGGTTGTCGAAAGACAACACGATTCGTTTGTTGTTCACCCTTCGGGGCGATGTATGATTTTTTTGTCGTCGAAAGACGTCTTGTTCGAGTACGATGTCTGGGCCCTTGAGTATATATTATATTCGGGTATATATTATTTCGCCTACCCAGGAAACTGGGTAGAAGATGTGCGATTGGCGTCGTTTTGCCTGCACATGGGAACGATTTGTGACGCCACAAATTAGGACCACGGCCTGCGTGTTCAGCGGGCTGACCATGCCACCTTCAGCAACAGCCAGCTCCTGGGAGCGGAGGACAGTACATAATCTCCCAGGGGCTGGCAATATGGCACAAAAAATGCCGCCTATATGGTCGGCCTGCTGAACACGCCGCGGCAACATTAGCCAGCCTCTTGGAGATGACCATTATATCTCCCGGGGGCTGGCAATATGGCATACGTTATGCCATTTCCATATTCGGCAGGCTGACCATGCCACTTTGCAACAACACGCCAGCTCCTAGGAGGGAGACTTTATATGATCTCCTAGGCGCTGGCGGCATGGTCGGCCTGCCGAATACACTTATTCACCACAAGACGCCAGCCCCTAGGAGATCTGACCATTATTATCTCCTAGGGGCTGGCGGCATAGCATATATTATGCTATCTCTATGTTCGGTAGGCTGGCCATGCCGCCTCGCAACAACACGCCAGCTCCTGGGAGACAGTATATGATCTCCTAGGGGCTGGCAGCATGGTCAGCCTGCTGAATCTCATTCACCAATAAGACACCAGCCCCTAGGAGATCTGACCATTATCATCTCTTAGGGGCTGGCAACATGGCATACGTTATGCCATCTCCATGTTCGGCAGGCTGACCATGCCAATTTGCAACAACACGCCAACTCCTAGGAGGGGGACAGTATATGATTTCCTAGGGGTTGGCAGCATGGTCGGCCTGCTGAACACGCAAATTCACTCACAATAAGCCAGCTCCTAGGAATGGGGACCATTATTATCTCCTAGGGGCTGGTATTATCGCTGCTCGCAGCACGCTTCTTTAACATTGGCACAGAAGCTGCCACCCACGTGTTCGGCAGGTTGGCCATACCACTTCGCAACAACACGCCAGCTCCTAGGAGAGAGACGTTATATGATCTCCTGGGGGCTGGCGGTATGGTTGGCCTGCTGAACACGCAAATTTACCACAAGACACCAGCCCCTAGGAGATCTGACCATTATCATCTCTTAGGGGCTGGCAATATGGCATACGTTATGCCATCTCCATGTTCGGCAGGCTAACCATACCACTTCGCAACAACACGCCAGCTCCTAGGAATAGGGATTATACGATCTCCTAGGAGCTGGCCGTATGGTCGGCCTGCTGAACATGCCAATTCACCTATAAGATGCCAGCTCCTAGGATGGGGACATTATATGATTTCCTAGGAGCTGGTTGCCTGGTCAGCCTGCTGAACACGCCAATTCACTCACAACACGCCAGCTCCTAGGAAATCACTTTATCTCCTAGGGGCTGGCAATATGGCAAGTATTCAGCGGGCTGACCATCCGCTTCGCAACAACACGCCAGCTCCTAGGAATGGGGAACATTACACGATCTCCTAGGAGCTGATCGCATGGTCGGCCTGCTGGACACGCCGATTCACTCAAAACACGTCGGCCCCTAGGATATTGGAACATCAATGATCTCCTAGGGGCTGACAACATCGCGGTAACAATAGGCCAGCTCATGGGAGCGGGGAACATCATATCATCTCCCATGGGCTGGCTACGCGGCATATATGATGCCAACTCCATGTTTCGCTAGCTGACCATGCAGTTTGCAACAGCACGCCAGCTCCTAGGGATGGGGGACATCGTATGATCTCTCAGGAGCTGGCTGCATGGTCGGTCGGCTTGCTGAACAAGCCAGTTCGCCCAACGACAAGGCAGCCTGTGTGAGGTAGCAACGTTATATGATCTTCTGCAGGCTGGCAACATGGCATGAACACGATCCAATGCTGTCTACATGTGCAGCAGGCTGGCCGTGCCGATACCGCCATCAAACAACAGCATGCCAGCTCCTGGGGTGGGGAACATCATTAATCTCCCAGGAGCTAGCATCATGGCATAGGAGCAAAATCCAGCGACAGCCATACCTCTGGAGTCGGCTATGAGTGGACTGCGCAAAGGGTTCTCGGGTGCCACCTGCATAGTTGGCCTGCTGAACAAACCAATTTCAGCAATGACAGCTAGCCTCTGGGAGATGGGGGATTAAATGAGCTCCCAGGGGCAGGCAACATAGTACAGATGCCACCTGCACGTTCAGCAGGCTGACCATGCGAATTTATAACAACCGCCAGCTCCGGAATCTGGGAGCATTATATGATCTCCCAGAAACTCGAAAACATGATATTGCAGTATACGCCTAAGCGTGGCACGGTTACAAACGGCGCCTCCTGCACGTTCACCAGGCGGACTATGCGCATTTCGCGCCTGGATAAAAACACACGCTAGCATCGAGATTGTGTTTCGTCACCTCGGAACGTATACCACAGTATTATGTTTTTGTCCACAGCACATGCCAACTTTTGGCAGCTGGAAGCGAATGTATCGCACTGACATTATCATGATTTCGAATGCATACCCGATAGGCATAGGACTGGAGTCCTCGCCATCTTCATTTTTAAAAAATATTAGGGGAACGATATACCTCGGTATGCCGCAGTTCAGAGGGTCTTTCATGGAACCTACGAATAAGAACACGATTGTCCAAGCCCGGGAGATGCCGCCTGCACAGTCAGCAGGCTGACTGTCCACCAGTGGACCAATGACAGCACGAGCCACGCAGGAGCTGGCGTCACCCACTCCACATCCCGCTGAAAGAAGATAAGTGCACTTATCTACCCCCTCGAGATATTGTTCACCACATCGTTATTGAGTCTACTCGTCTCATCAACTTCAAGAGGAGAAGCATCGCCTTGCTTTTGACTTGCATTTTGCGTTAAGCATCATTTCCTACCACCGCCATGTTTGTGCGCTCCCTTTTGCTGGGTGGCGCCGCTGCTCTCGGCGCCAGTGCCATGCTGGTCGTCCCCGAGATGGAACCTAAAGTCGATATTATTGAAGATGGATTTGTTAATATCCACCCTATGCTTCTGGAGGACGTTCGTAATGCGATTGTTGACCTGCCTTGCTCTGAATGTCCTCTTCGTGAAACCAATGACGAAGGTGCTGTTATCTGGACGGAGGGCAAACCATCATCTCTGGTAAGAATGACAAAATGCGTTTATTCATTCGAACTGGCTAACAAACTCTCATAGACTCTGGATTTCTCGATCGAGGACAACCGTCTGTTGGCCAACGGCCGCCAAATATTCCCACCGGCTCCGCCCATCCCGATTCTTGCTGTGCAACAAAATGAAGAGGGAGAGGACTCCGCCCCCATGCCTGTTGGGTATGCGCTTGAAATCATGCCGATGGCCGTACCATCCGACGAGCCGGGATACGAACTCCTAGATATTCGATTCACTGTTCTCGACCTGGAGACCCACCCCGTCCCTGTCGATACTGTGGCGATCACCGTCCTCCAGGATCCCAACGGCGAGCTCTTCATCGCTCGGACTGAAATCGAAAGCAACACCCCTGCCTCCGATCGCCTGTCTTGGAAGGAGTGCCACGGCAAGGCCAAATGCCTGCAAGAACTTCTGGTCTCTCGCATTCGGGGCCTCTTGGCTGGCGCCAAGGCTCGTGTGATGGGCATGGCCAAATCCGGCCACAAGGGCTGCCATGGCAAACACGAGAGCAAGATAATGGGCCACTACGAAGAAGACCATGACGATATGCCTTACCCTCCCCCGCCTCCTTTCGGGAAAGAGGGTTCTGGGCGTGAAAAGTTCGGCCCCGGTGGTCATCATGCCCACGCCCACGGCTCCGCTCGTCCCCACCATCACCACCCGCACCACGGCGCTTTCGCCCGCACTTTCTCACGCATTGTGCACTTTATCATTGTCCCGGCTGTTTTGGGTGTCCTGGCTGGACTGACCGCAAGTGCCATTGGCATGCTGGTCGGCCAGGCTGTGGTTTTCCTCTGGCAACGCTACCGCGGTACCACTTCTTCGGAGCGCAAGGCCGCCTGGGAGGATGGCGAGGCCTGCGAAAAGCAGGGTCTCATGACCAGTCCCTCCGAGGAAGTCCTTCCTGAATACACAGAGCCTTCTCAGGTCCGAGGCTCGCTCGACAAGAACTAAAGAAAAAAGAAAAGAAAAAAAGGAGAAAAAGGAAAAGGGAAAGAGAAAGAGGAGGGGAAAAAAAAAAAAAAAAGGACATACTGATCTTCCCATCGAGGCCAGCTGTCTCTTGTTTGAAGTCATTATCGACCTGTCTGGATAGTGCTCGATCTCATACTTCGAGGGTTTCTCGGCTCCTCCCACGGACAGCCCAAACCCGCGGATCACTGAACAAAAAACTACAAAAAACTACAAAAAAATACAAAAAATACAAAAAATACAAAAAATACAAAAATACAAATGAAAATACAAAATGCACTCCTTCAAGCCGTCTTCGACCAAGGGCCATCACAAGCTGCCTGGACCTTTCAATATCTTTCACTTGAACGACGCTCCAGACAACAACAAGCTCTCTGGCAACGGTGACTTGACGAGATCAATACCAACAAAAAAAAAAAAAAAAAAACCCACCCGTCACTACATACATACAGTCAATATCCATGAACACATCATGCCCTCTAGTGCTGAAGGACCAGTGAAAGGAACAAGACAGAAACAAGATCAAGCAGGAACAAGACCAACCACAAGCAAAAAAAAAAAAAAAAAACAACAACAACAACAACAACAACAACGCTCAGCTATCTCATTGCCAGACTGCCTAGGCTTTCCACTCATTTGCCAGGCTAATGGGCCAGCACGCACTAAGCCCATCTTACTCGGGGTCATCGACAAGAACAAAGACAAACAAAACAATCCACAAAGTTCCGCTGTCGTTTGACCCATGGCATGTCCATCAATCACCAGCTATACTGGGCTCTCCACTTCTTTTCCACCGTCAATCCACATGGTTGCAACTAGCCCTATGAAGTTTGAGATCTCGACAAGAACAAAGCCAAAAAAAAAAAGAGTTCCGCTGTCGTCTGGCCCAAGGCCATAACTGGACTTTCCACTTTATCCACGACCAAAATAATCAAAAAATCCACATTCATGCAATGCTGAAAGCTCCGGTCACTTGACAAGAACAAAGGGAATTTCATTTTCCGCTGTCTTTTGCCCTGTGACCGCTACTAGCCGATCGAGGCTCTTTTTCTTTTCTTCACGGTCAATCCTTCTTACATGGCCCTCTGACACCTAAGAATCACGAGACAAGAGCAGAAAAGATGTTCCGCTGTCTTCTGATTAAGGGCCAATACCACTAGGCTATCCCACAGTCAATTTTCAATGTCTAGTGATTGCCTTAAGCTTGGTTTTATTCCAATCTTGTTTCTTGTTCTGTTCCTGAATCTTCTCTTGTTCCGGTCTATTCTTGTTCTCATTTCACCTACATCCTGTTTGATTCCGATATTTTCTTTCACTATATTTCTTTCACTCTATTAAGATTTCTCAAATCCTGTTCTATTCTCAATTTCTCTTTGGTTTCAATGTGTGTGTTTTTGCTTCCGTGTCAAGCTTGGATTGTGTTTCAATTCCCCATTTTTGTCCGATCATAATATGTTTGCGTCCTTCTGTCTCAGGCTTGTGTGTTTCTTGTGCAGTGTTTATATTCATCTCAACCAAGCCTCATAAATTGAGAATCTCTAGTTCTTAGGCTCTTCTCTGTGGACTGTAGTATAGGATCGTAGACCACTGTACTACTCACAGTGGGGCATATTATAGAACTAGAAATTAACTTCACACTCGTTATATATAGTTAGACAAATGTAGATACTACGTACGATATCTTTGGATCTCTCTTGTAGATGTCCCTCCCCTTATAGCCACTGACCTACAGCGCTGATTGCATAATATCTAAGGCTAGAATGGCGAAAAGAATAATTACTGTAGAGGACATTTCCACGTATAACTTTCGAAGAATGCTGTGATGCCAAGCTATTATGGATAAGGCTGAGGACAGTCACGTGAAACCAGCATCATCACGCCCCCTCTTATCAATCCGCAACAACACTCGACGCAATCCTCTTGTTCTGCAGGCCTAGTCCTCGGCCAAGGTTGATTTAGCTTGTACGATGACCTTGAAGCTCCAATTTCAACTACGCACGGGCTTTTTTTCCTACTCCTAGCCCGGATCTGCTGGACTCGAAGTCTTTAACTGAGCTTGATTCCGACATCATTGGTTATCGAATTCACACCCTCATCTCTCCAACATGATACCGTGGTCGTCCTTCGTTCAGAAGGCCCAGAGCCTGATTGACCCTGCCAATTTCAACATTTCCGCCCTATCCTCGCCCGATCATAACCCCTCCAAGGCATCGTTGTTCCGGCAACAATTCCGCCTCCCTGATTCCCAGAACCCGCTTCAAGAGATCACCGCTGATCTCGTTCTACCACTACCAAATTCCTCGCCAAATCAAGGAGATAGCACTCGCAGGGTTGACCGGGCTGGGAATACATACACCGGACGTTTGCATCTGAGTGAACGTTTCATCTGCTTTTCAACCCAGCCCACGAGCTTCATTCCCTCTGCTACAGCAAATGCCTCGACCACTTGGACTGGCCAAACGCACGGCACTGGACCATCAGGCAATGGATTCATCCTCCCGCTATCCTGCATACGACGTGTCGAACGCCTTCATAGCGCCAGCCATGTTTTCTCTTTGGCGCTGACAACATGGAATGGTTTGCTCAATAAGCATCAAGAACCCAATTTCGCCCCTCAACGCCTCATATTGCAGCTTGTCGGTAGCAGACAGGCCTGCGAGCGATTTTGTGACACACTAAAAAAAGGCCTGAGGGAGGCAATGAAGGAGGTTGACAGCTTGCGGACCGTCGTCTCGGATTGTTATTCGGAATATTTGCTCTCAGGCGCCAAAGGAAAGGGACAAGACGGGAACGAAGCTGATACTCGTCAACCCCCGGATGCGGGGCTGGGTCTAATTTTCCGCTACCCTGGTGATGCACGCAAGCTGCGCGATCGCAGTAAGATGAGACTTTGGGGCGAATATTTCAGAGGTAAAAAGACATCCTTTTTTGATTGTATATTCCGACATTTAACTGATATTCTCCAGAAAATGGTCGGAATGCTACTTTGGTTCGCCAACCAACCTTCCACAAGCTAATCAGAGTTGGTTTGCCAAATCGGTTACGAGGAGAAATATGGGAGCTCACATCCGGTTCTTTGTTCCTTCGTTTACAATCTCCAAAGCTGTACCAACAGACATTGGCCAAGTTCGAGGGACAAGAATCCCTTGCCATCGATGAGATTGAGAAAGATTTGAATCGCAGTCTACCAGAGTATCCTGGATTCCAGAGCGAAGAAGGCATTGGACGCTTGCGACGAGTTCTCACTGCGTACAGTTGGATTGACCCGGAGATTGGATATTGCCAAGCCATGAACATCGTGGTTGCCGCATTGTTGATGTATGTTTAGAATCTCAAGTTGCCAAGGGTGTATTGCTAACTTACCCAGATATATGTCAGAGGCCCAGGCCTTTTTCCTTCTCTCGGTGCTATGTGACCGTCTCCTGCCCGGCTACTATTCAACAACAATGTACGGCACACTACTCGATCAGAAGGTGTTTGAGTCTCTAGTTGAGAAAACAATGCCAGTTCTCTGGGATCACCTTACCAAATCAGATGTACAACTTTCTGTGGTATCGTTGCCATGGTTCCTTTCGCTCTACATTAACTCTATGCCGCTCGTCTTTGCTTTCCGTGTCTTGGATGTGTTTTTCCTAGAAGGGCCAAAGGTCCTCTTCCAGGTCGGTCTTGCCATCCTCCGAGTCAACGGCGAGGAGCTTCTCGAGACACAAGATGACGGATCATTTATTTCTGTCTTGAAGTCATACTTCTCCCGATTGGATGAATCTGCCCACCCGAGATCGGAGAATCCCAAGCTGCGGGCCATTACTAGATTCCAGGAATTAATGGTGGTTGCTTTCAAAGAATTTTCTGGCATCACTCACAGCACGATCACTGAGACGCGAGAAAAGCACAAGGGTGCTGTCTTAGAGAATATCGAGACTTTTGCAAAGCGTACTTCTATCCGCAACCTTGGACCCGAGAGCAAACGCCTGAGCGTGGATGATCTTGGAACGATATATGACCGCTTCTATGAAACGCTGTACCAATGGGAACAGCACCAGAGAGTTATCGAGGAAGAGGCGAGGCGGCAAGAGAGGAAGAAATCGAAATCCCAACGCCTTTCCATGCTTGCCCCTCCTGCAGACACCGAAGTTGGCCGTGTTGGTCTTGGACCTAGCCCTACACATATGGATTATGATGCTTTCCGGGAGTTTTTAGCTGCCACATCTAAATGGGCGGTTGCTGACTCCCCCTAGTCCCTCGAGGAGAGAATCCCCATCAGGAAAATCAGCATTGTGGGCGAACCGCAGGCAGCCAGCGGACCATGAGTTTATGCAACGCCTCTACCGCAAGTGGGGCACAGATCCCGAGGAGGGATTGAATCTTCAGAATGTGGTGAATGGTCTTGCCCGCCTTAAAGGATCCCCTGATATCATGAATAACATCAACTATTTCTTCGACCTGTACGATGACAGTGGAAATGGCCAGGTTGATCGTGAGGGGATCCTCAAGATGTCCGAGGCGCTGTTGTTTCTCTCCCGACGTGGGTTTGAGGGCACAATCACGGCCACCCCATCTGTGGAAGATCTGAACTCGTCGGGAGACCGTGACTATGTTGAGAACTCGCTCACTACTGACGAGAAATTCCTCGGTAGTGTCAGCGCATTCATCCGTCGTTGCTTCGAATACGCCGACCCTAGCCACCAAGAGAACCACAAAGCAGACCTGCTGGATACAACGGTAGAGGCAACCGAGAAGCTAGACTCATTTACCATTGGTGACGACGACGACGAAGAAGATTTGATCGATGTTGGTGATGCCAAGTCCACCAACTCTCCAGCACCAGACGCAGCTCCCCAGTCAGCTAAGTCTACCACCGTCGAATTAGACAATCGCGACCATAACCGCTCAACATCTGAGTCTGCCAACCCGGCTCTCGACCCTAATAATCCCCTGCATATCACTCTCCCTACCTTCCGAATGGTTGTCCTGGCCGACGAACTCCTAGAGCAATTCTTTGAATCCTACTTCCCTCAATCCTTCCACCTGTCCGACCACCCCCACCCCGCGGCTCTAGCCGCATCTTCCTCAATGTCGTCCAATCTCACAACTTTCTCCAACATCGGCAGTGTACGTTCCTCCGGACTCAGCGCTGGCTCAGCGCCCGTCGCCGGCGCCTCAGGAGGTATCGTGCCACCAGGCAAAGGCCTGCGCGGCGTCCTCGACAACATCGTCTCCGACGGAATCCGCATGGCCGCCGAAGTCAAGAAGCGAATGGACGAGGCACAGCGTGATCTCGCTCACGGCCGCGAAGAAGATGAAGACGATGAAGACGACGATGACTATCCCCGTCGTGAGAACACTGCCACCGCCATCCCTGGTGGTATCCCCAGCTGGGGCGCTGGCGCATACGGCGCCGACCCGGAGCGTCGTAGCATTGTCCGTGACGCTGACCGTGACCTCCTTGAAGGAGCTGAGGTGCTTGGCGGCGGAAAGGAAGAGAGAACTTCTCTCTTGGACGGGAAGGATGATGCCACCCACGCTCCTCGGAAGGTGTCCGGCTCTGCTGCTTCCACTAAGAGCGGTGATTCTTCCACAGCCCGCGACGGGGAGGTTATCAGCAAGCTCGTCGAGTTTGACTCATGATATTCTTGCATACTGTCTCATTTCATATACGGTTGGCCGCTATCTCATCTGTTTTTCTTATTCCCGAATCCTTAGTTGGATCGTTATGCAATTTTGTACTACAACCCTTGGATTGGATGTTTCAATTCACTTTTCGCGTGGTTCCCCTCGGATTGGAACCTGGAGTTTTAGATCCCTTAGAAAGAACTCTTCTTGTTTATTAGACATGTGGATTCGACGTAGCGCTCTTCGTACATGTACCAAAGTCTACAGGGTATTTGCGATTCGAATAAACATGTCGAAATCAAAAGATAGATTGAGACCTATATGTTTCCACTAAATCAAAAATTCGTAGGGGCAAAGTCGCCCATGATACTAAAGTGTTCTGAATTCAGAGAATCGTCAAGTCATGAGATGCAGTGACGTTTTCTATGTACAGCATTATCATTGAGCGGACTAGACAATCACCACCAACCTTCGCAGTAGAAGTATAATGGCATTGCGTGACGACGTAAGAGAGGAAGAAAAAGGGTATAAAACAAGCATAGGCATGAAGAATCGGGCCACCCTCCATAGAGGAAAGGTAACCACGGCGGAGAATAAAAGGCTCAAAAGTAGAAAGGGATGAAAAGGGGGTGAATGAATGGTGTACGAAAAGGGAAAGAGAAAGGGTAAGTAAACTGCGGGTGAAGTTCCAAGAGAAGTATGAAACCCAAAATGAACACAAAATATGAGGCAGGGCAACCCAAAACGGTCGACTGGTATTGACTTAGTCTTTTTGCCCCTCATTCTCGACAAGTTCCAAGACAAGCTGGCTCCGCTCATACTCTGGATGCTGCATGCAGATTTTGACCGTGTTGCCCATGCCCGTGGGGCCCGGGGAGCCATTGACAGCGCCAGAGAAGCCGCTGGAAAGACCCATCGAGCCACCGACGTTGGCTTGTGCATTGCCGTTGAGCGAGCCAGGCACCTTGCTGCCGTCGTCGATGCAGACGACATTGTGGCCCGGAATAACCTGGCGTAAGCGACCGTTCATTGCGTTGCGGACTTCGACGAAGTCGTCGTTGAAGAGAATTAGGAATTTGCCATAGAGACAGGCTGTGTGTGCGCTGCCCACGAACTCCATGACTACGCTGCGAGAGACGTCGCCGTGCTTGTTGACGTACACAGCGCATTGCTGGTAAGCTACTAGGAACTCGCTTTCGCTGAGACGGAACATGCCTAGGGGCTTGAGCCCGCTGATGCGATTGGCAATGCTGTGGAGGGTATCGTGTGCATCTCCAGTATCGTTGGAGCTAAAGTCTGGGACAGACCATGAAAGCTTCTTGTCAAGGGTGAGGACTTCAATGCCCTTTTGGGTTGAGATGGCAAGCGAGGAGTGGAACATGTTAATTCGGTAGGTCTCGGCAGGGATGTAGAACTCGTCGTAATCGCGGAAGAACTCGGTTTGCGAGCGACGTGAGAACAGGCGGCCCTTATTTGTAGATGATTTCTGCAGGACGGGCTCGAGAACCTAAATTTTGTATGTGAGTTTGCTGTTGCTTTATTGAATTTGCTGCGAATGTACATACCTTGAATGTAGACGACAAACCCTCACGCTTCTTGTATAAGACCAAGTAGCGGTCCTTTAGGCGACCAGCGGCAAAGAAGCCTACTTCACGATTTCCAGACAGCTTCTGCGGTGCTCGTCGAGCAGAATCCTGAGATGATTGGGAGGTTTTCCCGTTGGCGGGACAGACCACGTCGAGGTGGTATGCAATCAAAGACCGATCGGCAATCAACAACAGCAAATTGAAATCTTCAAAGACAGCAACTTGTGTGACCCGTGTGATGGGAATAGCCCTGTACCAACCCCTGGGGTTATTGAGCTCGGACATGTACACTCCGTAGTCCGTGCCAATTGCACACATAATGCGCCCAGGCGGCTGTTGGAACACCGTGGCACAGTTGACTGCAGTCTTGCATATCGCTGGAGGGCGAGTCTTTGAGCTTTCATATTGCTTCTCGACTTCTACAATCGCACGATGGAGAGGGGTACCCTTGATGGTGACACTTTTAGAGCCGGGTGTATGATCGGAGTATGCGAACGCAGTGTCCGCAAGCACACGCAGTCGGAATGGCTCGGCATTTTGCGAGAAGAGAGCAGCAGCATGCTTTGTCTTCGCTTCGATGATCTTTTGGCACCATTCCAGGCGGCTTTGCGCTGAGAAGGCGTAGAGAGTATATGTGCCAGTTTTTCCTAGATGCTTGATTCTGAAAGGGTATAGAATCTTGTCGTCCCTTGAGTTGTCAAGAGCCCCGTTTCCTCCAGAAGCACCAGACCCTGTATGTGCAAGAGGGCTGGCAGCACCTGCTTGGGAAGGTGTGACAGTCGAAACTCCCCGGACCGATGATTTGACCACGGGATCATCGTCGGTGCTTTCAAGGCCCAATAGATCCATGGGGATAGGCAATTTCGAGATATCGTATCGCTCGTACTTCACTGCCCGGTCGCGCATCGTGAATACCTTAGCAAGAACGAGATAATGGTCGAACAGGATGGCGTGTGTATCAACAAGGAATCTTGTGCGGGTTCCAGGACGTTGCAGTTCGCCTCGATAGACGATCTGCCGACCCAAGTGTTCGAGGTTGAGTTCAACTTCCTTCTTCATGTCGGGTCGCAATTGCAGCTTGGACGCCAACTCCATCAAGTCGGCCTTCTTGTTCATCTCTCCCACTTTGTTGTCACACTCCAGCGCAACGACCTTGATTTCTTCAATGGCCTGTGCCAAATTTCCTTTTTCTTCGGAATCCTTGACCATATTCTTGTGGACAGTCGCCAACAGAAGAGTATACCGCTGGATTCTGGTGATCGGGGCTTTGAGGAAAGTATCCCAGCTAAGGCGACTTGATAGCTTGTGTTCCCGGGCTTGGTTTAGGAATTGCTTGAAGTGCGGGTTGCGTTCAGCCTCCTTGCGTACAAGATAGTTGGCCGTTGGGAAGGTTGCAGCGTAGTCGATGTAAACATTCTTAGCTTTGCGAATCCATTCCCGGAAGATGTCACTGAATCCAGAGATGAAAGGCCCTTGTTCTTTTTGGCGGTATTTAAGCTGTGCCAACAGGAAATCCTCGTTGACTCTCTTCACAGCATCAACCTTGCCAAACACGTCGGCCAAGAATTTGGGTAATCGCTTCACCGGAATGATCGGAGGATTCATCTTAGCCAATTGATCACGATATAGTTCTCGTAGGACATCCAGTTGTGAGATGTAGGAGTCTTCTGTAGTGACAATTTCGTGCAGATTGTTCTGTCGATCGACCTCTTTCCTCGGATGAGCTTCCCAGACCTCCTTGGGGACCTTGTAGAAAGTGACCCAGTCCTCGATTTTCTTCTGCGGTGCCATCATCTGTGCCTTGAGGTTGACCTTCTTCAATGTTCGCATACAGTGATGAGAGTAGCATCGACCGAAGCTATCAGTACCTTCAATGTGCATCTCATGTAAGTGGAGCCTGGGAGAGTAACATCCAGTGCCAGTGATCTGGAACAGGATACCCGAAAGAGTGCCTGAGCCAAACTTGACCCATTCTTCTTCTTTTACCAATGCACCTTCTTCAAGCATGCCACTCACAACTCGAGCAGCCAGTGTCTCGGCGTCAGCGATATTCATGGTGGGGACTTTGTGAGTGAATAACGCAACCATGGCATCGGCAATTGCTTGCTCTCTGAGATCTGTTTCATCCTCACTCAGATCTTTAATCCAGGACAAGAGAGAGCTCAAAGCCCACGGCTCGGTACACTTCTTGAATTGTTCCGATGACAGCTTCGCCGGATGGAATCTCTTGCGCCGGCCAGCCGGGATGCTTGGCAGATCCAGCGTCATAGCTGCTGCCGCTGAGCCGATATGAGGCAGGTCCTTGTGCTGAAGCTGCAAGAGAAGTTCTTGCTGCTGCTGCCTGTATCTGAGCCGGTCCGCATCGGTCTTCGATCTGATGGGTGCATCAGTACGAGGCCCAATGGGAGCTGACAAAGATGACGACCGCGGAACTTGGGACTGGTTCAGCAAAGCCTCGCCATAAGAATCCGCAGAGTTTAGTAAGGCGGGGTTGTTATACTGTGAATAGCTGTCCAAGTCATCTTGCTGCTCCGAGTGGCGGTTATATGTGCCCGCAGGCATCAGATGTGACACAAGATCAACATTACCAGCAGGCTCAACAGGTGCTGGTGGCAACGGACGCATTCCAGGGTGGAAGAACAGATCTTCGTGTGCGGATCGGTTGGCGCTTTCGTCATCGGATTGATCCCCAGAATGGGTGTGATCATATGGTGATTCTCCTTCATCGCCATAGTCAAAGCTCATCCGTCGGGAATAGGCATCCGGTGCCGATAATCCCCCAGTACCACTGGCATCTACCCTGGCATCGGCCGGCAAATGATGGAGGCGCCTGGCATAATCATATGCAATAGGCGGGTGCTCGTAATCATTATAATACTCCCCACGCTCATCGGGGGACCCGGAGCTTCTGAATGAACCAGAGGTGCCTGGGAATCTGTCGCCCGCGGCAGGGTCCGAATACTCTTCCGAACTGTAAATACCGTAGTGCACGTTTGCTTGGTAGCCCCCTTCGTCCTGCGAAAGGTCATGACCGATGAACTCGTTATCTCCAAGTGAATCAGAGTGTGGTGAAGGCTCTCTTGGCGATATGTTGGATCCACGTGAGCTGAGAACTGACGCATTGGTCTCACGTCGCATCCGCCCTTTCTCACGTTCCTCACGCGCTATGTCTTCTTGCAACATAATCAAACCAGCAGCAGCCTCTGGGTCGCTTTCCTCACTGTAGGCATCGTCATTTATCATATGCCCAGTGTCTGTCTCTATATTACCGTTGGTGTGGGTTTGTTCCTCATCCGGCAAGAACTGCATGCGTGAATGGGAGCTAGCATGGGATGCTCTAGAGCCGTGACGAGAAAAGTTCTGAGAGTCCTCATCTTCTCTGAGCACATTTTCATATGCCATAGGAGCTTCCGCTGGCCAACGATTGCCATCTAGCCCAGCTTCATCGACTGGGGGTCCAGGAAGAGGCCGGGACTGGGGGTGTCGAGTCAAAGTCTCAGTTCGCCTCGGATGTTGAGGCAAGTCTAGCTGCACAGGGGGCGTCGGCAGGGTTCGCCCTGCCACACTTGGCCGCTTGCCGTACAAGCCATTTGCTTGAGTCTGATGAACTGGAGGCGCCGGAGGCTGCTCTTCGAAGGAACCGCTTGGGATCGCTGGGGTATACCGAGGAGATGGCAGGTCATACGACGTCCCTTGTGAGTTGCTGTAATAAGAACGTGATGTAGGCGGAGGCATATGCATTATGCCCGGGGAGCTTGAGGGCACATAGGAAGGCGAGGTGACCGGTGACATGGGTTGGTACGGACGTCCTCCATACGGATGATCAGCGCCCCTTGGCGGTGGAAGTGGTGATTGTTGGGAGGAAAAGCCATACGATTGTGGAGTCGGCGGTGTCTGCCCGTAGTGTGAAGCTGCGCTCTGCCTTCTAGGTAGAACCGGAGAGCTCATTCCCGACATTGCGGTAGACTGGTATGCCGCAGGATTATATGGTTGATGGCCGAAGGCGGGACCGGCGTATGAAGCATTGCTGGAGCCAGTGTACGTCTGGGGGTTATAAGCGAGAACCGGTTGCGACTGCGTGTGTGGAAGGCCGTATTGCTGCGGGTTGTAGGCCGTCTGGGACGAGGGTGCTCCAGAGTATTGGTATTGATAAGACATAGTGGAGGTTTGCGAAGAGGCCCGACTCGGAGACATACGCGACATGGCGTCTGAGGAAGTCCGCGAATATCTCGAGTCTCTGTCGTCTTCAGTGGCTCTGTGCACATCATTGTAGCCATCCTGTCCCGCACTGCCACCATAACCACCGCCTTGTGCTGCATACTGGCTGTTTTCTTCGGTCGCTCTCATATTCTGGGTCTGGGCAGGGTTGAAGAATCCAGAATCATCCCCGGCATTGTAACTCGGCATCCTTCGAGGCAGATGTCTGTCCGGCGCGGGGGTATAATTGTCATAGTGGCCGGTGGATGGTTGGGCAGTGGCTTGGGGGTTTGTAGATTGGCCATAGTATGCCTGTTGACCGTTTGGATATTGCGACATGATTTCGGAGGGGTCCGACCAGATGTCGACTCGGCTCGGCTCGACTCGACGCGCCCAGGATTGCGCGAGAGATTGTTTAGTAGGACCGTGGGGTGAAGTCTTGGGCACTCAAGTGAATGGCAAAACGAGTGACTAGTTCAGAGCAAATCAGACTGATTTCAAGAATGAGGGGAACGACCACGCGGGCCAGTAACACGCTGCCGAAGAGCTGACTCTGGGCATCCCCAATGAAACCGTAGAGCGCGATATACCAGCCTTGGTAAAAGAGAAACCAAGTCCAGTAAAGATGCAAAACCAGGAGGTTGTTTTGAGGGGGGTAAGATTTGAGGTGTGTTGGAATCAGCTGCGCCCACGCTAAAGGCACTGTCTCCACCGCCAACGGGGTTCACCTGCCACGACCTGCACTATGTCCGCTGGTATTCCGAGGTTGTTGGAATGATATTAAATGGTGGATGTCCACGGTTGTCTGCGAATATTTCCAATATTGCTTGAATGTGTAATGTGTCATCTATAAGTGAGACATATATAGATGTCTTCAGATTGGTATAGATTCTTCCCCGACAATGGCTCCCATACATTATGTATTATGTATTATGTACCTAGGTAAATGCCCTCTGTTTGCGACTGAGTCATAAGAAGGCTTAGCATCACAACTGCGTCTCATGAAACTGTCATAACTACCTAACAGGTAATAGGCCTTAAGTCTAAGACTGTGAATAATCAGCCACACTTGAGGCTGAGGCTGAGAGGCTGAGCCATATTGGCCCCACTATTATGTACGCATCCACAACTAGTACGGAGTACATATAAAGTGACTGGAGTTGGGAAACAGTATATTTTCGCCTAAATGACTCTACACATTTAGGGAAAATCTAGAGTAGTTAGGGCAATAGCATGCCAATATCGTTATAGTATGCGCCTAAATCTGAACAGAAACAGACAAGCAAGTAACAGTCTCGAAACAAAAAGGCAAAGAAACCAAAGGATTAGAAATAAGAATAGCCGGCCGCATGAGGTCATTTATTTATTTGGTAGTCTTTTTTAAAGTCTTAGATGTATATAAAAGTAAAAGCATAAACCGTACAGACAACTTTTCTATATATAAACTAGGAAATGAGAAATTTCGAGTATTCTCAATAAGAAAAAGGGTTAGACTCGAACCACTCCAGCGAGATTTGGCTATTGAATAATTGCCACATCAACGCATCACCAGGTGCATAGCTTCCATCACTGGTTGTTTGTAGTTGTTGAAGGTTTGTTTCAGCGACAGGATCCATATATGGAGAGCCAGACATCAAGAGATGTGAATGTTCATCACTAGCTGGATGGCCCACATGCCAGGTCCCAGCCATTGAAGGGTACAACGTAGGAACTTTGACCTGCAGGCCCATGCGCTGCTTGGCTTGGATCAATGGTACGCAGAGATTCTGCAAGTAGTACAGAAGTTTCAGCAGTTTTGAGATGTATGGACTTGCGGCGAACTGAGATAGACTTTGTGTGATTTCTTGCATTAGATTGTAGTCATCCATGTCTAATTCTCCAATGATGTTGCAAAAGAGAACGAAGAATGGACTGAATGGGTATAGAAGAACAGTCCTGAGGAAATATCAGTGGAAGAACTTATAACCCTGAAACTAGACCAACTAACCATGTCAGGAATGAGGGATAAGGATCCACGAAGCCCGGGACATCCGCGAGATTTTTCTGAAGATGATGCAGTGCTCTGAGAGATTTGCGAGAATATGATACACATTCCTTGTGTGTCAAAGGAGAAAATGCACATTTTAAGCGCGATCGAAGGATATCAACCAGAATCGCGTAATAGCAAAATTCGCCTGAGATCCAATCTGCAGAGATACAGTCAGGGGCTGTGACTCGACTCTAGAACAAGAGGTTAGCTTGAAGGAAGGCAGACATTTAGTCAAACTCACTGATTGTAATCTTGAATATATGACCTCCATTCGTTCCTGAAGTCTTGAATGATTGGCGATTATCTGGCGAGTGTTATCTGCATTTCCGCAATTCAACAGCTCTCCTTGGACCTGAGCTAAATCGAACAAAATTCGTATTAATGGGATATGTGGCAAATTTTGGTCGGCACTAATCAGATTTGCAGGAGAGATGCTGGGCTCGGGCAGCGACAATGGTCGGTAAAGAAGGGTGCTCAGAGTTCGGTCAAGGTAAAAGCACCAGCATACAGCACTATGGATATCTTCATCGAGGTTTGACATCCCAGGCGGATTGCGAATTTCATGATAACCCAGAGCAGTTATCAAACGAGCAGCATATGAGTTGAAAATCCAGGATTGACTCATGTTGCCAAGATACTGCATGAAAAATGCCTGTTCAATAGTTGTCAATAAGAAACTTTTCGTATAAGGAAGCACGATAACATACGGCAGATATCAACGACTGAATGAGAGGAAGAGCTGGGGCATTCAAGGAATTGAGCCTCTTGAGAGCGCGGAAGGCATATGTTTCATATAGTTTCTTGGACTTCAGAAATTGTGCGTTGATGCGGGGATCCATATATGCTCTCGGCTTTTGGAAAAGATGAAAGATGGCTTTCACGTAAACACATATACAGTACTGGTAGAATTCCTGCCCATGCTCATGCTCATTGTCACTGAGAATGGTTGAAGCCATCTTCTCCAATGTTTTATCCGAGATGTGGTCCGGCCATTGTACGGAACTAGAACGTCCGATGGTAGCTGTTGGTTCTGTATTACTATTAGTGTATGAATTTGAAATAGAGATGGCTTTTTATACCTGGAAGAAGCATGTAAAGCAGCTCTGGTGATGGGGCAATAAATGGACCATCATGAAAATCTTCATGCGACACTTCTAACGGCGAAAATTCGTCGGTAATTGAGCTTCTCCTCTGCCCCGTAATATCCACAAATTGCAGGGCAGATCTGAGAATCGCCTTTCGTTCACGGTCCATGCACTCATTTCCATCAAGCTCTCCTTGTATAACGATTCTTGCCTTCTCTGCAAGGTGTGTGGCTGAGCCAATGGCACACTCATTCTGGGTAGGCTGCGGAGTGCCTTCTATTGGCGAGGCATTCTCTAATCTCCTTTTCTTCGACGGCGTAATTCCATCGTAATGATCAGTAACATTTGATGGAATTCTATTTTCAATGCCCCTAAATGGTTAATCAATGGAGCCATTGAAGTGAAGAAGAATGGCAATCATACTCTGAAACTGTTCTTTCCAAGGTTAACAATCTTTCCCCGAGAGCAGATATGCTATTGAATATAGTAAGCATAGATCGAAATAGCGTCATATGAAAACATACACCGATGGTGATTGCCGGCGAGGTCGTCGAGCTCTTGTACGACTGCACTCAACGCCTGCATCGGTACAATTTGCACAATGTAGTTGTTTATCACAGCGAACCTATTGAGAAAACATCAGTCCCTGGGCAGTGAATATACTCGATGAACTTCTCTAACCTTTCTCGAGTAGCAAAGGTCACACTAATATCATCAGTATGCGAATGCTGAAAGCCATGTGGTGGAACTCACAGCTCGCAGCGCGTCGTCATTCATTCGGTGGGAAAAGTCGCGGTGACTATGCATTAATATTTACTTGTAAGAGCCATAATGACCTGTCGGAATTCGCAACGCCTGATTTGAGAAATAAAAAGGTAGTGTAGATCGTTCGGGGTTTGCGGAGGCTGCCGAGCCGCTTAGTTCAGGTTTTTCCCGATTCAGTCGGCCCTCCGACCGAATCAGGGCCGACCGAATCGGGAAGGGATGTGGACACTTCGGTACAATTAGTTCAACAGACCAAAGCATTGTTCAGGTGGGATCAATGAAACCGCGAAAAGGACAGAGATCCGATAGAGGTATTGTCAAAATAAATTTTACAGCTTTTTTATATATATATCAGGTGATCACTGCGGTTCAAGGGATATTGAGTTCATAGCACTCTATGTAGGTTATTCCCTATCATCTATCTATTGGAGGTTGATGTTGCAAGTTTAGAGCTTAGAGCTTAGAGCTTAGAGCTTAGAGTCACACCTAATAATCCCGAGCTATATATACTATAATTTATAACTTTTATGACATTCAGAGCCAACTGACCACGCTTCAGAATCATTCATCAAGCTCCAACGTTTCCACCTGCCATATTCCGTTTCTGAGAGGGAGCAATAGCTCTATTTTTGGGTAATGACGTTTTCCATGCCTTTATTCCTGAGTCAAAACCCTCGTCAATCTGCTCCAGTGTAATTCCAGCAGTCTCTGGCACGAGCAAGAAGGTTAAAATTGCGATGACGACGGTGACACCGGCATAGAAATAGCCCACGTTGGGACCCATGTCTCCATAACCCGCACCTAACATGTAAGGCGTCCAAAATGTTGCACCAAAGGCAAAGATACCATAGAACACTGTTGTATTGGCTTGTCCATAAGTGCGTAGTGAGACGCTGTGCATCTCCACAGAAGATAGGTTAGCACTCGCAGCAATAGTCCCACCAAAAACAAAAGCCCACAAACACAGAAGAACGACGATAACTATCTCTGCACTTGTATCCATTCCAAGAGCGGTGCTCACAGAGGAAAGAGTGAGCATGCAGACAGCCATGACAATATAACCGGAAAGCATGGCAATTCTTCTTCCGCCGTATTCCACAATGAATGGACCGAAAAATGATCCTCCTAGGATACACAAGCCGATGATAACATTGATCAAATATGGGTCACTGATGCCAACTCCTTTGAGGAAGAGTGCAGCGTATGGTTGTACAAATTGGATACCAGTAATGGCGATTCCAACCATGATCATAGCAGATATCATGGTACGGCTGATATGCTTCCTGCGATAGATATCAAAGCATGAGACAGATTTGAGGCTTGCACGCTCGATTGCAAGGTTGGTTCTTATATCATCAATCTGCATGGTGATTTCCGGCGAATATGGACTTTGGCAGTATAGCACGCCGAACGAGCTGCGCGCCTCCTCCTCTCGGCCATGTATCATAAGCCAGCGCGGCGACTCGGGAAGCATCAAAATTCCAGCACCGAGAATAACCCCCAAGGGTATTTGGCATAAAATGGGTGTCTTCCACTGCCAGTCATTGGTTGCCTCTAGACGAGCAGAACCTGCACACACCGCGGAAGCAGCAAGATTTCCCCCGGCAAGTCCAACATTATACAACCCTAAGGACAGGCCGCGCTTGTTGGCGACAATGCACTCGGAACCATAAGTGACGCTGGATACAATCAACTGTCCAACTCCCACAGCACTGATCGATCTGCACACCATGTAGCGCAAGAAGCTACCGCTGGTGCCAAGCATTCCAGCAGCACCGATAATAGCCAATGTACATCCAGCTTGGATTGACCCCCTGCGTCCGAAGTATCGACCGGTCATGCCCGCAATCGCACCTCCAATGGCAACGAACAAGAAGTTGAGGCTGATAAGAGATTGTTGTAGTGGCGTCAATGAGCAATGTCGAATTTCGGCATACGTATTCGGGTCTATAACTTGCACGCAGCTTCCAAAGGCGTGTTTGTAGGACGGCATGATCAGCACCGTACCGGCGTAGCCGTTGTCGAAATTCGAGATCCATGCGGCAAACGAGACCCATAATGAAAGACGCAACATCGATCCGGTCGTGCTTGGAGCATTTTTTGTGGTAATGTTTCGGGTAATGGAATCGGTGAGTGTGTCATTAGAGCTCAACCCAGGCTCTATTTTCGGAATTTCGTGTCGCAAATCCATGCCAAGTAGGTTTGAGTGTATAGATGGGGGTTATTGCTTGCTCCTTCAGTTTGTGGCTATTCACGATGAACATATGGACCGACGGCGGACTACGGAGTATATATGAAATCTTCGCTCCTGTGCTACATTCCAGGGCCGAAACATACATATACAGCTTTTAGAAAGAATGTGAGACATGATTTTTTATTGGGGGCTGTGATAAGGCCTGATAGAAAACGAAGAGATAGCATAGACTACAGCAATCTAAGCCAGTCGGAGAATTTACAGACCGAAAACATTCCAAAGTTCAAGATCCTCGCGTTGGGAGGCTGATCAAGGATCATCGACTCTTCTTGAGCTTAATAATAACTAGATTTATCCTGTACCGAAACTAATGTAGCTCCTACATATTAAACATCATGCAAGAGTTCAAAGTCGGATAATATTTTGAGAATTTGCCTTCTACCCAACCGAAGGCCTTATCAAAGCTTGTACATGGGAAATTTGTCTTGTTCCTTTGAGTCGTTTTCACAGCTAGCATTCTAGCTATAACAAATAATGTGGAAATAGCTATAAAAGACTCCCAAAAAGACGTATAAGCGGCCGACTATTCTTGTTCGCAAGAATGAAGAACGGATCACGCCCCCGAAAATGAGAAATAAAAAAGCTCTTTATGGCTCGGCCCGTGAGGGATACTATAGGGATGCATTACCGTGGCGAAACCTGCAATCAAGATAATCTGGTATGCTGGCCCGGGTCCGCTTCTTTTTGATATTCATTACCCTTGTTGTCTTTGTCGACGACATATTACATATAGCAGGATTTTATACTAATTAGCTTTAAAGACAATGTATCAAGTACATAGCTTTGCTTCTAGACCTTCGAAAATAGTACGTGAAAAAGCAAGCGCATCACACACTATTTGTCCGGTAGATAGCGAGGCTTATTGGTGGCTGCCGTTATATTAAACTCGCCAAGTTTCCAATGCCCAGATTTGGCATGATCGGAGTAAGACACTTATATGCCCCCAAGGTACTTGAGACCTCATGATTGCCCCTCAAATGTCGTGATCACGTACCTCTAGATAGGGCATAGTTTCAGGTCACGTGCTGCGCCAAATAACACGACGCTCCACCAAAGACCTTGAGAACCAGCGACATCTGAAGATGGAGCTCAAGACCGTTCTAATCCTCACTGCGATATACATTGGTAAGTACTGCCACGCACTATATCCTATGATCCCAACCTTCGTCCACCAATAGCTTTCGACCACTTCCAACAGAAACAAACAACCAAACACTAACCCCTCACAAGCTGTCCGTCTCTTCTTTAAGTCGCGCAAATCTAGCCCAGCAACCATCATGTCTCACGGAAAGGTCACCGAGATCGACAAGTAAGTATTGATTCTCCCCGCAGTGTATTCAATCCTAATCTCCGTCCAGCCAAGTCATCTTCAAAGCCCTCACTTCCTCCGGCCCCGTCGTCGTTGACTTCTTCGCAACCTGGTGTGGACCCTGCAAGGCCGTCGCTCCCGTCGTCGGCAAACTGAGCGAGCAGTACGAAAACGTTCGTTTTATCCAGGTGGATGTGGACAAGCTGCAAGGTGTTGCGCGGGAACTGAGCGTGAACGCTATGCCCACCTTTGTCATTTTCAAGGACGGCAAGGAGGTGAACCGCGTTGTTGGCGGTGACATGAAGAAACTCGAGGCGCAGATCAAGGCGGTTTTGGCATAGACGCTTTGCGCTTTGTTCAGGTCTACCAGTAGCCATTGAAAACCTCGGAGTGGAGTACATCCATGGACTTATACCCGGGAATTGTATTTACGTCAAGACTAGGAGTTAAACTCCCTTCCTACTTCTCAAGCCGATCAACCCCTCCTTATGCTCCTTGTGCCTAGAAACGTCGAAATACTTCAGGCAATGGCAGGTGCGCCGGTTAGTAGGGCATTCTAATACGTGGTTAGCGAAGCACTTAACAAGCCCTTTGGGATCGCTTAGAAAGCACCTACTCCCGGAGGACCCAGACAGAGAAGATAGATGACTTTATTGTCACGTGCCACGGGCTAGAGCGAAAGACCAGAATTCTAGTACAAAGCCTAGGAACCGCACTCACTGTTGTACACATAGTATGGGCTGACTCCTCACGTTTATAATCTGTATAACCGCCAAGAAATGCGAATTATCAACCGAGGGCTCATCCCAATTAGGTGTATTTTGACTTGTTTGCGGTATGGTAAAGCCAGGGGCTGTGGGGCATTCTCCGACGACGCGAAAATCCCGCGACAATATATGTACCGATCACAGTCTGGCTTCAAACCCTGGTTTCATTTTCTCCCAGGCCATTTTTTCTATATATATTCAACATGTCATGCAGCGATTGCTCCACAGAAAAACCCTCCGATAAATCCCCGTGCAAGTCTAGCCTAGACCATGACGGCTCTCTTCTGCAAAGACCTTTTCAGTTAGTCGTTAAATATCTACCGGAAGGATCCGCATTGCTTTCGTCTTCGTGTTGTTGGCTACCAGTAAGTTCTTTTCCATGTTACTAGGCTGTTGAATGTATATGCTAAGTTTTAAGGCTGTCCTCGATTTTCTCTTTGCGGGTTCGGTGGCCACTGCTGGAGTCGAGAAACTGCGAAATACTTTTCTAGCGATTTCTATTCTCACCCTTATCTGGGGTGTGTGGCGCGAGGGACTTAGTCGTAGAATGGTGTGGCAGATTGCGATTTGTGTCGGTTTGTCGGCTTGGGAGCAAATGAATCAGTGGGCAAAGGTCGATGGCAAGGAGCATCACAGCTGCCATTAATGGGCGATGGTCTCGGGATCGGGATGAAGAATGCGA